CAGTGCATGTGCTAGATTTCAGGCTATTTGCAGATTTATCCTTCGTATCGTTTCAATAAAAACTCTCCGCGCTATAAGAACAGAGTAGTATTTATATCAATGGTAGACGAGAATCCAGTTGGCTGAAAAACTCTGGAAGTATTTTCATTCAAAATGGTACCTGTTTCTGATGGGTTTAAATCTTCCGGCTTTTCTTTTATGACGTGCTAATCCGTAGCCAAATGTGGAAGATCAATAGCAGCCTCGCAGGACAATACCTTGGCTCGAGAGGTCCGTTCTCAAAACACCTAATATCCTCTGGAACCCAGGGTAACCTAACATCAGATCAGTAGCCCAAAAAGTAGCCCAACAAAATAAGGAGGATCAGCTGTTTTCAGCTGTTTTAGCCACGCAGGCATTCAGAGAATAGTTAATAATAGTAACCGAATTGTTGACTCAAGGAGAGCATAGATACAAATAAGATGGTGTACAATTTTTAAATTGTAAATAACAGGTTAAAACCTGTTATTTTAAGTCGCACCTAGATTTCTATTCTCCGCACTCTGCACTCTGCACATCGAACCCTATACGGAGGGTGTGAATGGGGTTAACCGACTAGCGACAAAGGGCGAAAAATATTACTGACTACCGACAAAACGAGTAAAAAATTACCGACCACCGACAGGAAAAATATTAACCGACTACCGACTTGGGCTGACATTATCAATATTTGTTTCAGAAAAAAAGAGCATTTTGCATTTTTTTTCCAGCCGTTAGGAAGTAACTTCTTTAAATTTATGACTCATCAGATGGTCTAACAGAAAGAACTTCCTCTTTTGTTGATACGGATACATTACTACAACCAATATCATAATCTCAGAAGCCACAGTCCTTAAAGATGCTACCGACTTTATATATTTTATTGAAAAGACAAAGGTGAAAAAACTGAACGTTTCTTGTTTCGGTCCGAGAAATGCTTAGATTAATCCTGAAAGAAAATTCTTTCCAATTAATGGAAAGCACTATCAGTAAGAAACCACAGTACCGCGATAAGCACATACAGCAGTTTCCTTTCCAACATTTTCATGGCCGCATATATTGAAACAAAGTTTAAGCAAAATCGTTTTTAAACCAACTGTTTGAAAATGCTACATAGATGATATTTTTTCCTTATGGGATATAAGTAAACCAGACATGGTAGATTTCTTCAAATTCACGGAACAAGTAAACTTACTTCTCCTTACTGCTCTACTGGCTATGAAATTTACGCCCGAAATATCTGACACTGAGACAATCTTTTTAGACCCCGTTGTAAACCAAAGCACAACATTCAACGAAAAATGAGAAAAAGCTATCATTGACGTAAAGAAGAATTTAAACGGAAACCTTCCAGTATATACATTTTCACCTCTTACCACCCAGCCTGCCCACCGAATGTTAAAATGGATTTGACCAACAAGAAGCCTTGAGTATCTTACGAACAAACTCCTTTTAGGAAGAATTTCAGATTTCAAAAAGCGGTTGATGGACAGAAGCTGGCCACACAATTTTGAAATAAAAATTGCTATTAGAAGTAAAACTCACAGGAGAAAAGCAGCGCTCCTGAAACAAAACAACAAGGAAGAAAAAGAAATATTGCCTTTCGTGACACAATACAAGCCCTTAGTGTCTATTATAAAAGAAACTTTAATGTAAAAGTGTAATCACATACAAAACCAACCACTACCTTGCCAACTTAACCCTCAGACGTACACGCAAAATCATACCCCCCACCATGGTACAAGAGGATGGTAGATGGAACCCCTCCCCAGAGTTTTTGATATGTTGCAGTATTTCGAAGCGATTTTGCCTTCAATGAAAAGCCTTTGATCTTCTTAACAAGATGAGGTATATTTTATGAATGGTGGCACTGCTGGAGGCCTGGTACGTCACCTACAATGGTCGCCATCTTTGCCGCCATCTTAGATATTACAAAGAGTTAGAAATCAGGTTAAAACAAAGAGAACTGGTAANCCCCCCCACCACCACCACCACCCCTTGTATGTTCGAGGGTTAAAGTGTTATTTCGTTGAGGAAGGAAAATTATGGCAAAGGCTAGATGTGCAGCCCGTCACCCCTTGCAGTTTTTCACTAAGCGGATAATTTAAGTATCCAAAAGGCTGGAGTCCATTAATTAATTAATTACTTTTTACTGTGCCGTGTAATCGACAGAGAAACCCAGTTCGCATTTACAGTAAAAGGTTTGGTGATCTTATCAGTACGCATGATATTCATCTGGCAAACAATGGTGAAATGACGACCACAGGAGCCGATCGGCTCCTGACGATCATGTTGCATAAACAAACGAGAGTTAATGAAGTTTAAGTGTAATCAAATGATGCATTCTTATAAGTTTTACTCTTTCCCTAGGGGTCAAAGTCTTGAAACTTGGTGAAATACAAAAAAAAAATTAATAATTAACAAGCGTTTTTACTTATTAACTGAGATTTTCGGACAACCGACAAAAATCGAGAAGTTTAACCGACAACCGACAAAGATCGAAAATTTTAACCGACTACCGACAAAGTAACTGAATTTTAACCGACAACCGACAAATGGAACCCCCCATTCAGACCCTCCTATACGAGGTAGCATTGCTTAGCTTGTTAGCTGGGGATTGTTATGCCGGGATACTTTATCTGACGGCAGAACAAGGGATTTTCGCTTGCGGGGAAGACACGACGAAAAATCCTTGTTCCCAATCTTCTCCCTGCTCCGCCGCCAAAAAATGTAGCGCTCGCCTGAGTTTACAGCCCTCTGTCCGCTAATATAGCCAGCTACGCTGGCTAACGCTGGCTTCGCAATTCTAACATATAGCGTCATTAGTTTTTACGGCTTAATAACCTAAACAAAACTCTTAGAGGTATGGAAGCATCTCCAAAGATGCCAATCCACCAAATTTAACCCCGTGAGGGTGCAACGTGCACTCTCACCGTCCTTGATAAAGGAGCTTCTATAAGGGAGTTCATGGCCATCTCCGGATTTAGTTTCTACATACCGTAAAATTCCGAAAATAAGCCCCTGGGCTTATATTTTTCAAAGGCCCTTTTTGACGGGCTTATTTCTGGAGGGGCTTATATTCGGAGGGGCTTATCTATGGAGGGAAATTTGCGTTTCAAAATCGATTGGGCTGGCCTTATAGTTGGAAGTAAATTTACCGTTTTTGCTTTGTTTTACTTTGTATTTGAGGGCAAGTTCCAAGTACAAGCCCCCGGGGGGCTTATATTTGGAGGGGCGATTTAACGGAGGATTTTTTGCGTTACCAGTTTGGGGGGCTTATATTTGGAGGGGCTTATTTTCGGATTTTTACGGTATTTGTCACTAGTGACACTATTAGGTACTTAAATTTATCATAATTATTTTTTTGTTGTTGTCTTCCTTTCAATTCGTGTGAATTATTGTACAAGGTAATCTAGTGAAATCACGTCAGCTGCCTGGCGGACCAAGATGAACGGTCGTAAATGTAAAAGTGCAGATAGAGAAACGTAGGGATACGTCTGGTGTGATATGATATGGTGAACTAAAGTACCCGAACACCTAGTACAACTGAGCCTCTCTACAACGGCCACTTTGGGGACAGAAGAAAGTGGCCGTTGTAAACTAGGTTTAAACAAGAGTCAATGAATGGACCGTCCGCCAAAAAAGTCCGTGGCAGTTTCTAGAGGTGGCCATTGTGGAACGGTGGCCGTTGGTAGATGTTCGACTGTAGTCTAATATCATTAGAAAGGTCGCTAAATATCTATGCTTAAAAAGTAAGGACCCTGTATTTTTGATACTTTGTTTTTGTGTTTGTTTTTTACGTTATCCTCAGGTAATCAAATGTAAATTCCTCCAGAATACCTTTTCCAAGTGTTTTGATAGAGCAAAATGGCAACAGTTCAGGACGATGTTGAACGATGTATTTGGGAAAAGATCTCAAGGCAGGCCGCAAAGGGGATGAAAGAAGGCTAAACGTGCTAAAGACATGGATCCACCATGGCCACGATTAATGAGGTGGCCATCGCCGTTTACTAAGCGAGGCAAGGCGTTTAACCAGCGGAAATAGTACGAATTCGTCAGTCTCGAAAGACTGTGAAATTGCGCTTTGGTCAAAGTAGACTCGACAGCGTCCTCCGCATGTGGCTACACAGCCCATTGCGGTATTGACAGTCTCTTCTGCATCGTGTGAAGATGTACTTGGAGTGTTGTCTCATCTGATGCGTCTTCTCAGCCAACCCTTTGGTTCAGAGCCTGTCTCCAATGTGTGCGGTCAGAAGCAGTGGTTGAAGAGTGTGAGGGTTGATCTGTAGGGCCTTAAGGTCTCCTCTGGAGACATCTTTGTAGCGAACCTGTGGACTGCCTGTGGGGCGAGACAGTTCAGAGCGCCATAAAGGAGCTACTTTGGTATTTGGTCCATCGTCCATTCTGACAACATCACCATGCAGGTCAGCGCATTCATCTCTACTTTAACAGTGAGAAGGCAAAGTTGCTCTTTTAAGGACGTCGTTGCAACTGTTGGTCACCTCCTGCCACTTGATGTTTAGGAGGCGTCTGAGGCAGAGCATTTAAAATGTGTTGAGTTTGCGTTCGTGGTGAGCACGAAGAGTTTAGGACTCGCTGCCGTACAAGAAGGTGCTTAGCACACAAGCTCTGTACGTAGACTAGCTATGACGTAGATTGTACAGTCAATTTGTTGTTTTTCCAACAGACCACTTCCACCATATAATAAACGAAGTACACCCTAATTTAAAATTTGAAATAGGAAAATCAGAAACATCACCGAGTGGGCTGTCATTGTCATTACTCGATTTCAAAGTCACCATATCCAAGGATGGCAACAGCTCTTTTGAATTCTACAAAAAGCCGGCAAGAAACCACTATCTGTCCACCATCAATCAGCTGTCCCCACCAAATCCAAACTCAACTTCATTCGCAACGAACGAAAATGCATCGAGGACAGATGCTCCTCACACTATCTGCGACACAACACCTTACCACATTCGATGACATCCTTGGCCTTAACGGTTATCCAGAGAACAGTATAGAGCAGACAAAACGCCCACAGAACCCCCAACGAAACCCTCAACCTGCCAACAACACAGAAGGGTCATACCTTAAGATCCCGTACATTTCTGAACGACTAAATCACAGGATCAATCACATTTTTAGGAAAGAAAACATCCCGATACGCATTGCCCACAAATCCTACACTCTCACGCAAGCCCTATCGCACTCCTTCACGGAGCGCAAATACACTAGAGACAAATGCCCTATCTCTAACACCGGATTGTGTTTACGAAGAAATGCAGTGTACTAGCTCACGTGTAACAGCTGCGATCAGCAATACATCGGTAGCACAACACACTTCATTCATGACCTCGTAAAAGAATACAATGTATCTCAATAATGAAAACTCCTCTGTGAAAAAACATATCTATTCCTGTCAGAACAAAGACTGTAAATGCATTGAGGTCAAGATTATTACGAGCGAAAACGACCCCGCTAATCTACGCCTTCATGAAGCATTTTACATTAGGAAGTGCAAGCCTACACTCAATTTCCGGGGGGAATGTGGTAAATTCGCAGACCTTCTATTTTAGTACTCTAGAGACCATTCTTAAGCGTAGACTACGAGTAGTCCCCCATTTTTCCTCAGGGATAGTAGAGCGAGCAAAACGCGAGCACGCGTGAAAATCACCCCACGCGAGAAAAGGCGACACTCTCTCCCCGCCGCGTGACGCTTTTTCTCGCGTGGGGTGATTTTCACGAGTGCTCAAGTTTTGCTCGCTCTACTATCCGTAAGGAAAAATGGGGGACTACTCGTAGTCTATCTTAAGCGCTCTTCGATGTCCTTTGTCTAGAGACATTCCATCATTAGAGTGTTGTATTCCATTCACAGTTTATTTCTATAGTTTTCATAGATACGTACGTCACATTTTCTACACATTTCAACCCACACCTTCTTTGCATATATATTAGCGCGCGCGGAATATTTTCTCATCCCTGATGGTACCGTTGATCGGCGAAAGCTTGGATTTTGGATGTTAGTCTTTTTAAACAGCAGTTTAAGGCCACACTGGAGCAGTTTTTATATTTTTTAATTTTGCTGCTGAAGGACAACATGAACAGATTTTACATTTTTAGTATTATTTATTTTTAGTTTAAGTATCTCTGAAGATTTGTCACCAATTTCATTTCATTATTCAGCACATATGCGATAATTATGCAGTAGAATCCCGGGGCGCTATCCATTCAACCAAAATTCCGACTGGTCCGACCGGGAAAAGGGGGGTGCTTACCATTTGACAGAAAAATCCGTTTTGGGTGTTGAAAGCATAATGGTAAGCGATTTATCGGTTTACCGTAGAAATGCCACATCCGTTACGGTTTGAATCCAAAAAAAGGGCGATTTGTGTAGCGTGAGTGTGGAACCGAGAAGGAACCGAGAAATTGGTAAATGGTAAGCAACATTCCGTTTGGTTTGTACCAACCGGAATGAAAGGACTACCTCAAAGCAAAGCTTACTCCTTAATTTTCGGTTGGAATTTCCGCAGTTTCCAAAAAGTGACCTTACCATTTACCTTCCATCCGGAATTTCCGAAATTTTCTGTCAAATGGTAAGCACCGTGGTCCACCTCAAAAGGTGGACCAGTTTTTTCGAAACGTTTTCGGTTGGACCGAACCGATCCATTGAGTTTTGGACCGAAATTTCCGGAAATTTTGGTTGAATGGATCGCGCCCCCGATTTCTCAAACGCTCGGTATTTTTGAAATTTTTCGATAATTCAACTTCCCGCGCCGATACCATTGATCTTATTCATGCCGATACAGGCCCAGGCCTCCCCCCCCCCCCCCCCCCCCGCCCCGCCCAAATGGCTCGTTTGATATCCCAGGGTGCATTGAAAGCTTAGTTGCGCGCGAAACTCGATGCAATGTTCGAAGAGAGACAAAATGGCGGACGAGTGGAAAGGTTTGTCGACGATTCGACCTTGGCGTTAATTGTTTTTCCTTCAGAGACATTTTTGGACATTACTAGTACAGTGTAGTGAACAATGAAGACGCAAAGTCATTTACTTCCTTCATCTCTGCTTTTTTGGTCCTGTTAATTGGAAGACTTTTATCTTCGAGTTTTATCTTCGCTCTAAAGAAGTGGATCATTTCTATTTCCTGTTTTCGAATGATGATACGATGGCAAAAGGAAAAGTTTCTTCGTCTTCTGGGGGATCCACGGCTATTGAGTCAACTGTGAAGCGAGTAACTGAATCTGAAAGGTAAAATATGCTTACAACTTTAATTACTGTGCCCTTTGTATCGTTCGAACTAAAATAAGCGCGCCTTACTTTAAGCTTAATACGTACGGGTATTAAAATATTTTCAGCGTAAGCTCATACGAAGGTTAAGGTTATGATTGGTTTACTTTTCAGAATAAGGCTTATTCAATAAGGCTCCGAATACATAAAACTTCAAATTTCTTAAATTTCAAGGGGTGACTAACGTAGTTTTATTCAGCAATTTTGATTTTGTTCAACTGGTTAGGTCGTTCAACCTTGCCAATTTGAGGATCGCAGATAAGGGTCTGTTTTCAAGAAGGGATGGCAGTTGCCCTTGCCAGAGGGTTTGCCAAAGCACTCGCACATTTCCTCTCTTTTATGTGATACGGCAGGTATGGTTACTCTGGCGCTAGGGTAACGCCAATTGAGTGCTAGGATTATCCTAATAAGTGGGGAACCCTACCTGCCCTGTAAACATTCTGCTAATGTTAGCCAACTTTGCTCTGTCGTGCATGACACGTAAATCTTGAAAAACTGCATGGAGTGATTCAATTTTTGAGCTAAAAGTTATCAATATTAGGTATTTTCTGTATACAATGATATTATTTGTCCATTTTTTCATGTTTTCCATGGAGATCTCTAAGATTTCATTCATTTTTTTGCCTTAGATGGCAAATTCCGGCGGGTGGGAACTCTTGAGCTGTCAAATCTTTCAGGTTGGGGACGAAAAAAGAGGGCAAATGCCCCATCCTCCGTCAACACTGCAACATTTTTCATTGATTGCACAGTCAACAAAGTCTTCCTTTGTAATGGCGATAGGATTCTAATTAAGACTTCATGCCGTGACGACATGCACCAGTTTATGGTTTTAGTATTGATATAAAATTATTAACATTAAAATTAATAGAGCGCTGTTAAGTTATATGTTATGAATAGGTTATAAATATGAAAGGATGTTCTTCAAGTAATATCGACAGAAATCACTTGATTCACTAACCAAAAAACGTTGATTCACGTCGATAGCTCCCAAGTTTCGCTATGTAATTCTGGATTGATAAGCAATGAAGAACTGCAAGCATAAAATCGAGAACATGCCTTTACAACCCCGTCTTGCTGGAATTGACTCATGCATTACAAAATACGTTTATTAAATCTTGTGTGGCCACTGAAGTTTATTGATTAGGGTGTTGAAACTGGGTGCATCAGCTTCCATTTAAGGTCATTATACTGGGAAAACTGACCTGAAACTTGATCCACTTGGTTTTCTAACCCTAATCTCTTAACTTCACTGGTGTAGTCCATTTTAGGGTAGTCCATATGGGTAGTTCATGGGGGTAGTCCAGGTTGTGGTGATTTCCAAAGGCTCTTTGCCAATAAGAAAACAGATGTATAAACAATGTATAATCATGGTAATAATCAAGCTGCTCTTGTCACTATTGTTATTTTACAGACAAAGTGTGATGTCCCAGAAGGTTTGCATCATGTTGACTCCTTGTGATCTGATAACTGATATTGATTGTAATTTTAAAGCAAAAGAAACTAGTTCAGAAGTTGATGTGCAATCCACTGGAAATGCTGACCAGATGGGCTCAAGTGGAATAGGGAATCAAAGCCATAATGGTGATGCAGTTTGCTTAGCAGATGCAAGCATAATTGAAGATGAAGTGAGGTCACCTTCTAATGGCTTTAGTCCAGTTAACTTTTATGGGTCAAAGAAACAAAACATGTCACCAAGGATAAGATTATTTTCTCCAAGTAGTCAAAAACTATTAAAGGAAGAACATAGCAAGTCTTTAAGTAAACATTCTTTGGGTGTGAAAAGGAAAAATAAGAAACAGGGAAACTCATCTGAGGTGCGAAAAAAGCAGAGGACTTCAAACATGGCGAGACAAAGTGAATTCTCGGAAGGAAAACAAAGATCGGTTGCAACTGGAAAACAAACTTTTAGTGCATTTGTAGATAGTACAACAAATGTCAGTAAGGCGGAAAATCATGTTGAAAGAAAGGATGAAACAAAGTTATGCAAGTCAGAAATTAATGGATTTGAAAGCAATGTTACTAAGGAAAAGAGGTTCTCGTCTTGTGGTGCATTTGAACAAAGTAACAATACTTCAGGTGGAGCAACGAATAGTGATTCAAGCCCAACAATGGCCAATGTTGCCTCTTCAAATGCAAGTGAGGTTGAATCCATTGGCTCAGAAGTAAGCCTTTACAGTGGTCCTGGTTCTGTAATAGATGGTTTGTTTCTGAGAAAGAATGGCAATGAATACTTCTTCTCTAATTCATTAGACACTGATACACAAAATACTGAAGAGTTTGCCTGTCAGAAATTCAGCAGAGAGAGCGTTATAAATGGTGTAACAAAGTTGAACCCATTTTCTACATGCGATAATGTAAATAGATTGACAGAGGAACCTCCCATCTCTTGTGATGTTGCTGACAATTCCCAGTCAAGTTTTTCAATTTCACTGCCATCACCAGACACCAGTGAGAGTGATTTTACACTAAAACTCTCAGAAAAAGAAGCAGATTCAAGCTCAACAAAAAGTTCTCCAGAACACCAAGCACCAATCACGAAATACTTCAAAAGCATGACAGGACCCAAGTGTAGAACAAAGCTCATAACAAGAAGTGTCTCATCCTCAGGAATGTCCTCTATAGAGAACTCTCCAGAAGTTAAAACCAGGTTAGTATGTTTATAAGTACAAATAGAACTCAACATAAAATTATCTTTGTTTGGGACATATGGTTTGTACAGACTCGAAAAGTTCTTGAATTTCAGCCGCCATCATATAAAATCCTTCAATGATACTACATCCTTGAAAAGCTCTTGAATTTTATGTTTCATCTTGAAAGTGCTTGAGATGTAAGATATTTCATCCTTATTTTTAGCAAATTTCCTTTTTGGAGAGTAGTTTTCAATGTTCAACTTCGTATGAACATCTATGCATGATCAAAAATTTATATGTATTGAGCGATTTCTTAATTTTATCGGTTTTTGGTCCTAAATTTAACAGAAATTAAAGGTAGTTTTTTGGTGTTGCGGACGCATATAATCACCAAATGATGTAAATACAAAAGATTGAAAAGACACCAAACAATATCCACATCACAGCATAAAAGCAAACCAACATCGGTTTCTGCAACACCAGGAAATACCCCAGTTACGGTATGCAACAGAGTGCCCAACTCATGCTTTACTGCAAAGGGGCTTCTTGCTCCTGTGCTTCTCTGCAGTCTGTTTTATTATGAGTCATTGTCATCATGCTTGACAATTACTCAAGTGTTGTTTTTATGTTTTAGTTTACTCAAATATAATAAATTGTCCAGAACTTTAATTTCTTCCTCTGGTTTTGCTTTCTTTGGATAAATACAGCACATGTATTAATGATTTGCTTATTGATTCCATAGTGAGGGAGGGGTAGCTCTACAGTAGATAATAATTTTGTATATATGTTTGTTATAACAGGATATCTCCATCTAGAAGAAGTAAAGTTGGGAAGAGACAAGAGCAAATGTACTTGGTATGTTTTAGACTACATATGATATTTTCCTACACAACTCTAACTATATAAGCTACCCTGCTAAGTGAAAGGCCAGGTCACTTCTGGTCACGCGAGGGAGTCAGAGTCGGAGTCCTAATCAGAAGCGTAGAACTTTGCTATCTAGTGAAAACAGCATTCTGATTCCACTTATGACTCCGTTGTTTGTCATCAAATGAAAACTAGGTTTTCAGAGTCGCAAGCTGAAGCAGAAGAACTAAACCAGTCACAAAGCGTAGAAATATGGATTGTGATTGGTTGTCCTTCCGCTTCTTCTTCCAACTCCAACAATCTGGTTTTCACTAGATCATAAGCGGAATGAAGCGACAGAGTCATAAGCGGACTCAGAAGAAAATGGAAATGTTCTGATTCTTCTGAATCTGATTCCGTTGAGCTTATGACTCCTCGTACGACTCCGATTTTTGATTTTCACAAGGTCATAAGTGCTCTTACGACTCCACTTACGATTCTGACTCCAACTCTATCGCTAGTGTAAACCAGCCTTTACAACAAGTTGTTATAAGACCTCTCAATGAAAGCCCATCTGATATTAAAAGTTGGTAGTGATTTATTGTCGTTGAGTAAATTATAACAAATGAGCAATGTACAGTATACTAGATGTCTCGTTAAACCAAAAAGTTGATTTCCACTGAATTTGTACAATTGTCTCCATTAAATGCAAGATATAAACTGGTTATACATTTGTTTTTACAAGGATTTGGGTCAGAAGGACTTTGGACATGTAACCTGTCCCACCTGTGGAATGGTTTATACTAAAGCCCAGCCAGATGATGAAGCGGAACATATCAGGCATCACAAGAGATTTGTCAGTGGGCTGAGGTTTTCAGTAAGTACTGTTAAACAACCTGATCAATTTTCCATAACTCTACCTCTTGGAAGTCCGCACTTTTGGACTGCTAAGAGAAACTACAGTACACCTTATAGAATCCTGATTTTTCAAACAGGTGTTGCGAAAACTAAGACCCTCCAAAAACTTAGACCTAAGGCCTGTCTTAGTTAATTTCAAGATAACGAAAACTAGGACCCCCTAAAATCGAATCTGTCGAAGTTTGAAGTCAAATTGTAACCAAAGTAGGTTTAATCTGTCAAATTGTCTTCTGTCTGATCCTTTCCACCAACTTTTACACTGTAGGTCAAATTTAATGGTAAATTTAGGGGTCTTAGTTTTCGTAGTTTCAAAAAGAAAGACCCCTTTTAGTTTTTCTCTTTTTAGTTCTTCTTATTAGTGTTTACAGGGTTTTCAACAGTTTTTGAAGTAGGAGTTGCAAGGCCCGGAGGGCCTTGCTCTCTAGGGGGGTCTGGGGGCATGCCCCCCCCAGGAATTTTGAATTTCTAGACTCTTGGAGACGCATTTTCCCGCATTTTGAGACGCAGAACTAGCAAATTTTAGATATCGAAAATACTGATAAATTTTGATGCTTTTAGTAACTTTAACCACAATATTAGGGTACGCTTTAACCACAATCAGGGTTTTTATGTGGCATATTGTTGTAAGTTAATATTTAATGATTTTAAGGCTTTAGTATGTTAGTCATTGTATAGGAATTTATTGTACCTGATGATTTTTACCGTGTATAAATAATGATTAAAGATTAGATTAAAGATTAAAGATTAGTACATAATTTGGGTGGAAAAAAGTAAAAGTGATTAAGAAACAGCGAAGGTAATTGAATTTTCAATAACCAACAAAAGCTACTTGTGTATACTTTGTTCATGTAGACCCATGTACTTGGATAGCTGTTTGTCCAGTCTAGACAGAAGCATTTTTTCTGGGCCTTCTCTTGATGCCTGGAAAAGGCTCAAAAACATACTAAAGCTATACACGAACTGTTTTAAACTCAAACAAAATTTACAATTTTGAATATCCTTATTACTTATCGATCACAAACACCGTTCAGTCCTACTTCATCATTCAATTGAAGTGAAATATGGTAGTATCTACAAGTCAAAACATGGAGATTCTTTGTCTTCTGAGAAAAAGACTTTCAGTCAGAAAAGTTCTCACTATCATCGTCATCATCCTCCCATCCACTGTCATGTGCTTCACTGTCGTCCGATTCGCCATGCTCTTCATCTAGGCAGAAGACTTTTGCTACCACTTCTTCTTGTTCTTTCTCCTCAATTTGAACTATTTCCTCTTCCGTTTGCGTACAGGCATCTGCTAGGGTAATCTTCGGGAAAACATTACATTATTACCTGCAGCATCCTTTTTCTTTTTCTTGTTTGTCACTGTCAGCGACCACATCTCCCGTAAACCACGCTGTCGCTTTTCTGCCATTTTGCCGTGTTCTTGGAGACGAAATGTGGCGTTTTATATAGAGTGGCTTCAGAAACCGCTAACTACAATGTTCCCTGTAACTGAGACCCAGTCTTCGACTCGTCCTCAACGTTTACTCAACGTATTACGCAGAGAACGTATTTTAAAAGCAGACTCAAGCGATGTTTTGGCGAAATTCTCCAGAAAAATTTCAAGTTTGCTTGCTCGCAACAGCTTTCTGAACACTTACCACTTTTTTTCAAAGGTTTTATTTATCATATAATTTACCTAAGGGAAAGTAGGCGTCGCAAATCAAAAAGTTGCCATCGGATGCGACGGCCGACGGCTGATTTTGAAAACACTGTGTTTAAACAAAAATTGACCTTGATTCCTTAATTCTTAAAACCTCCGGATAATGCATGTACAATGTAAAACATGTAGTTTTGAGCTATTTATGCAGTGGAAGTTAAATTTTGGATCCAAAGTGTTCGCTTTTGGCCTTAAACATGAGTAATAATATTATTAAAACAGAGAAGCTAAGAGAGTGAGAGTAGGACAACATTTAAAGTTTTCATATAAAGTACCTGAGTATTAATGAATTTTATTCCTCAATCTCCCAGTGCAGTAAAACGAACATAATCAGTGTGAGCCAGATTATTATTTTAGTTCTGAATATTCAATATAAACATCATCATTATTCATTCAAAATATTTCTCTGTTTCTGATTGGCTAAAATCACATGCATAATTCATCATAACCAGCTACTGTTGACCAAATTTGGAAGAATTTTGCCATATTGAACCGATAATGTTACTCACATGCAGCTCAAAACCGTTGATCTTTCAAAAGTGCAGCAAAGTTACAGATTATTGAACCATTAACCGAAAAGACCTGGGGACGAGTTTGAGTCGTTTTCGAAGTGAGTAATGGCGGAACATTTTACTCATTTCACGGCGAACTATTGTCTAAAAACATAGCAAGAACAGCAAGAATACAACTCGACGGATGACATCTACTAGTTGAAGTTTATTAGCAGACCTGAACAGCCCTTTCTCTCCTAAACTTCCCGATAAAGATGCAGTATCGATATGAACTTAACATTGACAGCAGTAAGCATGTTTTAGCTTGTTTTTAAACTTGGAATTATTTCAATGAATAATAATGCAATTATTGAATCCAGCTTTCATAGGATATGAGGAATTTTGGAGATCTTGGAGGGTGTTATCCAACACCCTCCTCGATCTGCATAATTCATCATATCCTACTCAGACTCATTCAATAATTGCTAAATATACAAACTCTCATTAAATATGTTTTACCTGTGGTTATCATGTTGATCATTGTGTCTGGGTGTTTGTTAAGGGCTGGAAGAATGAGAGTCTTATCAAAGAGTATCAGGATGGACGAGTGATTATGGTGGGACCAGATGATCATCCTCTTCATCTTAAAAAGGTACTACCAGTATATAAACATCAAGACATCAATGCTTGCCAGTAACACTGCAAGCCCACTTCTTTAAAGTCCGCGTAACTTCATCTGTGAGCCACAGGTAAAATCCAAAAGTAAAATACACCGTTTGTATTGGTATTGCTGGCCCCAGCTCACAGGCCAATCCATTTGGCTTTGTTAACCAATTCCAATTTATTAATAGCATTTCTATAAAAACTATTAAAATCTTGACTTCAAACACAATGGGTATCAAACCGCCTTCCAGGCCCAATTCTTACCCAATGAGTTGGGTTGGAAGGAGGGGGTAGTAATCCTCTATGAAAATGGCAGAGGATGATCACCGGCGAACTTCAAAAATACCCCTTCAAGTAGACTGTTCACAGCCCCCCATTATTTCATAAGATTATGGAGATCGAAGTGCAAGAGCAACCCCTCATTTTTATGTGAGTACCACCAACTTTCCTTTTTATAGAAAATGTAGTCTGCTATACAGCTAATTTGAAGTTGACTTTTAAATGTATTTTAAGGTTGAGGAAATACGGAAAGTTGTTGATAGTGAATTGGGCTTTGTTGCTGATGTACCTTACATTCAGTCTGAAGCAAAGGTGAGTAGTTTGGAAATCATGGCCCGAAATTTATGAACATTTTATCGTTATTTATTATTACATGGGATCGTAGCCCAGTTATGCTTAGAAAACTCCATACAAATCCTTCTAAATTTTTTTGAGGTCAACTCAAAAAAATTTAGAAGGGTTTGTATGGAGTTTTCTGAGTATAACCAGCTAACATCTCAGAGACAATTTGCCCCAAAATGCTCATTGTTGGCAAGTAGGCCTCTTAGACATTGTTCTTTCAGAATATCCTGACAAATCCCATAATTTCAGAAATTTCATTTTTATGACGTCATCACTTTAGTACTCTATTGGAGTATCGTAAACTTGCTACCTGTACTCTGATTAACAACTTCTCTTTCCTTTCAGACATTCCTTTTCATTACTGCAAAAAAGGTTGTTGGCTGTACGGTGGCAGTTCAAATAGATCAGGTAGGTTAACTCTACTAGCTGACTCCTCTTGTTTAAGGATTTCTGTCTTGGTACCAACGGATTTCCCAGTAAAGCAGGCACTTGGCTTTGACCTTGAGGTGGTTTTACTTATTCCACACTGTTGTTTATAAATTCAACAACAAAGCTTTCAGTTTGTTTGATTGAAGATTTACTTTCAACCAAACAAAGTTACTCCCATTTAGCGGGAAAAGAGGAAGACTTTTACTCATTAATTTTTTAGAGAGATAACTGCATTCAGCGCGTTAGTGATAATGGCAATAGTATCCAACATCTCACATTTTTTGTCTTAAGGGATACCCAGTGTTACCTTCACCTGGAGAATCATCAACTCCCAAAAAACAGATTGCAGCTTGGTGTTGCAGGTAAAGTGAAACTTTCACAAAACAAATTATTACCTCAGAACCTGTATAAAACGGCCAAAAAAGCACTTTACTTGAGTGTCAATGTATTTAGCACGAAAGTGCTATTTGGGGACACTACGTCTCCTGCTGGAGACGGGACCGCCATTTTACGTGATCATCCGAGCCTCGTGAAGGTCTAGCTGTTAGGGCGGTACCTTCAATTCTCAGTTACTTTTAAATCCTGAGTTCAGCTGAGTACTTTGGTCCGGTCCCGGGAATCGAACCCGCGACCTTCCTCGACCACCCGCTCTGCAGTCAAGCGCTCTACCGACTGGGCTAATCCTGCCGCAGTCAAAATATTTAAAATATGCAAGTCTTCTACCACGTCAAAATTAATCTTGTAAGAAACAGGCCAAGGAATCATGGCTGATGTTGATTCCAGAGAGTGGAGGAGTTAGAAAAAAAAATATTGTGAATGTTAACAACAACAGACCCTCTTTACAAGGATGAACATTGAACTGTGTGCAACAAGTCGCCGCAAATTCACAAAACTTTTAAAAAAAAAAAAAGACTTTATTGGGGTAGCACAATCACTCACTGCTAGTAACCCAGTAGTTTTCATTGTGACCCACGAATAAGGAAAGAAACAAATAATTGAAATACAGGCTTACATAACAAGGTTAAGAATCCTAACTGGCCTGAGACAAACGAGTTGGCTCTTCACAAGTTAAACCCCGGACTACCGAGAACAAATCCAGCTAGCGTTCAAGGCACGGATTGAACTCAGAGCCTCCGGATTGCCATTCCAGCTCTGTAACTGCTCGGCCACTCTGCCTCCCGCCAAATCGCCTTTAGTCAAGTATGCCCGAGACCAAAATTCTGTCAGCTGGTTCACATCCTGCCTATCCTCCAGTGTCAATGTGTCAATGGCCATCTATCCAGCGCTACTTGCAATTGTTCTCTGCTCGTGATTTTTGCTACAATAATTATCCGTAGCCTGTTCCAGACTCCGAGATAGTGGTGAAAAGTCGTTCAGTAAAACGAAATGCGAAAAACGCGCGGGGGCTGGGGCGTCTTATTTTCGCTTTGCTCGTTTTAATACGTCCGCACTATACTATCTGAGACCCTGGCACAGGCTACAATATCTGTCGCTCTGAGAACATCTTACAAGTACCCAAACCAAGGACAGACTATCTTTAGGGAGGTTTTGGGTATTCATGGGCTGTCCTTTGGAATAGACTGCCAATACTGCCATCCGAACTACGTAAGGCCGTTAACCCCTACAAGGTTTAAAAACGAGAATTATAGGCACCCACACGGTAAACACATAAACCGGTACTTTAGATTTTTATTATCTTTTTATACTGATGTTTTAATCCGTGTCTAAATAAAGTATGTCTATGTCTATGTCTAGTTTAGTTTAAGTCCTCCATAGTCCAAACTTATTTAGTTTGCGGTCCATCAGAAGTAGTTTCGGTATCCATTAGTGGTAATCAACGGTTCCATCAAGTTTTGTTCTTTTGTAGTACAACTCCCACACTTGCACAGTGTGGGATTAGCAGAATCTGGGTGCACAGTCGGTACAGACGAAAGAAGGTTGCCACACGACTTCTGGACTGCGTTAGGTGAGAATAGAAACTGACGCTTGAGAATACCTTCGACTCAAAATAAAGGCTTCTATCAGTAGTTAAAAGCATAAAGGACCGGCCATACTCTTTTAAACTTACAGAACCATATAAAGTACAGCTTTGAACCTTCCGACCAAAGGGTCACACCTTACAACTAAAGCCAGTACAACTCATACGGTACTGTGTGATGGACAATTTCAATAGAACAAAGGAAAGTTCTTGTCTTTATCTTTATGCTCTCACTTAACGATAGCCACATCGCAAAGCATAAAAAGACTACGCAGAAAAGTGCTGCGTATAGTATGCACATTTTAGGATTTCATCCATGGACTTAAAACAGCACCACGACAAGACAACAACACAGGTGTGGTTCCGAACGGTCTGAAATTAAGAACTTCTCAATGGAAAATGTGTTTATGTTTCAATAATTTCGCAACAACTCTCCCGTCTTTAAGTAAACGAACTGTCAAACTATTTGTTTGTTTGTTGTTGTTGCTTTTTTAATAGCAAACTTTACTCCTCAGTGTTGAACTTTCTTTTTGGTTATTTTTGTAGAATGAACTTCCTCTATGGATGCGTTATACCAAGGGAACTTGTGGCTTTTTCTGATCCCACACCCGATGGCAAGAGACTTGCACAGAGTTACACTGGGACATCGCAATTCCTTGTGTTCCGGTAGTCTGCGCAGAGGCGTGTTGACGATTTTGAAGGCAACATTTTAGACTATTTATATTGTGCATGCCCATGCAATTTACTTCAGCTGGATAAAGTGCACCTTATTAAAAAATATTGGAAGTCCTTTTTTTTCTATCTTTTTTTCTCCTTTTTTAGAGACAACCATCTAAATACGATTTTCCTTTCAAAGACTACTTTAAGCTTTTGAGTGCATGATGCCGTGTCATCCCGGCAACATGCATGGTGGGAAAATAAAAGGTTTGTATGTGAACTTGAAGAAACTTGCTCTGCCTAATGGATGCACATTTTAGACGTTACGTCCAAAAATCTAACATTGCTTCTAATTTTCCTGCGAAATGAGTTTGTAGAATGTTTTTGTTATTTGAAATAAATCATGTTGCCATCATTACTCATCATGCACTCAAAAGCGTGAAATGTTCGTTAATAAAACACCGCAATTACCTCTAAAAATTTGAATTGCAAGGAAGTGAATTTTTTAATTACTTGTCATACATCCCAGTAGAGCAATTTCGAAACTGAGGCATTTTAATTAACGCAGTTTAAAAAAGATTTTGATGTACACACTGAATCGGTGCGAGAAGGTTACGAATTTTTACGGCTTAGTGTGGACAGAGTCTCGTTCAAGAAATTTAGTGCATATATAGTCCTGGTTTTTGTGAACTTTAAAAATATTTTATGGCCGATTTTTAATTTTTGGCCACTTATTCGTTGTCCTTTTTTGTAAGTTTTACATGGAATCTTAAATTAGACAAATATTTTTTCTAAATAATTAAATGGAGCCATTTTCATTACGACTACTTTTTAATTAGTTTCTCTTGTGCCTAGAAGAATGAGGCTGTACTTCAGTTTCATTGCACGTGCCCATCAGTAGCACGTGTCATGACACCGTGTTGTTTCCATGGGAACACTTCTTAGCGTGGATTTCCACTGCCACGTAATTTTAATGTGCACGTAAATAAATTAGAGGTAATGTATAAACGGTCGCGCGTAAAAGTTGAACGAGCATTTGAACCTCGTTCAACTTTTACGTTTACACGCGACACTTTATACATTGTCTCCATTTCATTTACGCGCATAAATTTTACATCGCGTAAAGGTGGATTTCCATTGTCGCGTAATTTTAACGTGCGTACGCACGTAAATTTTACGCGCGTAACTAAAATAGAGGCCATGTATAAAAGGCCACGCATAAAAGTAAAAGTTGAGCGAAGTTTAACGTTTACGTGTATGCGCGACCTCTCATACATTGTCTCTATTTTTTTACTCGCGTGAAATTTACGCGACAGTGGAAATCCATGTCGCGTAATTTTTCCCTGCGAATGCACTTAAAATTTACGTGCGTAACTGAAATAAAGGCAATGTATGAAAGGCCACGTGTAAGTTGAACCTCGCTAAACTTTCACGCTTGCGCGTGACCGTCCGTGCATTGCCTCTATTTTAAAATTACGCGACAATGGAAATTAGCCATAAAACTTACGTGCGTATGCACGCAACTGATTTCCTCTGTCGCGTAATTTTTCCGTGCGAACGCGCGTAAAAGAAATAGAGACATTAGGGCCATTTATACGAGGAAAAATAAGACGCGAACTTTCCGTATAAACGGCACATTTCGTCTAAAATAAGACGCGGCTTAGCTAAGACGCGTCTTATTAGGTAAGACATGCTCGTATAAATGGTACAGTTCGCGTCTTATTTAAGACGCGTCTTATTTTTCCTCGTATAAATGGCCCTAATGTACTACTATCAAAAGCCACTCGTAAACGTGAAAGTTTAGCGAGGTTCAACGTTTACGTTTACGCTTGGCCTTCCATACATTGTCTCTATTTTATTTACTCACGTAAAGTTTACGTGCGTATGCACGTAAAAATTACGCGACAGTGGAGATCCACTTTCATTTTCACGTGCGTGCGCACGTTAATTTTAGGCGCGTAAAAACAGAGGAAATGTATAGACGGTCGCGCGTAAACGTAAAAGTTGAACCATGGATAATAGAAAGTCTTTTTATTATCCATGGTTGAACCTCACTCAACTTCTACCGTGAAGCTCGGTGTTCTACACATCACCTCTATTTTTCATTTACGCACGCAAAATTTAAGTGCGAACGCACGTAAAAATTACGCGATAGTGTAGCGTAATGTTTACGTGCGTAAAATTTAAGTAAGCGTAAACGATTTATTCAACACCCGCAATTTCTGTTGCAGAAACGACACTTAAGTGAACACTTACGAAAATTGTAAGTGCGGCCACTTAAGTGACTTCCCTCAGTGGACCACTTAAGTGATTTAATGCAACTCACTTAATTTACGAGTACTGAAGTATACCAGTATTGCTACGTGCGTTTTATGCAACCTTCCCAGGGATTTCGAGCCAGAACTCGACATTTTTTCGCTTTCCCGCTTTACCTCCTGTATAACCTGAGTATGAGGCGTTTCTGGGTGAAAAGGGAAAAGTTCCCCCATCTAAAATCTCCTCTCCCCTAGCCCCTTAGGAAGGCCTGATACTCAGGCTACCTCCCGCAAGTCATATGACCATTAAGAGCATGGTTCTCGTGGCAATCATGGAAGGTAAGCTCGAGTTAGGGTCAGAGGTTAGGAGGTTACGAGTTAGGTTATGAGTCCCTTTTGTTACATGTATTTTATTTTTGTTTATTTGATTATTAATTATTTTTATTTAATTTTTCTTGCTTACAGAAAAATTAGAAAAGTCCTAACTGGAGTCCCTTCTCAAGTCCTGGCTTTGACGTTAGTTTATCTCGTTTTCAACCTGTCTTAATGGGGACTTTAAGATCCAACGTCCCAACGGCACCGGCGCGAGTTCACCCCGGTTTTCTCTAATGGCTCTACATGTGTTTAAACATGATACCAACACAAAATGTCATCCCGGCGCGACTCACCCCGGCGTGAGTTCACCCCGGTTGTTGCACCGGAGCGAGAATTTCACCCCGAAAGGAAATTGGCAACGGTATCATGTAACACGAAACGACCACCCGTTTCGGGTAGCGCATACATAACGTTTGCGATCTTGAATGGCACGTGTATTTTATCAACATGAAGTGTACCTTCAAATAACCGAGATATGAAATGACCCATCATGTAAACGCGATACGAAATCAACAAGTCATCCCGGTATGAAACTCGCGCGCAAGTGTGAGTTTTCTCATGTAAACACCCCCCAAAAACCAATAGGTTTAATAAGCAAATCACTTTTTTGTACATTTCTTGGCAGTTTTTGGACGACTACAACATGAAAAAGCTGAATTTCGTATTTTATGAAGAACGTAAACAAGAAACGACGAAATGTTTTTCTCTTTCTGAACTTGGATATGGTCCCTTGGAATTCAACTTCATTAAGGAGGATTCGCCTACATTTGACAAAGTAAACGGCTTAGAATAATTGCGACAAAGACTGAGAGAACGCAAATTCACTTTTTAAGCGACGTCCTCGTTGCCGTCACGTCGTTGGATCTTAAAGTCCATATTGATTATTTGTCAGTGCCATCGTCTTCGATAAGCGATAGAATCGTTTCCCATTAATTTTGAAGTTACAGTAGGAATCATTTGCAACCTTATTTTACATGACATTCAACACGGTCAGTGGCAATGAAACCCACTCTTAATACTTCTCGTCCGTATTGAATTCAGTAAAACAAAATTAACTAAAGGGAGGCTGACAATTTACCCATTGGGTGCGAACGATCTGTTGCACTCGGGTTTTATTTTACTATAAAACAAATTCATCAAGAAACGTTCCCAAGACGCTGCAATGAATGAAGACTACTTAGTTTTATTTACTTGGCTTTACTTTGTGTTCACTTCAGGAAACAATTCTACATACATCATGTATAGTACTGTTCTATTTTTTTCTCCGAGGTTGGCTAGTTCTTGTTAAACGTCAAATATTTTAACTTTTGTGCACAAGTAAATACTGACGTTTTCTTTCTTAGCAATTTCTATAATATGACGCAGCGGTCGCACGAACAACACGTGACAGGAACTCCATCCTCCATCTCCTCGAAGCCCTCCTCTGGAGTGTACCTCACATGCCGTTTTCCCGTGTGTAGCAAAGGAACTCTGTCTTGACATTTGCCATCTTCAACTGTTTTTCCTGAAAGATCAAAGATAATCTATATCACGAACTAGGATATCTACACCCCACAGACATGCATAGATTCCGGTAATACTAATTTGTAGGGATATGGACTAATCGAGAAAAGGAGAGCTAAAAGTTTTCCTCTTGCAATCTTGGTTTTTTCCACTAGACTTGTCCCTTTTTATATCCAATCGTACTTTTGCCTTCCCTTAACCCCCCCCCTCCCCTCCCCGCCCCCCCCCCCCTTCCCACGAGGCATCTGAGTTTATCCTTCGTTTTCCTTAGAAGTCAATTTTTTGTAGTCTTGGCAAAAAATTATCGCTTAACCCACTTAACCTTCCCCGTTTCTTGAACAGTTCCATAGATGTTCGTGACGCATATTGGTGACGTCATTCAGCGTAATGTAATAGTTTTGCGAGGTTCAAAATCACGTTTCGCTCGCTACAACAAAGCCTCTTTCAGTTGGTGTATATTGGACGTTGTAGCCGGTCTTCCTAGCCTGAGAAAACAGCCGACATCTTGCGACGCCACCTATGATTTCCCCCGCGAAATGACGTCTGAGGAGCAGGCGCAGAAATTTCATACTGATGACGTGTCACTACCCTGGTCTGGGTAGTGCTTTTGATTGGTTGAAAATCTGCTTCAACCAATCAGAAGCACTAACCATATCTTTTTTGGCGGGCTAGGGCCGTTTTAAAGCTCTTTTCAGGTATACCAAGCCCCGTGATTATTCCGTTACCTCCTGAGGAGTCTTGTGATGTCCAGTAGTCCTTTCCATCTTCAGCTATGCGTCCTGATGGGCTGCGCCCCTGACTACTTCTCAGGGTATCCAGCCGCTGTGCTTCTGCGACAAGTAGCTTGTCAGGTACCATGAGATAACTCTCGGTATCTCCATCATCTGCAGCGTTATATTCTGCTCCTTCAGGCGACAACCTCCTTATTGTCATCTTTATTTTCTTCTTGGTGCAGCTGTATTCCGCTGAATTCTCATTCTCTTCTTGTTCAGAGATTTGTGCCGTCTTTCCGTGAGTTTTAATCTTACCAGAGGTGCAGCTGACGTCCTCCTTTAATTCATACGAGGAGGCAACAATGCCAGTTTCTTTGGCCGATGAATATGAAAACGAGAAGTTATTTGATTTTTAAGCAGTATTTGACATGAGTGGTCAATATTTTCCTCCACGACTGTTTTATCTACCATTTTTAAACGCGCTTTACTCATTTGACTTGTTAAATTATTTTACAGTGTGCCCTCTATATGTGTTCTCATTGGCTGAGAGCCTTCAATCAATTTGAAAAATCAATTTCAAAATCGTCGTCACCTACAGCTTGGTTACAGCTTACTTAATCGTCATCACCTACAGCTTGGTTAGGACTCCTTCCAGTTAGGTATCTGCTAGCAAACAACTGTATACTTTTCAAGAGCAATGCTGTCTAACTGACTCCAGTGTGATCATGTTTGTTGTTATTTTCTTTAAAGCAATGGATAACGAAACAATTATTACATTCGGTTTTTGTGATTTAAGGAATAATCCACTTGTCTTAAGAAGAGATCTACAGGTCCAGTATAAATTGCCGTAAACCGTGGTCTAAGTTATAGACTTCGTTTTGTGAATAACTAGCGCCCTTAAAAAAGAAGAGGATAGTGGTTGTAAGAGCATTTCACAACATTGTCTTACGCAATTTAAGTGAAGTCTGCGTTTGCCACACAATGTGAATATTGTCTAGATCCATGATAACTCAGTCAAAAACTGCTAGCATTCAAGCCTAACGGAAAGCTATTTTAGAAGTAACTATTTTATACTGCTTACACAACATATGTACTCAAAGCAAAGTCACCTGTTTCAATTTCCCACTTCCATGCACAGCGGAATGTAGGTGATCCGTTGTCCTCCTCAGATTCAACTACAGTTCTCGTGTGCCAAACGTTTGGAGAATCACCATCATAACTTTGATCCTCCCAAATAGAAGAGGTCTGAGCGGAAGGCCCACTTTCGTCGACTTCACCCTCGACTGATTCTCCCACGCCATACGTGAAGGAATGATAACAATATACAGGACTTTTTCTTGGAGGACTGCCGTTTTCCTGACTATGTGTGCGTATGCGCAACGTTGTTAATGTGCCCGACGGAGTCTCGAATTCGCTACCTATCAATGCGTTACAAAACAACTGTGAGGGGTTAATTTAACGCTCTAACAGATATAATTGCTGTGGGTCAACAATGTAGGAACATTGAGCACCTCATGATTTAGATTTTTCGCCATTCATTTTGTCATGAAACATTTTGACCCAAATTGTGTCCTTTTGAACCGGTTTATCAGACCGGGGGATTCCGGTTTCTTCGTCTTTGAAGTCAGTCAAAAATGGGTAGTGTCATTCTTTTGCTGGCAAGAAGTCTTCGTTTTTGCCGTGAAACGGCACAACTGCACGCCAACTGACAACGTTGATCAACTGATTTGGTTAGGCGTAATACTCTGGACGCTTACAAAGACGGGGATGTTTATGAGCGGCCTTCCAACAGAAAACCATTAGCAAACGGTTATGATTCTGTCCTCAGTACAAATTCTGGTAAAATGCTTTCTTCCAGAATAAATACTATCATTCCTACGCAATCGTTTGTGTGAAACTTTTCCTAGGGCCCACAATATTTCATAAGGACCAGGCGCAAGACATTGCTTCGTGTATTCCCTACTGAGATTATTGCGCTAGCAGTCACGCCCTGATTACAGTTGTCCGACTTACGCGACTTTCAATCTTCAGCGAATCAAATTTCAAATTATTATTTAACTACTGGCCAAACGTCCTACACAAGCCGTTCCGCAATGTGTGCGGCGTGTGCTCACGCGAGTAAAACATGTTACTAGTAGTATTGCACGAAAGGCCGCACGTTCGTTTATTTCATCTTCCTTTTTTAATAGGTTAATTTCTCTCATTTCAGTTTTTGTGCACCCCTTCTTCCCAGCAAACTGAAGTGCTGACTGTGGTTGCAAAAAGTAGAACGAGAATCTAGTTCATCCGGCTTTATGTCAAAGCTTCAACCTCTCGGCTCAATTATTATCTTCCAGTCCAATTATTCCAGGAGTAAGACCTTTCAATTGGACCTTTCTCTACACTGAATTTTTATTGCATAAATTGAAAATGGTACTAACGCTTGTAAGTTATTTTACCTGTGATTGTTTTGCTCATTATTACATTTGGAGACTTGTTCCATACTTTCCGTTGAAGTTCTTCAAGCTCCTCGTTTTTTCCATGGTCATTCGAAGATTGCCAAACTGTATCTGACTTCGTCACACCCGCGAATACCTCATTCATATTTTCATCGGACTTTTGCACTGGTTTGAAGTTGCCGTTCGTCGCTGAAAATTCGGCAGCTGGTCGTTGCGCTTCGGCAGACAGACTCTCAAACGAAGGTGCGGCCATGGGCGAAATATATATATTACTCATTGTTACGGTGCCGGGTTGTCTTGTCCAAGAACTTCTCGATATTTTGCTTAGCAAATACAGCCTCTGAAACACATTTACCGACTTAGTTTGAGTCAGTTTTTTGTACCACCATTCAACAAGAACTGTTCAACGACAACAGCAAATTATTCAGTGACGGTTGTTTTTTTAAATACTGCTGCACGTGAAAATTAAAGTTGTAATGCTTTTAGCGAGGTGAAGATTCAAACATATTTGCAGTTTCTCCACTTTCCTCTCCACGCTGACAGTCAATTTCCTAAAAATTGTTTTATTTATTTTAAACTCAAGGTGAAGGAAATCTCGACCTTCTTGTTACAATTCTTGCCCTTCTCCTTGTGACGAGTTTTTTAATTTATTACTTTTCTTTTATTTGTTCTTTACTGAGCAAAAATATGTCAAGTTAGCGCCAAACTCAGACTTAATGCACTGGTATGTCATATTATGTCATCTCTTTCTCGTGTTTGTTCCTTTTTCCAAGACACGTACTATACCACAGAAAACGTCACCTACATGTTACCGTGTCTATTGCAGCCAATTCTTCAGCTGATTCTTTCCTAAAAACATAAACAATCTTTTGTTTCTTAATTATTTCTCAGGGGCTGATCCAGGATTTTTTTTAGGAGGGGTTGTACTCGTCTCTTGCTCTACTTCAACACCAATAAACCACACAGTTTTTTTTGCAGAGTACCAGTTGTATTAAAAAACCGCAGGTCATCTCGGGGGGGGGGGTGCGCACCCCCTGCACCCTCCCCCTAGATCCGCCCCTGTTTCTTGGTTCTGTACATGGACAATAGCAACAAACCGACCTTTGTTCTGGCCTTTGAACGTTATAGCACAGTTTTTCCTCGATTAAGTTCAATGTTTGAAAAGGTGAGGTATTTCGCTGGCTGAATGGCAAGGGAACTAAACCAAGCTCTAATTGATGTATATGAAATAAATCATTTCTCTGTTAAGCTTTTCGATCTATAGGACGATTTCCGTACATCATATTAATTAAACTACCGAAATTAGTAAGGATGGCCAACATGTACATTCAATATTATTCTACGTACATGCATAGAAAGTGTAAGAGTAATTGTTAGGTCCAAGCGTAATTTTTGTGGAATATATATTCCTTAACGGAATTTTTAAAGGGATTATATGATTCTATTTTTTTAGGGCCTTTAATTACCGAATTCGATCGACTGGTGGCTCATAACAATAATTTTATGGAGATGACTGGCTCTGCAACAATTAAAAAATATGAGAATCACATGAGAGACTGATGAATCTATTATAACAGCAATAAAATGTGGACAGAAAATACTGTAGGTAACTAAATATGCCAGGAAGTCGGAACTGTGTCATGTTTTTTAGGGGTTTCGATTTCTGACCAGGCTCATTTTCAATCGTTAACTGGAGAGTTCAGTTTCTGTATACGAAGAGTGGATGATTCTGTAAATTGTGAGCTTTCCGAGGCCTTGCAGGGACCGCTCCTTGGAATGAAATTAGAAAAAGAAAAGATAAATGTACTACCTACTTACAGCTGAAATGTGCAGTGATGTGGATATATGCTCAGTTTCCAGGCAGCCGTGGTTGTCTAGAAAAGTTTTCTCGCACTTCTCCTCGCCTTCATTATATACGCAGCACTCGTGAAGTTTTCTTAAAAATGCAGCGGTGAGTGATAAAAAAAAATTGCTTACAGCTTTCGTCAATTTGAACAAGCTCATTATTAAGAGAAGTTGGGCTTTCACCCAAGGTCCATATGAATAAGAAGGGGATGCTCTTCGTTCCATGTAGGGCTGTAAAAATGCAGATTTTGGTCTAACTTACATTGTCCATATTATTTGTACCCAAGTGATCGTTCAGGGTCGCGGAAAGGAATAAAGTCACTTTAGTTTTTTTTGATTGTCTGTAGCCTGCGTAGCCGAGAATGGCGGTTTTGTCGAGCGCACTACTGCACGAAGCTGCAAAAGTGCGCGCGTGCGAACGAGCGAAGTTTCGCTGCCCTTTCTCACCTTGGCTTTTTTGCACACCCGACCAAAAACCGCCATTACCGGTCAAGTAAATCTTGGTTTCCTTTAGTAGTTACCCTAATTCTCCGACGTAACGATCATCCATCGGATCCTGTCAGCCCCAGTCATCCCCTAGTCTCCTTCGTAGCCGCTCGGGCTGGAGTCACGCAATGCTTCCCGCCCTCATACAAAATATTAGCAAAATTGCCGTTCAAGCCTTCTTTAGCAATCGCGTAGTCTCCCAGCCTGCGGACACAGACGTATTTCCGGTTATCGCTTTTCGGGAAGGCTAGTAGTCTCCCGGCGTGGCTGTCGGCTCGGAACCCCTGAAGTTTACGATACACTTGACAACTGTTACATGACGGCGTGGATTACAGTCAAGATGGCGGACAAACCTGTGGTAATTTGGCGGGAAATCGTCATTACGAGATAAGTCGCGATCAACCATAAACAATCTAAGCCAAACTTGTATTTTCAACTGCGCCCGTATATCCACCAGTTTAAGCCTCTTTTCTCTGTGTGTTGCTTTTAACGGACAATGGGGAAACCTGGTCTGAGGAAAGGTGGAGCTGGAAAGAGAAGAAGAAGCAGCTCAGGAGAGGAGGTGGGATGCCGTCAGCTGCCTTTGTAGCTTACTTTTCTGCTTGCTCATTACTGTTTCTTTTTCAGGAAAAAGGTCCGGCTCAGCAAAAAATCAAAAGTTATTTCAACAAGGTACTCGTAAGTTTCCTTATGAAAATAAAAAACCGACCTAAAAACGCCCCCTGTAGCTCGGATTATTGAAGGCAATAATTTTAATTTCTTAAATCTGGAGGGGTTTCTTCATGGTCACATTCCACGGGTCACGACTACAGGTCACTGTTTTATTGATTGGCATTTAAACCAAATAGTTTCTCCCCTCGATCAAAAACAACATTTTGGTTAGGGATTAGGGCTAGTAGGAGACACTTCTGGTCTTGTTTATTTATACTGTACATAATGTGCAGCACGGTGACCTGTAATCTGACCTGTGGATTCGACCTGTAAAAAAAATACCTGCTGCTCATAGATGCATGCTGTGGTTGAGTATAAGTCTTACAGTCAAACCAGGTCAAACGTACCCTCCTAAGATTCAATAAATGGATTTATTGGAAAGTTCAGTCCATTGGTAGTTGCGGCAATCAGTATCAAATTCAAAGTGGCATTCCTGCATGTGTAATGAGCATTAATTTCTTTCTCTGTGTTCAGTCAGATTTAATTATCTTTGAGTGAACAAATTCCTTCAAAGGCATTTACATCAAATTCAAGAAAACTAAGTTGGTATAACTACCTCACTTGTGAATTCGCTGCTCAATTGTATGCGGGAATTCCGAGTTGAATCTGAAATCTATAACTCCCAACAGATTTAACCTTCTAATAATAAATTCAGTTATAGTATCTTGGGGCTCCGGGGTATGCTTTATCTGGAAACACTGAGCAGGGGCACCCAACATCAATTTTCAGAAAATATCTGTTTGGAAGACGATTTGAGATCTAGAATTTTTGGAACATTTGTTGTAAAATTTCTTGCTTGTCTGCCTCTCCTAGGATTTTCGAAGATCTAAAAAATGGTATAATTGCACATTTTTAACGGATTTTTACCCTAAAAAGGTCACCTAGAATTTTCGGGAGCCTTTTTTCTGGCTGAAATTTTCGAAAAGGTAAGTTTTGATTCCTATAATTTTCGGATCACTAGATTTTCAGCTAGGAAATCCGAACAGATGAAAAATTTAAATATGCCTATGCCTACCGTTTAAATACTAAAATACGTTCAACAATGCTATGTTTAAGTGGTTTTTAACTATGTTCTTGTTGGATGCCCCTGACTGAGTCCTAATGCACGTCACTTGTTAATGTAGATGGCCTAAGATTTATTTCCAAGAAAGTCTCTTCTATCTTATGATGATGATGATGATGCCAGATAATGACAATTTACGGCAAATTTAATTTGTTGATTTATTTTAAGGGAGGTGTTCTTTGGAATAATATTGAAGAATCTTTCAAGTGTCTTAATCTTTGCAAGTCCTTGAAAAAGGCTATTTTCAGTCCATATTGAGTTCTCTCTTTTCCAATATCTTCTCCAGTTCCTCAATTTTTCAGTGATTCAAGTCTGTGCAATGGGTTTTCTTTTCTATTCTTTTCTTTGATTGATTGTTTGATTGTTTTTACATTGTTTAATGCTTGTGCCTCCATGAAGCAACCATACTACATTCTGAATTAATTTATTAATTATGCTTCCTAGCAAGATTAGCTTGTTAGCCATTTTCTAAGTGGCTTGTACCTTACATAAGTAGTATTGTCTTCTTTTAATATCCTTTTTTCTGTGTGAGGTATAAATAAAGTTCTTGTCTTGTCTCATCTTCTCTTTTCAATAAACCTTCTCATTGCAATTCTAGTATTTCCTAAGGATTAAACTTGTTTTGTTAAAGCATGGATTTTTATGCTATGTCGGAATTTAAAATTAGCTTATAGCATGTTTCCATCACATCGGTTGTAGAAACTTGTTTTGTTAAAGCATGGGATTTTTATGCTATGTCGGAATTTAAAATTAGCTTATAGCATGTTTCCATCACATCTGTTATAGAAACTTGTTTTGTTAAAGCATGGGATTTTTATGCTATGTCGGAATTTAAAATTAGCTTATGGCATGTTTCCATCACATCTGTTGTAGGAAAGTTGTCAACTTTGGACTTCCATAGGCCAAGAGTCCAAGGGTAAGTATACTAATAGTTTGTGTAGTGCATTGTTATTATTACATGAAATGCTTTTACACTGGTCTTGTGAAGTGGACTCTATCAACCACCTTAAAAATGTCACTGAAATAATGTTACCAAGCAAGCTCTGAAATTTTATCATTGTAGGACCTGGTAAAAGGAAGAGCCTTAAATTATCCACGAAAAAGGTGGGCATAACCCTAATAATAAACTTGGATAGAACACATTTCATTGTATCTGTTACAGGTCAAAATTAAATTAAGGTTAAAATTTTTTAACCTGGGTTGATTCTCGATTTCCTCTGTCTCGATCCTTGCCCTTATTCATGAACAATTAGGCCTAATGATAATGATAATAATTTATTCATTTATAGTGCGCTTTTTAACATGCTAGGTTATCAAAAGCACATTACAACAATAAATAACCTAAAAACTATACAAATATTAGAAGTATACAAATATATTTAGATTTAAAAGTGCAAATACATTTGATGCTGCGGAGGCTAACAGGAAGAGCGTTCCATAAAGTGGGCGGAGCCCACTGAAGGATCCGTCACCAAATGACTTTTTCATTTTCCCTGATGGATGCTTAAATAAAACACCTTCATTAGAGTGCAGCAAATAGCACTTATTAGTCTTAGTATGAATTAAATCAATGATGTAACTAGGTGCCATGCCATAGAGGGCTTTGAAAGTAAGTAATAAAATTTTAAAATTAATTCTATATCTTACTGTTAACCAGTGTAAATTAATCAAAATGGGGGTAATATGGTCATACCTTTTACATGGCATAAGCAGCCTAGCTGCCTAGGAGACAAAGGAAATTGAGAATCAACCTAGGTTAAAAAATTCGAACCTGATTTTAATTTTGACTTGTAGCATATCCTTGTTGCTACTTACAGCCAATTTAGAAGCAACGATTAGAAATGCAGAGGTACAGGAGTTGTTGGTGAAGCATTCTCTAGGGCTGTCATTAAGCAGTCATAAACCATAAAAATCTGTACCATACTCAGTGTTACAGGTGATGGAAGTGTATAGCCATAGAAAGACTATTAACACATTTTAAGATGTAACGGGTGAAAATTTACGATTGGCTGGCATGAGTAATACAATATTGCAAGCAGAAGACAGCACACATTTGAACTAACTCATCAATGGGATTGCAGGTACATAGTGTGAAATGCTCATCCACCAAGTTTGGTGTCACTCTTCCAAGCACTTGCACTTGCCCATGCATTTGCATCAGCCTTGTTAACAGGCTCTCATGTGTGCTCTGTCTTTTTCAAAACTTAATGTCAACCCTGAAAGGGAAACCCTCTCCTGAATAGTTAAAAGAATAGTTTAGACAACTGTTTTAAAATAGTCTCTCACTACTGGGCCAGTGATTTACCCATAAAAGTCATGAAAATGAAAGTAATATTAAGTACTAATGGTGATCACAGAGTAAGTGTTACAGTACTGGCAAATGTTTTTATCTTTTAGTGATATTTTCAACTGTTACCTGACCATGGTTTATTGTTGTTTCCTTATTTTAGGATAGCAAAGTCAGCGACAGAAGTACTTATTTTGTCTCTAGCAAAACGTGCAAAGCTGAGGCCGTCACAAGCAAAATTGAGGGAACAAAAGTGCTATTACAAAATGACGAGAGCATAACTGAGGTAAAGAACTTTACTAGGGTATTAGAGCATAGTGAGAATTTCAAGAAAACCTCACGGGTACTTAAAGAAAAGAAGGAACTCTCTGCTGAGAAGAAATTTAAAACTCCTCCTGGAAGAAGAAACAACTTAGTACACAGCACAGGATGCAATTTGTCAGGCACTGAAAATAATGCCACAATAATTGCAGACGATGATGAACTCATCCCTCCTACACCTTCACCAGCGGCACAGCACAGCTTTATAAGCTTTCAAGTTCAAAAGGAAGGCTTGCCAAGAAATATTCAACACCCACAGAACTCTCCAGATTTGTTTGAGGACAAAGCAGTTGTCACCAATAAGTCAAAGAAGTTAGGAACAAGTACAAAGTCAAGTAAGGTGTCACATGGTGAAAAGACCAAGAATGAAGTCAATGATCTCTTATCTACTGGAAAAGCTGAATCAAATAATTGTTATGTTAGAAAGGAGGAATTAGAAAAAAGTGGCATTACTTTATCAAAAAGTACCTTTAATTCTGCTAAGGCATGCAACAACAATGATACACATTTGGGGACTGATATTTCATCAATGCAAACCACAAGCAGAAAAATGTATAAGCTGTTGAGAAAAGGAAGGGCACCAAAGGTAGTTTCATCCGCAGTAAAGAAACATGATGTCTACAGTGGATCAGGCATAAAATCTCCTCAAATTAATGAACCACTGCAGAAAGGATCAGAGTCGTCCAATCACAAGATATCAACTCCTGTTATTGTTCCTTCAAAATGTGTTGTTCTGAAGTCAAGAATGAAAAGAGCAGCAACAAAAGGAAGCTCCCCATTACAGAAACGAATGCAGACAGAACTGTCCCCAACTGTTAAGGTATTGTAAATTTTTAAAAAAATATCACTCAATAATAATAATTATTATTGGCATGTGCCATAATCATCATCATCATCATTAGAATTAGTATGTAAGTACCGCTTCGCAATTAAGTTGCCACTCTTTTGCAAGACATGACTCTTATATTAAAAGTTGCAATAGTTCAGTTGTTTCACAAGAGAGTTAGAAACAGACTGTAAGTTTGTATACATATATGCTTTTGTTCTTTGTAGGAATGTCTGATGTTGAGAACAAAATTACTCCCAAAATTTTCACTTTATCACAGATTTATTATGTTTATTCAGATTGTTATAACCATCCCTTAAGTCAGTAACTGAATTTCGGGGGCCATAGATCAGAGATCAATCACATCAGGACTAAGAATTGATAACTGAGAATACATGTGAGCACAAGAAAAAAAGAGCTTTAGTCAACCTGTTAATTCTCTTTATACTACATTGTAATTTGTCTGTTGAAGCATCAAAATGTACCATCAGCTAAAGCCTCATTTCCTTGCAGAATGCTGCAAAACATAATCTTTGGGAGAAATTGGATGAATGTACAGAGGGTAACAACTCTGAGGAACAAGTGGTAAATGTAACTCCGAATTCTGAACAGTACATCTCTACAAATAACCATACAGAGGATAAGAACATGATAGAAGAATACATGATGGACACTTCCTTGGCAGATAGTCCACTGAATGAAAAATTGCTGGAATCCCTACAGTCAATAATTGACAAAGAAAAGTGGAACCAGGAAGAGATGATTGTTGATAACAATGAAAATGACATTGGGGAATGTGTGACAACTGCAACTGAAAAAAGGGATGAGCAAGTTAAATCTCCAGACAAAAAAGAGAACCATCAGAATTTTGGAATAAATGCTGGTACCAATTCTGGTGTGGAATTGAAAAGCCATGTATCACAGCAGACACCTTCAAAAGTGATGAACACATCAGTGGACAGTCTTGTTGATGCAGCAGAATTGGAGAGCTTGTTGGATGGAGTAGAGTGGTCACCATTGATCAGCATTCCTGATAATCAACATAGTTCAAGGTACTAATAAAGGCGAGATTAAATTGATATGGAAGTAGTGTATCTGATCTTAATGCTGCTTTTCACTAGCAAAAGAGTCAGAGTCGAAATCATAATCAGAAGTGTGGAGCATTTTGACCTTGGCTAGGGAAAACTACACTGTTTTGACCCCTCTAACGACTCTGTTGCTTAAAAGCAGAAGTGGAAGGACTAAGCCGGTCAGAAGTCATGGAAACAAGCTTTGTGATTAGTTTAAACTTTCTTTTCTTCTTCCAACTCCAATAATCTGGTTTTCACTAGATCAATGAACATGGAGCTGTAAGCAGAGTAGTTAAAAAGAGAAACAACCTGATACTTCGGACTCTGATTATGTCAGGCTTGTGACTCCGGACAGTTATGATAGTTAATAATTTTCACTAGGTCATGAGTGTTGTTACAGAGCAGGACACCCTCTTACAGTCCCAACTCCAACTCCTAAACTAGTGAAAACCAACCTTTAATCTCTTTTACCATTCTACAGCAGAAACAGTTCATGCAAGGCATTATTCTCCCCTTCCAAAAACTTTGAACGAGCTGCTTCAATATCTAGCGATCTTCAAAACAAATGTTCTCTCACTGGAAGTAGGAGAAGTAGAAGCTACAGTCGCTTTTTGGTTCTGGAGGTCTCCCGCAGAGAGGTGCTAGATGACGAAGCGATGACTATGTATGGGAGAAAATTGTCAGAAAAAGTGCTTCGGCTTTTTGATGAGACAGTTAGTCAAGAAAGATTTTGCAGTCTGAGGGAAGACTGGGAGCCAAGTGAAGTTGAGCCTGGTGATGTTGTGCATTTAACAGGTATTCATGATTTTCTTGGATTGCTAGTGTCACTTTGAGGAAAGTCTGGTCTATACAGTGTAGTTTGATGACTTCTCCATATTGTTTGTAATTACAGGAACATTTGACCCAAAGACAGGAATGTGCATCCTTGACAATTCAGCAGATTACTACCTCGTAGTTCATCCGGATACTTTAGTCTCTGGAACTACTGTTGCTATGGCAACTAAGTGTCTGCGTCAAAGCATTTTCAATGAGCGATTTTGCACAGAAGACCAGAATGAGGCAATGTTGATTGGAACATTGCTTCATGATCTGTTTGATCTAGCCATGGAATGTCAAGGTAAGCATTCCAATAACACCACTTGCTGAATGAGGACAGGTAGAAGCCTAGAACCTGCAGTGAGCAAATTCCTTGTACTTGTGTCATGGCATTTTCACTAACCATTTTATTTTTACAACGATTTTGGTGTGAATTTTGAATATATATTTTAATTCTCACTAGATTTTTTATTCCTGGGAGAGGGTATCTGTACCAGTCTGCAAAGCCTACAGACCTGAAGATGATATTTTTGACTTTTCATTCTGTTTAGTTTTACTTTTTCATCTCTTATACTTCAGGGGGAAAAGTGCTCTAAAATGTATCTAAAAATAAACTGGTCTGTGATGACGCCATGACATAGGCCCAGTATGGGATTTGCTCTCTTCAGGTTATTGTCTCTTGGGACAGGTAAAGAGTTGAGTGGTGAGGATGCTCCTCCAAGGGTAGTTTATGGTTGTTCCCAATGGCTGAAGAATAAAAACCATGGAAAGTGTCCATTAAGAATGTTACCTAGCCTTAGGTACTGCACAGCACCTCTTAAACTATCCACCCTTGCGTGTGTAAGTATGTACATCTCTGATTCCCCTGTAAGTATTATATGGACTTGCCCACTAGAATCTGCCAGAGCGCTTGAGTTGGTTGTTATCAACACATATTTGAGCATCCTCAGAGACTCTCTAAAAAATTTGTCACAAATAAAATTTAAACGAAAATAGGAGAAGAAAAGTCTGGAAAAATATTGAGCTGCTTAATTCCCATCTGGACCCTGTGCAGTAAATTTGGCTTCCAGTAGCAGAGAAATACACGTCGAAAGTAACAGATAATCTTTTCTAATATTACAACAAATTGTTTACACCAAAAGAGACTCTTTTGAAGTTGTCAGATTTTAACTACTAGTACAGCTTGCTACTCCCATTTAAAGTTTGACATGAATTTGGCTTCAAACACAGTTTTGTACAGTTAATTATTACAAATATGAAATGTGCAAGGGCTGTGCTTCAGCAGTGCAACGCAGTGACCTAGGCTGGGCACCTTACTTTGGTCTTGGACTACTAGGAGATACCTTTTTTCCCCCAATCATCTGCTATGCACCTTCGATTTCAAAGGTTCAGAGGACTGGGCACTCTTCAACAATTTTTTTCTTAGTACCTTTAGCCTTGGTTTCACTTCTGGGTTTTCTCCAAGGGAAGTGTTGACCATAATATTACGCTTCTTTTATAGAATTCACACCTGACGTTCTTTTGAGGAAAGCCTGTGAGCTTCTCCACAAACTCTCCTACTTGGATGATCTTTACAGCTTGGGTCAAACAGAAAACTGGGCATTGGAGAAACTTAAGGAGCATATTCCGCTGCTATGTGACTGGGCCAAGAGATTTGTGGCTCCTTTTCCCCACCCTGATTTTGGGACCATGGATTTTAAGACTTCTGATAATCCACATGATTCTGAGCAACCCAGTGTGTGTGTATCAGCGCTAAAGGACATTGAAGAGAACATCTGGTCACCGAGATTTGGATTAAAGGGTATGCAAATTGCCCATTTCCCTGTTGTGTGGAAAAAACAGCTACTCACAAAGCTGAATGTCCATAGTATCCCCCTGGTTGTCAAGAAATTGAAGTAACCTAAAATGTTAAGTTGACTGTAATGGGGTTTTGCTAAAAGTAGACCCACGGCCCAAGACCCGTGGCGGCCCGGTGAAAACCGACAATTGCATAGGGAATCAAACGTTTTGAACTGGGCAACATGCAACAAACAGACAAAAAGATTTGAATGGATTAAAATGATTAACGTGGTAAACGAATTCAAACACATCGTCTTCCATTTTTCACGCTCGTACTCGTTGCATATCTTTGGATGCGCGACTTCTTAAGAAGTCAAATGATTTTGAAAGTTATTAATTTTGGACGTTGGCATTAAAAAATTCATTGTGATGTACGAGAGGGGTAGATCATATTTATGATTGCTTAAATGATATTTATACTGACGTACGGTATTGCGTTAGGCAAGGTTGATGCCACAGTTGAGGTGAAAATTGACAGAAGAGCCAAAATCAAACGACACAGGCCTGATACAGGAAATCAAGTGCAAACACAGGTGATACCATTGGAGCTGAAAACAGGAAAAATGTTCACTAAACTTGGTAAGTTTCAACACTTAAGTGTTTTGCAAGTTTTTTCAGTGACGTTCACATTAGTACTTTTCCCTCCTCCACTACCACATTTCGATAGTTTTCCCTCCACCTCCCACACCTGAAACCTGCCAAACCGGTTAAACGACCAAAGAATGGCACACAAGCTTATCTTAATGAGATTCTCTCACATTATATTCATGAGATAAAGACAAGCGGCGATGACCTCATCGGCGTTAATGTTTTCCTGTGCAAATTAATGAGATTCCTGCTCAAAAAAGGGGTTAATTCGGTGCACATTAGACTACTAAATTCAGACTTTCTGCTACTCGGTTGTCCGATTTTGTTAATCTTGTCTATTATTACAGACCGAATTGGCCCCGACTCAGTCTTATTATGGGGAATTTGAGTTGAAAACTCTTACTCGTTCCCCAGTCTGACGGTTCCTGTTACTTCTACAAGCCGAACATTTTGGCTGAAAATTACTTATAGACTTTTTCCGCACTTTGATCCAGTGAACAAACATTAAGAAAAAGGCTCTCAATGGGGTGAAGGCTTTTCACGAACATTTTTTGCTTTTCAACGGTTAACGGTCAATTTCTCTCCGTTGAGTTTAACAGATATTTGAAGAATCAATTGTTTTGAAAAGTCAGTAGTTTACGGTATTTAACTCTTTCATTATAATACTAAACTGTGTTAGTGTTTTTTGTTTTAGGTTCAGTTGAGCACAGAGCGCAAGTTATTCTCTACACTCTACTCATGTCTGATCGTTACTCTCACTCCGTTGATGCTGGCTTGCTGTATTACATGAAAACAGCTCACATGCTCGGCGTGCCTGGCTTTCTGTATGAAAAGAGGGCTCTTGTGATGAAAAGGAACGAGGTAGCACGTTACTTGACACTCAACAGGGCTGGGACAACAGGCACAATGCCAGGTGAATTATGTCTATATTTCGTATTTTTACAACGTAGATTAAGCACCACCCTCAATCAAAATTCCGTGAAAAGTGGGGCTTCTAATCAAAGGGGACGCTGTGAAGTATTTCCTTCAACGAACTACCTTTGTACTCTTTTTGAGGCTAAATCAGAAGTCTACAAGATGGTGAAACCAGCGATAAACCTTGAACCGCCTCATTTGGAACCAATATCTTTACAATCTTCTTGACTTTGTACGTTGAAACGGATGCAGAAGTTGTGAAGGGCGAAGAAATCTTTCCGACGGGGTTTGGCTGGCAAATTAGAATGAAAATAATGAATAACTTGCCATGCTTCTCATTTTCACTTCTTTTTAGACATTTTTACGCGCCTTGGTACTTTTGTAAAATCTTTCCTGGGAGAGTGAAGCCTTTCAAAGGGTAAACGTGGGGACGTATAGTGAACAGAACGTGTAGAAACGAAACTGAATAAATTGCAGAGCTTAAACAGGTTTTCGTGCCAAAGAATGACTGTACTGTCTGGTAGCAATCTGAGTATTAGCAAAACTTATGCCATTTTTATTATTATTTTGCTCTAAGCCCAAGCTTTTAATTATTAATTTTAAATCATTCTGTAGCTAAAACGAACGACAACTCAAGAGATCATTTAACTTTAAATCCCTAGCAATGTTAAAAGATGTCAATACGTGCCGACGTTGTTCTCAAGCACAAAACTGCACAGTGTTCCACAAAGCAGTTGAACAGGGAGATGGCGTGACCAGCGGACTGGGATCATTTTTTAACGAGATGACAGACCACATGACTAGGACCTACGTAAACTATTTTACAGACTGGTTTAAACTGGTTTGTCTCGAAGGCAAAGAGATGGAAGAAAAGAGGACTCAACGGGAAATTTGGTGTTTAGATGGATGGGATAGGGAGAAGTTAGGCCGCTGTTTCAGTAGCATGGTGCTCAGAACGTGTGATCACGACCCGATGACAAGCAGTAGTCGCTATTGTAAACATGTATTTGAACGGGCCTTGGATCATCCCAGTTCGATACCTTTGCAGGATGTACCTATCAGCGTCGGAGACAGAGTGATTTTGAGTGAAGAGCATAGTGGGGCCGTAGCTCTTGCTGCAGGTACATGGAGTTTGTGTCCCATTGGCCAGTTTGAAATTAAGCGCGAGTCTGGGTCGGATTGTGTTGCATTGCATTATGGGAATGTTTTAAAGACGCTGTCGCTTCTTTCATTAGGGAGCTTTAGCATCGACTGCGGCGACGGCAGAGAAAACGTCATGAATTTGCTCCTTTTCAAACTTTGTCCTGTTTATTTCAATTCGTTCAAAAAGCCAAATGTAGTTGAATTTCCCTGGAGTTCAATTATTAGAGACTGCAGAAAAGTTTAGAAAGAGAAAGATAAGTTCGCCGTCGTTTGTTTGCGTCCTCCATTAAACGTCGCATGATGGAGTCAGCGGGAACGACAAAAAATTGTACCAAAAAGTGTGCTGGACGTGCTCAGTTGTTGCTTATTAAACCTATTGCTTATTTTAAGTTCTCATTGCCGCCTTCGTGCTCGTTACTAAAGCTTCCTATAGACCCTTTTACCGATACGGCGGCCATATTGAATTAATTCGATTTAAGGAGTATTATAGGATGCCCAGGGAGCATGAGCACATTTCGTTTGGGGAAATGGGAAAAAAGATCCTTGTGCCGTGTTTGGATGTAATAATGATCGCCTTTTTTTTAGTTTAGTATTAGAAATATGGTCTTTCGCTGTATATTTCTCGGGAAAAAGGCGATCATTATTACTTCGAAACACGGCACCAGGATCTTTTTCCCATTACAATCTCATTCTAAGAAAACTTTAAGAAAAGAAATGTGCTCATGCCCCCTGGGCATCCTATAATACTCCTCAAATCGAATTAATTCAATATGGCCACCATATCGGTAAAAAGGTCTATTGGCTGTTAGGGAGTTACGCGGGGAACTGGGTCAACATTTCTCCCCAAAACAGTCCCAAAATATAATTTGATGCTACACTGACCCAGTAGCACACGTTCGATATATCATAACAGACCAATTCCGATATATTAAAATTCATACTTGGCGGCGAGGTTTGGGGGAATAAAACAAAAGAAATCATCTGGAGGCTCAGTAATGAATAATACATTTTTTTTGTTTGTTTCATTCCCCTAAGCTTCGGAGCCAAGTGTGAATTTTAATATATCGAAAATGGTCTATTCTAACGTGACTCTTGTTCTTTAGGGACAAAGTTGCAAATTCTTCAAGACTTAAGGTGATTCCCTAGTAAAAGAACCTAACATAGATTGTAGATGAAACTTGGTACACTGATGTAACAAGTCAAGAAGATGATAAAAAAGCAATAAAAAGTGGGGGTCACCGCGCTCGTTTTGACGTCACAATGCTGACAAATACGGCTATTTAGGATCCTTTTACAAAAACCGCGGGCAGCCCAAAACTAGACAAAAAGGAGAGATTTTGTCGATGATGCATGTGGTATCGCAAAGAATTTGACTTTAATGTATTGTTTATCCACTTATGTACCAGAAAAATGCCTTTTAATGCCCTTGTTTTTACTTTACGCTCCAAAGTAGAATTAAATTGGACACGCGCTCTTCGACCCGTGATAGCTCAATCCGTACAATTTAGTAAAATTGCCAAAAAACTGAACATAGATTTGTGCCAATTTTTTTTTCATCGAAAGGAAGCACTGTCCTTATTAAAATCATGAAATGAAAAATGGGGGTCACCGTACTCGTTTTTGCGGTAGAGCTGCAGAAAGAGCGCACCAAGTGGATTTTCTCCGATTTTTGAGAGAGGACTGGGGCGAGTTTCAAAATAGAATGTATGTGAAAGAGGGAAGAAAGTATTAAAAAATCCGTTTTTACAGAATTTACATCGAGATATCACATTTAGGACACAATGTGATAAAGAAAGCGTTTAAATGAAAATCAAAGTGAGTAAGCACAAGTTCAACATCCACTATCGAGGTCCTCCGTAAGGAAGTCGAACTCAGCAACACGCATACTGCTTACGTTATGCACATTTCCAACACATTGAGTCTCACCTCGGCAAGAAACAACCACAAGCAAAAATTCCAATGGCGTTTCTCTTCAGTCAACTTCATTTTAATAATGTTACTTCACATGCTCTTTTTTACGTCGGCCATCTTGTTATGCGCCGTAAGAGATGCGCAGTGCAAAACCAGGGAATCACCTTAATTGTCTTGCAATTTCCAGAAGAGACTCGAGCACAAAGAAAACCAAGCCAAATGTAGAAAATAACCAGAAAGTCTGGGAGTCATATCAGAATTTAAAATATATCGAACGTGGGCTATTCAAAATAATCAAGAGGGCTGCCCAGAAATATTTAATATATTTGGTCATTATTATTAATATTTTGAGTTTACAGAATCATTTTTGATGTTATTTACTTTTGCTATACAGGTTACATCCATGAAGTTAAAAAGGAGGAAGTTATTGTATTATTGGACAGAGACTTAATGAAAAGGTAAACCTAATAGCATAGTACCCCTACTTACCAATTAAAGAGATTCGTTAAATCGAGGTTCCACTGTAGCTGAAGCACGAAACTAAAGTATTTCAGCTTCTCTCTACTCGCTGATTAAGGCGCGAGGGACGTCGCTTTTCGTGAAAACACGCGACGCGCGAGATGAAAATGCTATGTTCATACGCGCTCGCGTGGCTTGCCTTCTACTATGAAAGTGAGGCAATGCTTATTACGTCAGCTTTCATGAAACAGGACCCGTGCAGCTACGATAGGACGCTCTAAAAATCACCTCGCATTGTTTTCAAAACTAGGTATGATAACCAAACTGAAGAAACACGCTCGAGAATCTATCGCCTGGACAAAGATGACGAGTACAGTACGCTATCCACCCTCTGGTCCAATATTGCGAGGCTTTTTAAAGGTGATTCAGAAAGAGACGCGCAACTGCGACGACAAATCATTGACCTGGAACCACCTGTGTTTTCAAGAAAAAGAAGAAATGACACCGTGGCCATGTCAAGTCAGACATCACAAATCACGGACTACTTCTCGCAACAGTCACCGTGAGTTTCATTTTGTCCCAGTAAATAAAGGATTAATTCGCAACAATGATAACCCAAGTCTTTTTGTAAGCGTGATTTCAAGAGTTTGCAGAAAACAAAGAAGATTTGCAGAAAACTCTTGCTTTGCGCACGCGCGCTAATTTCTCTTGCTCTTCCCTTCAAACTTAGAAATTTAAAGGATAAGAAACTGTAGCTACTTTTTACTGCGCACATGAGAGTAAGAAAGAAAATGCAATGGTGGGTTAGAGTTTTCGTCTTGAATTAATGCGAATATGCCCTTGAAGTACCGGGTCCAACACTCGCCTATTAATTAATGCTTGGAGCCTTCTGGTCGGTTTCCCTACAACTGATGACATTTGGATTTGGACTTTCAGATGTTGATTTGATTATTAAGAATATTCAGAGGGCGTATTCTATCTTCGAATATGCCCCAGTCACCCTTAGTTTTCACCTAACTAAGAGATCAACGCCTCTATTTCCTTTCAAGTGTAGGCACTATTTATAGCTAAGATTTTATCTTGTTTGTAGCTCTCAAAGCAACAGAAGTCAGAAAGTCCAGACTGATCCCGCTACAGAGGTCATTCTTCAGGAACTGAACACAGATCAGCGTAAGGCAGTGTCCAAAGCATTGTGTGCACACCATTATGCTCTGGTTCTTGGTATGCCTGGTACGGGCAAAACGACAACAATCTCCTGTCTGGTCCGCGTGTTGGTAGCCTGTGGTAAATCTGTTCTGCTAACCAGTTACACACATACTGCTGTAGACAATATCCTGCTTAAGCTAAAAGAGGTTTGTGTCTTCAGTGCTGTTGGCTTATCAAAGAACAAGTTTTTCTTTTGAACAGTCTGTTTTTAACGTGCATTTTTTCTACGTACCGGTGAGTACGAGAGTTCTCTCAAGCTACGGTAAAACAAACGTGCCACTTGTTTTGCAACGTTGCTACAAAACGAGTTGAATAGCGATGTTGCGCGTTTTACCAACCACGGTCAACCATGTCTTACAACAAACTGAGGTTGTTACTAGTTGCGTGAACACTGTCGTCTGATTAGATTAAATTATGCGGAAGTCACGCCATATGGGGGAGTTACGTCACTTGCTGCAAAAACAAGTTTGCCTTGGGCCGGTGAAACACGCAACAAGTACAGATTTTGATGCAGAAAGGAGTGCTTTCTACTTTCTGTAATAATCTGATTTGTTGTAAGCAGCCAGGTTGATTCGTGGGTGGTAAAACAAGCAACATCGCTATTCAACTCGTTCAGTTTTGCAGCAATGTTGCAAAACATGCACATGTTTGTTGCCCGCTATACCGCACCTTTAGGTTCTGGAGCACGAGTGTGTTAGGTTCCAGAGACTTGTCGTGCGCGGTGTCCGGTTTCTGTCAAGTCTTAAAAGTGACCCGAGGGGGTTTTAAGAGTGCATCCTGCTTGTTCAATGAGAATATTTGTTAAATAGGGGGCGATAATACGTTAAAGCACGCAAAGCAAACCCCTTAAGGTAACGTTAAGAATCGTGAGATTATGTTATTGAGACGTTGGGCTGGTGAGTCTTAAACGCGGGTGGTGGAAGAAAAATAAAAAAATCTCTAACCCCTTCTTTTCGGTAGGCAAAAGTGGATTTTCTCCGGCTTGGTCAAGTGCACAAAATTTTACCTGAAATACAGTCATACAGTGCTCAGCGAGCGGCAGCTGGTATCAAGACTGTCAATGAACTTAAGCAATTCTACGAATCTAAGGTAACAAATATGTTCACAAAGATTAGCATTTGATCCCCTTGGACACCTTATGACGTTTACACATAAAAGTATTCCTTATCGCGTCCGCACTACATATCTAAAATACAGGGGAAGCCGAAGCGATAAGGAATATCACGTTGTGTAAACTACATCAGGTTTCCAAAAGGGTTTAAACCGGTGCTAACCGTTCACAAAATAATTAAAACGCAGATAGCGGGCTTTGGGAAAGAACCCTCAAAGGTGGTTGTACTTATCAGCAATGGAGGCCTGCTATCACAAAGTCGAAATTAATGTAGTTGAATAGAGAGGAAAAGTGTTACGTCACGTTACCATGGTAGCAAAATTTCCAGGCCCATTGTTCGAAGGCCGATTAGCGCTTAACCCAAGGTTGAATTTAACCCGGGTTTCTATTTCTTTTGTTCAAAAGCATTTTCTCGGATAATTTTCTCTGTTATTTTTAAGAGCATCCAATCATCAACTTGTTGACCGAAAGAATCAAACTGAAATTACTTTCTAAGCTTTTATTTCTGAATTCAAATTTTGCACAAAGGCTGGGTTATCGTAACCCAGCTTTGAACAACTCGGCCCTGGGTAACAACAATAGGGAGTTTTTGCAACGGCGACGGCGCGAACAGCAAAAAAAAAGTAGGGTTAGATTGGCAAAAAAAACATCTTTGCACTTGTATCACGTTTTTTTGTACATTTCTTAGCCGTTGTTGCACGACCGCGACATGAAACTTCCTAATTTCACGCGCCCGCTTTATGGAGTAGGTGAGCACAACACAAAAATTTTGTTTATCTTTTTCTAAACTTACATACGGTCCTTTCGTATTCAACCCAGAAAATTTCGCCAACATGTGACAAATTAAATGAAATTACATATAAGATCGATGAAGTTTGAAACAGTGCGAATCCACTTTTTAAGTGACGTTTTGGTTTGTTGTCATCTAAAAATTTTGCTACCATGGCAACGTGACGTAACGACTTCTCCTCTCCATTCTGAAAAGTTTAAAGCGTCAAAGAAACAATGTACAGTCAAACGGCACTGAGGGGGGGGGGGGGGGGGGAAAAAAAAGGTTTCCCTACCAGGGGGGTGCCGTTTTTGGGGGGGTAAAATTAAGAAAAAGGGGGGTTTTTTTTTCAGAGGAAAAAAAACAAACTGGCGAAAAGAGTGGGTGCTCGGTTTGGAGGGGTTTTTGACAACGGGGTTTTTCACGCAAATTTGATTTNNNAAAAAAAAAAAGATAGTAAATGAGACACGAAAGTATAAGTGTAGCATTTTTGTTTTTTTTTGTTGTTTTTGTTTTTGTCTAATTAAAAAGTTTCGCGCCGGAGGAACCGTGAAGAACCCCTTCCTCTCTAAAATTAAAAAAAAAAAAAAGCAGAAAAAAAAAATGGAGCAGGGAGGGGGGGGGGGGGGGGGGGGGGGGGGCGGCAAAAAAAGTGTTCCTATCAACGGTGTGTCCGTATTAAGCGAGTTGAATTTAGAGAAAGTGAGGGCTTTTTTTCGACAGAGACAAAGCAAACTGTCCGTAAGAATGAGGTGTCCGTATTGAGCGGGTGTCTGTAACGCGGTGTTTGACTCGAAATTGAAATTTAAGGATAAAATTGAATAATTGGCAACATACAAACGTACTAGATATGGAAATTCAAGAACAGTTATTTTATGGAGAAAATGCAGATCTAAATTTTAATCCCTTTGCATAGTTACGCGCCTTTAACAAAAACGATCCTTGAAAGCACATTTCTAGCCTACTGCACTTACTCCGTCAATAATTCGTGAAATATGAGGGTGTTGTCTCTTTATTATTTGAGTCCCTTTTTCCTTAGTCTGTAGTTGCGACCACGTGTTTGGGTGTGAACCACGCCCTGTTTTCCCAGCGTTCGTTTGATTACTGCATAGTCGACGAAGCTTCGCAGATCACGCAGCCTGTATGTATTGGGCCTCTCAGACGAGCTCGTGTCTTCATTTTAGTAGGAGATCATTATCAGTTACCGCCATTGGTACAAAGTGTAGAGGCCAGGTAACTTGAAAGTAATTACCGTCTGGTCAGGAGCCCATAAGCCCGAGCGAGCAACTCCCATACTAGGCCTATGTGACGGAGTTTTCACGGACCGGTTTTTTTTAGATACATTCTAGAGCACTTTTTCCCGCCAAAATGGAGGCTTCGCTCCGTTCATGAGCGCATTATAATTATAAGATGCGACAATGGAAAACTAAACGTCACTAAAAGGCCAAAAATGTCATTTTCAGGGGTTTTGGTTTTGCTGACTGGTTTATGGGAAGATATTCGAAATTCGCGCGAGAGCCGTTCTAAAAATAAATTGGTCAGTGAAAATGCCGTGACACGAGTATATGGGAGGTGCTCTCCCGGGTTATAAGCTCCGGTTACTTCTGTCCTTATAGATTTCATGCATGTGAAGTAAGGAGATTCAAGATCGTGTTTTATAAGCATGTGTTAAAGAAGAAAATATAGACGGATAAGGTCGGCGTAGATTATAGTGGTTTAAAAGTTGCGCACCGCCATTTTGCGCAGACAGGTCTCATGAAAGGTCAACCTAAAGAAACTGAACTATGCGTAGAAGTTAATAATTATCATATACCTCGCCTTCAAAGGCGTCAAGCAATCTTACGACATTATTGTCGTTGCCTTCGAACATATTGTCCATATTCTTTTTCTTTAAAACTACATTCAGCTGTTTTGAATGAAGCTTGTTTGTTCGACAGAGAAGGGGGAATGGACGTGAGTTTGTTCAAACGTCTCTCTGAGCGGCATCCCCATGCGGTTGTCAGCTTGGAGCATCAGTACCGAATGAACCAGGACATCATGGAGCTGTCCAATACTCTGATATATGAGAACAGGCTCAAGTGTGGCACAGAACGTGTGGCACGTGCTGTGTTAGAACTACCTGAGTGGGATGAGCTGCTCAGTTATATCAAGGAAAACACCACAGGTAAGACACGTTTATGTTTTGAATGCCCTGGAAATATAGTAAATACCTTCTATAACGGATACTATATGTTGTTCCCCCCCTCCCTTCATTTACAGCTGATGACACTCAATGCTGTAACTGAAGGCTTTCAAAGAAGGACACTTCTCTGAAGTCGGACACTTCTCTTTAGTTGCCAAGTATTGTATTTTAGTTGTAAGTTTTTCTAACTAACCTTTTCTTTCTTGATCTAATTGTATTGTAATTATTTTAGTTAAAGCCTTCTTCTATTCCTGTAAATTCTTCACGTCTTTTTTTTGCTGACCTCAGGCCATTTAAGCCCCCGGCTTTGGCTGTTCTTGTGTATTTTTTTCTTCCAGGAAATGATTAATTAAACGTATTATTTATTTATTATTAAAAGCAGAAACCTAAAGTAGGCCCTTTGCAGCTTTAGAGTCACATGGTATAAAAACACCTGAAGAGCAAGCGGTCCAAAGCAGGGACCTTTAAAAAAAGAATTTAGCTTTTTTTCTTGTCCCACCACGTTTCATACCATTAAGCAAGAGGTTATTCAGAGTACAAAGAAAGTCAGTTTTACAGGTTGCCCAAATGGCAAGCTGCAACTAGCATGCACCAGCCCAACAGTCATTCCAACGAGCCGAAAAAAAAAGATGAGCATTGCAGTTCTTTTGTAATTTGAACTCCACCCAAAACTTCATTTTTTCGTCTGGCAAGTTAAAAACAGAATTCACTAGCCCGATAGCAAAATCTACTAGCCGCGGGCTATCGGGCACCAGTTACGCTGTTATTGTACCCTTCGACAGTCTAGCTACTAATCACCCCTTTTTTTTCAACTAACTTCATTCGCTTCTTTTCCGCGCGGCTCTCTAAACGACGGGTAGCAAAAATTGTACCTCGATGACCTTTTTTCACAGTAACTGAGCTCTATGGAAAACAGGCACGCACCTTTATCTGTTAGTCGCAAGGCTTTAGAATCGAAAGAGAGTTCACCTGTGACCATCTTTATCTCCAGATACCTGGCTTCTTGATGCTCTTACACCAAGTTGCCCTGTAGTGTTTCTAGACACCGACCAAGTTCCCGCACCGGAATCACGCTCCGAGCACCTTGTATCCAACGAGACAGAGGCCTTGTTAGTACATCAACTGGCCTGTGGACTCTTAAAAGGTGGCCTACAGCCTGCAACATTGGGAATCATCTCTCCTTACAGGCACCAGCTGAAGCTTATCTCACAAGTGGTCCACAGGGACACGAAACAGCAGCAAATTGAAATCAACACCGTTGATAAATACCAGGGTCGCGACAAGTCCTGCATTATCGTTTCCTTGGTGCGCAGTAACGAGCATTGTAATGTCGGAGATCTCTTGAGAGACTGGCGCCGAGTAAACGTTGCTGTAACCCGTGCCAAGAGGAAGCTCATTCTGATTGGTTCGCTGAGTACGCTAAAGGGAAGTTTGCTATTGCAGGAGCTTTTCGACCTTTTGGAGAGAAAGGGCTGGGTACGGATACTTCCTCGCGGTGCGCACAATTTGATGGAGTTTATGGGAACCTCGTCCCAGGCTACTCCAGTCAAGAGCTTAGAAACATCGAGGATTCGCTTCTAAAATTTGGACATCTAGCGCTTGCTTCTTGGTTTCTTTATCTAGTTATTGGAGCGCGTCTCATTTAGTTGGACGAATATCAGTTGTAGAATATCTGTGATTTATTTTTCCTCTTTGCTGTATTTCTTCTTCTTTAATAATACTCATAAACATGCAATAAATTGTACGCTATTCAAACTTTTCGGCTACAAAGCTAATAAAGAAACAATGCAGCACTGAAGATTTGACTCTGAGTAGCCGAAGAAATGTTTTCCACTTCGTTTATTAAGTCAACTTCTGACTACAACTACTCAATTTCTAAATTACCCCCCAGCTTAAAGCTAAGCGTATTTTAATCGGTTATTCGAAATCAGAGTGAACTTGAGTAACTTTTAAAATCCAATGCATGTAAACCCTTTTTGTCTTTCATTTTCGATTAAGATCCTACGCAATTCCTGGCGCAGACTATTGTTCAGGATCAACAAGTGCGATGACTACCTTTCCATCGTGTCTATTTACGTCCTTTGTCTTTTCCTGGTTATTCCCTCTGTTAAGTGACCCTCCCCCTCCGGCAATGGTGACACCAGATTTTTTCTTGACACTCCCACCTGAATACCCACCCCCCGCACCGGGGAATAGAAAACCTCCACCCCCACCCCCAAATCCACCATTTGCTCCATTCATTGAATTTCCCCCCAGACCCCCTTTGATAAAGCTTAAACCTCCTTTGGCGTTTCTTCCGGATTCTCCGTCAGTGTTTAAACCGCCTCCCGCTCCGGCGTCGAGGTTTTCTGATGGGGCACTCTCCACAAGGAGGATTCCACCTGTTCCATTAGAACCGCCACTCTGTGATCCTTTTTCTGTAATCTGCCCTGGGTCCCCTACATCGTACCCACTCTTCGGTGCACCACCACCACCCCCACCGCCTGCAATAATCAAAGGATTACCGGGATGAAGAACAACAAATGTTCCACCTCCACCTCCCCCAAATGATGGAGAACCGATTGTTCCAGTACTCCCCCTTTGCCCGATAAGAATTTTGACAGACGTTCCTTGAGTGAGATTAAAGCACCCCTTCATGTAAGCTCCCTTGCCGCCTGCTCTTGTAGAGGAAACTAGATCGACTTTTTGCCTGCCATCAGCACCTGATGCTCCCCAGGCCTCTATGGCGTAAGTTCCGTTCAAGGGCACCTTCCATATTTGGATACCCTTTTGCAGCGTGACTTTGTGCTCAAGTGTTGTTCCCTGATATCCAGAAGTGTTCGACGGTCCTGTCTCTCCCTGGGCACCCAGCGTGGTAAACGTGAAGTTGAAGTCTGACAATAAATATTTGTTAAGTGGTCCGTAAGCAAGATGATTTTTCGAAAATAAGAAATTACTTTTCAGCGAAAAAAGTTAGAACTCGAACGGTACAATGCATACTTGTTCCCTAGAGAAACAAATCGACATGAGTCCCTCGATATTTCCTTTCTTGGCTAGGAGAAAATTCTGAGTTTATACTGGCTGCATCAAATACTAGTGATACTTTCTGTAACCAGGTAAAAAACATCTGGTGCTCTTTTTGGGAAGGGTAAGGTGTTTTTCACGTTTAGCAATTTGCACTTTCTGGCTCTTGGTTTCGGATTCACGGCTTTTACTTAGCGCTTGCGTGCCTCACGGCTCTTTGCACAGTAGCCAACAGCCCACATTTTTGCACATGTCAAGAACGCGAGCAGTCAAGCGATGCTGAAAACGAAGAGTGAGTGTGACTTGAATAGGGGCGTGTGAGGCTAGCAAGCGCCCGAGAATCTCACGCCTGCACTACTTGCCATGAAAATAGGTTTGAGAAAAAGCCCGACGGTTTTTCAGTTTTTCTGTCTAGTTAATTTGGTTTGAGGTTGCTGCATGCACCCTTCATGCACTAGTCATTATCATGATCAGCCATGGTATCATTCTCCTAAACCTGTAGAACCTATAGCGGTTTGGTGCAATAATTAAGTCACATGCTCTCAACTAGCTACTGGGTGTAGTGAACAGAACCACGATATTTACTGTTAACTTTAGTTTTCGATAGATCTCACCTTGGCAAGTACCTCTCATCCGGTCAGTATCGTAGTTATCTGTGACAGAACACCATAACTGACCATCAAAAATGCACGTATCGTGGAGCTTCCCTTGGTAAAAGAACGGGAAAACACAACATCCGCCATCTTTGGTTCGCCAAGTCTTGCATTCAGCTGGTGCTACAACAAAAAACAGGGGCACCCAACGAGAATATAGTTCAAAACCACTTAAACATAGCATTGTTAAACTTATTTTAGTATTTAAACGGTAGATATGGGCATATTTTTATCCCCTTAAGATTTTTCATCTGTTCGGATTTCCTAGCTGAAAGTCTAGTGATCCGAAAATTTTGGGGATCAAACCTTACCTTTTCGAAAATTCCAGCCAGAAAAAAGGCTCTCGAAAATTCTAGGCGACATTTGTAGGGTAAAAATCCGTTAAAAATGAGCAGTTTTACCATTTTTTAGATGTTCGAAAATCCTAGGAGAGGCAGGCAAGCAAGAAATTTTACACAAAATGTTCCGAAAATTCTGGATCTCAAATCGTCTTCCGAAAACTGTATTTTCCGTAAATTCACGTTGGGTGCCCCTGAAAAAAGATTGTCTCAAACATTATTAATGCAGGCGCCAAAGGGAATAAGGCACAAACATGCGCGGTTACATTATAGAGGTGTCAGAATAAAGGCATCAGAACTGATATCAGCTTTGGCTTTTCCGGGACGAATAGTACTCCCCTTAATAGAGAGATGTCCTTATAAGGTGAGGTTAGACTCAGCCTCGTTCCCAGCCTTATACGTCTTTTACGTACGTGAGTACGCACGTAAAAGTTATGCTAAAGTGGAAATCCACCCTGATAGTTCTCTTCACACAGGTGTGTATACATAGCCTGAATTTCATCCGATTACTTCGAGTCGTTATTACTCCCTCACGATCAGTAACTGATGAGGGAGTAATAACGACTCGAAGTAATCGGATGAAATTCAGGCTAGGGTGTGTATTGAATCCATACCGGCCAGTGAATAGACGGATTAAGGGCCGCGAAACAGGATCCCTTGGAAATCAAAGAATTACGAAAAAATTTCAGTAATATTGTCCTTTGTGAAGAAAGTGAATAAAACTTTACCCGAGTGATCGGTATGATATGTTAGATGTATTTACCAACACTTTTAGCAAGTAATGAAATCCTTAATTAAAACTTACGCTTAACGAATTGTCGTTTGTCCAGTAGTTTTCCACAAAGCCATCCTGGTTTTGCACTCAGTGTTACGTCTCCACCATCTTTATACAGCTCACAAAATCCACGACTATCCGAAGACGAACCGAAATTAAAAGATGCACATGAAGGTTCAGATAAGCACTGCTGTGTGCACGTTCCCAAACTCTGGCTTCTTTGTCGTTTAATCAAATCACCGTTAATGACCCTGAAATTTTCCAGTGTGTTGAACAGAGCCGCTCGCCGATGAATGGTTTGCCCGACTCCCCGCCGCAAATATAAAACAACAACTGCTAAGGCGAAGAAGTTATACATTGCGTCTCTTTTGTGCTAAGAAAGTATTAACTTAAAACTATTAACCACAAAATCTTTTAAAATGAAATTGAATGTAAATAGATAGACAACATACAAAATAGGTTCTTTTCGGAATTGGACTTGTGTCACGTATCATTATGTTTTATTAAGAGTTGTTCCGGTTTCAAATAAAATATCATTGTTTGAAGGTTTTTAAAGTGAATTATTTCTTATGCTTTGGGTAAATAACATACATTTTGAAGTGTTTGCTACCTAGCAACAAGAAGTTCATTAGTAAGTCCTATGAAATCTTGTCGCGATTTTTTTAAGAGTAAAGAGACATATGATGAAAAGATTTGTCATAGAGTGTCTCGTTTGAATTAGGTGTAAATTCAGTCTATAGTCTATTTTTAATTAGGTTTATTTTGTAAAATTTTCAATTTCTGAATAATACAAATCCAATGTTTGATTTGTGCTCCTCTTTTTTCGTAAGGTTTACTTAGGGATGGTTCAAGCAAACGCTAAACGGCCTCTCGGAGAGAACTTGTGCAAATAAAAATCGGGAGACTTGATCGAAAAGGCATCCTCGCTCTGAATTGGAATAAGAATTATCCGATAACAAACAACTTTATGGTAACCTTGTATTTAACCAAATTTATTACATTGGACTTTTTATATGCCCGGCTCTGGATAATGATACAGTTCAGGTTTTTTCATAAAACGCATGCTACGCCTCAACACTCCTCCATCGACATAAACAACTGCTAAGTTTTTCCTGTTCTTGTCTCTGATAGTAATAGTCAAATGCGTGTTGTAAAAGTGGCGTCAATACCAGTTTAACTTTATTTGATTAACTTAATGTCTACTTTCCCATCTCCCTGCTGTACTCCTCCGGTATTCTCTTGCATTATGCCGCCGTTATACGAGCCTCCACCTCCGGCGACCGTCACTTCGTGCTCTTTACTTTCTATTCCCCCACCGGAATATCCGCCTCCACCTCCTGGATGCGAAGTGCTTGCTCCCCCACCACCAAATCCACCATTAGCAATTCCTGGGAAGCTGCTTCCCCCGTTTCCCCCATGTAAATAACTCTGCCCTCCAGTGCATGTACCGGACCGCTCACCATCTCCTCGATAACCGCCTCCCCCGGAACCCTCAATTTGGGATGAGTTTGGGCACCGGCTGCCTCCTTGTCCTCCGTACCCCCCATGTCTAGTTCCATTCTCTGTTACTTGGCCAGGGTCTCCGTTCAGTGAAGTATTGAAAGATTCAAATTTAGCGCCACCACCACCACCCCCGGCGACAACAAGTGGTGAACCATTTCCGTTGGTTACGAATGTTCCACCACCGCCACCCCCTGGTGAGTCTTGAGAGAGGGGACTTGGGCATTTCCCTTTTTGTCCTACGAGTATTTTTAACCTCTCTCCTGCGTTCAGTTTAAAATGTCCTTTAATCCTCGCACCTCTTCCTCCGAGCCTAGGACTTGCCCCAGTACCATTTCCCCCTGAAGCTCCCCAGGCTGTTATACTATAGAGTCCTGTTACTGGGACACTCCATGTTTGGATTCCAGCCACAAGTTGAACTTTGCCCTCCAGTTGTGATCCCTTGTACCCGGATGTATTGTTGGGACCTTCGCGGCCATTGGCATCAAGAGAAGTAAAGGTCACGTGTACGTTAATATCTAAAAAGCGTGATCACATGTGTGATAAGAATGTAACAGGATGAGTAGAAAAAAATAATGAAATTAAACTGTTGATTGGGTCTTCATGAAACAGGAAAATTTTCAAATATGGAATAGAAAAGGGCAAGGACAACCTCGATATAACGAAGTGCCAAGAGACTGGCAAAATCCGTTCGCTATAACGAGGTTTCGTTACATCGAGGTTCTTTTTCACATATTTTACTATTTCTGGGACAAAGAAAATCGTTCCTTATACCGAGGACTTCGTTATATCGAGGTTCCACAGTATATGTGTATTATATATATTTAATATATGCTGATGCTGAAACTCATGATAAGTGTCGATGTAATTGTCAAAAGTGATTAAAAGTATGTCGCTAAGAATAACCCTGAGACTAATCTGCATAAGTTTGTGTTTGGTCAAACCTTTTGACTGTTACAAGGCGAGTGTAAGTCACATGACTTAGACTGAAAAAGAAAAGTTAATCAAATGGATGCAAGCGTCAATAGGAAACTGCTTTCCAGGTTTCACAAAGATGAGAGAAATGGCTTTACATGCGTTTGAGCCAAGCTATAATACACATGAGGGTGTCCATATGGAAGAGGCTACGTAAATACGATGGTGCGAAAATACGGGCAACCTGGATTATTTCCGCAACCTTACTACTTTGATAATAAAAATAATGTGCTGGCTAAGCGGAACTTTCTGCTATTCCTCATCACATAAGTGTTTAAGAATGTTACTTAGTAATCTTCTTGTTATTCATTGTACTCTTACCGGGCGTACTTTTTTGCTCCTCAGACTTTTTCTGAGACGAAACAACTTGTCCGAATATCCACCCCTCTCCCTCTGTGAGGCTGTGATCAAATGCTTCATTGGAACCATTCAACAATTCACAAAGTCCTTTAATGTTCGACTCGAGGTTGTAATTAAAAGACGTGCATCCGTTTATTCTTGCACAAAGATGAGCACACGATAACTGACTATTAGTCAGTTGACGTTGCACAACACGTCCCTTTAAAAACACGTTTTTCCTGCTTGTCACTAGTGACTCAACAAGCATACATGACGTACAAGTAACCAAGGAAACAATAGTAAACACGAATGATAAATAGAAGATAGCGGAGACCATATCTTCGCTCCTGAAAATGAATTAAATACTTTACCATTAAACATGTTAAACTTTCCACCAGGGCTAGGCTTCGCTTTCCTACACTCCAGCCCCTCCCCCTTGTACCATGCGTCAGGTAGATACACACTTTTATAAGCTGTCAAGCGTGATGAATAAAATAAAGCAAGACAAATTTTTATCATATTGAGTTTGCTCATGCAATATTGCTATAACTTAATTCCACAGTTCACGGGTTGTCTTATCGTGTTCAGACAACCAAGGGCAGTTTGTCGGTACAGGAGCCAGAAACGGCCCCACTTTAACAGAATGGATTAAAATTAAAGTATGTAAACTTTCACAGAGATCTTTGCAGTTACGGGTTAGATTTTCAACTTATCCGTAGGAAAACTGAACACAGCACTCTTTCTCTTCGAAAAACTTTAACATTTGTTTTCGCATTTGCCTTAATGTTATTAACAAAAAATAAAACGGTTAAGTTGTAAGCTATTTTAATAGCAAAATTAACGAAAACCTTATCAGGTGAAATAGCAATTCAATCAAACGGTCCCTTTTGTTAGCTTTTATTATTCTAATTATTGTCCCTGATCAAGGTTTTGGTGACTGACTTTACTTAGATCGCCTCAGTTATAGAATACTTCGTCTTCTCTTAGTCGGTAATCTTTTCTGGAGAATGATGGAGATATCAAGAGAGGTCCTTATAACTTGCTATATTAACGACCTCTCTTCACTGAAGATCATTTCAGTTGTATTTAATTTCAGTTTCAGATAAAAGCCTGGGAGCTGAGCACCGATTCACCTCTTCTCCCAGTTTTTGTTTTTTAGTATATGTTTTGTTCTCCCGAAGACAGAACTAGCGAAAAGAAATTAAATTTTTAAAAAAATACCACTTACAAACAAAGAGGTCTTCTGTAAATGACAATCCTGAAATCATGTCGCGGTAGCCTTGCCTAGCCTCGTTTAGCTCAAAAAATCTTTGCCTTTGTTATCGTCAGTATCTTCGATAGCTATAGTTTAATCATACTAAATTTGTGTGGTAAAGACTTCCCCAAAGTTCTTTTCAGGTCTCGCCGTGAATGTAGTTAACGCTCGGAAATGCAAATTTAAGTCATTTCATTTTTTAAACTTTTTACCTTCCGGGGGCTTCTGTTCCTTGATATTGCTTTTTTCAAAGAGACTTATGTCAGTCATATGATGACAATGTCAACAAATTTCCAAGCATACCCACTAAGGTTGTATGAAATTTCGAGATAGCTGACATACTTCTGTTTCTTTTTTAATCAGATGGTTAACTGAAATTGGTTCTGGAACAGGTGGATCATGTTTACTTTAAATAGGCCTCGTAAAGACAAACTCAGAGGAACGTTAGATTATATATTCTATTACAATGCAAGCCTATGCTGATATTTGCAATACGCCGCCCTCAGTATATGGTTTGTATTTGCCGTATATCTATGCTAGGATTGTGACTGAAGTTGCGAGAAAAATATGAAAGTCTGTACGAAGTCGGAATTTACTATCACTACTTGACGTATCTAGGAAAGGAGGCTATCTCCTCATTGGCAGGGTAGCAGTGCTGTCATCGATACATTCAAAGATTTTAATTTTTGCTTGGCTTGGGAATTTCAGCGTATCTGATCGGCATAGTAACAAAAGTAGGCGAAGCGGTTCAACTTTCACTGTAGTGGGCTTTGCATGCAGTTGCAATCGTTGATGGAATGTGGGGCGTCGGGAAAATTAATACCTGACTTTGGTGTAATTGATCTTTCATTTTTCGTGACAGACAAGACTAATATAGTTGTTTATTTTTGGACTTTCAATTTAATAATCTTCCGAATGAGAACAATAACCTGGATAAACTTTTTTCTAATTACAGTGAATGAATGCAGGGTGAAATTTGACGTGTTCTCATATGTAACATCGCCATTATTAATATATTTGAGGTAATCTTCCATTCACACTACACAAACTAGTCAAACTATGAAGATCCGATAATCAACGATTTTTTTCCGCACAGCGGTGAAGCACGGTTTTTGTATTTTTTTGTATTTTTTTGCATTTTTTTTTTTTTTTTTGTTATAAATTTAATTTGTTATAATATATAAAAACTCTATTTTTAATTTTTTTTTTTTTATATTTAATTAACAATAAAAAATTTAGTTATATTATGTAATTCCTATAATCAATTATTTTTTTTTGTATTGCGGTTAAGCTCGTTTTTTTTATTTTTTTTTATTTTTTTTCATTTTTTTTTTTTTTTTTTGGTGCAAGGAGATAGATCTTCATCTTGGGATACACTTTTATTGTTACAATGAAAATAATAACACTGATATACTATCAGGGTCTCTTGAAATAAAAACTACACGAAAAAGCTGGTGCTGCTCCAATTTCCGGGCATTTGATTAGACATACTATGAGTTTTTCAGCTGGATCATGCCCCACTTCCATTATTTCCGATACAGGACGTTTTCATGTCTCTAGGCATCGACTATTTGTGTTCAACAGCGTCGGGTGTAACATGATTTTCAACGCCCGTTTACGTTTTCAAACCCTTCAGTTTAAAAAAGTTTTAGCCTGTGTACGATTGTACAATATTTCGGTGAATTGATTCTTGACTTCTCTGGTAAAAAAAGGTATCGGCTCGATCTTGTCTTGATATATTGTTAAGGGAAATTTTGAAATACTAGGTGATCTTTTTTTAGTAAATGGATCGCAAGAGTGATGTTGTCCTCCCGTACAGTCTTAGTACATAAATAGTGATGGTCAAGAGCCATAATAGGACTTGTGATGGTTCATTTAAAATTCACATAACTTAGTGCGACCCCAAAAGCCAATCTCTTGAGCTTTCCATCCATAGTTCGTACAGAAGAATCCTGATTTCTCGAATGCTCGGTTTTTCGAAACTCCAGAGAATTCAGAACAAAACTAACTTCCCTTCACCATGATTTTACCCAAGAGCCATAATGGCTCTTGTTTTACCCTAGATTTTTGGAACTTCTCGGTAATACATCGTGTACCAACCAATCTGCTCCTCCCAAGAAGGTTTGAAAAATCGGGATTCGTCACTTTAAGACTTTCGTATCGCCAGTAATACACCGTTTTTACCCCCAAAAAACTTTTCATAAACAGTTTTTCTCTTATACCCATGCCAAGATAAATTTGAAACAATGGGGAGCTTTTAAAGCAACTACGACGACGACCACAAAGACGACTTCAAAAAAACAACGCTTTTTAGTACATTTCTTTGACGTCCACTGCACCACTTCGACGTGAAACCTCCTAATTCGACGTTTTATGTGGAGGACGTGTCGGAGGACGTGGACATACGACGACGAAGTTTCCTTTATTTTTTTGAACCTGAATAAAATCCTCAAGAATTCAACTCCAGGAAAAGTCGCCTGCATTTGACATATTTAGCGGGTCCAAACAGACGCGATTAAGTTTGAAAGAACACAAATTTATTTGTTTTACCGACGTTTTCACTGCCGTCGTCGTCGGCATGTCTTCATATCGGCGGAGATTGAATCGGCGGGAGGAGCCTGCGGGGAGTTGGAAACGAAGTCAGAACACCACGTGACTTCTCTTCTCTTTCTCTTTCTCGGGAACAAGAAAACACAGGAACAGGAGCGCATCATGTAGGCATAAACATCTAAAATAATCTCATACATCGTTCATGAATCCTTATCAAATTTTATACAAAATAAAAGATTAATGTTTCTTCTCTCTCTCTGTAATTTTATTCCATCAGTAAGGATTTCCGCTCTGATTTACAACCATGTCTGATGCGGAAGGGTATGTAGTAAATTCATGTTAAGTTATTGAATCAATACTCTTCGAGGTTTCGTTGAGAGTTAAGACAAATCCTGGGACAGAAATCATTGGTTCATTGTCTTTTACAGAGATGATGTGCCACAGCCAGCACCTGTTGGTGAAATGGACGTTAATACCGCTCTTCAAGAAGTTTTGAAGACTGCTCTCGTTCACGACGGCCTTGCTCGCGGTTTGCATGAAGCTGCTAAAGCCTTGGATAGGTAAATAAGATCACTTATTTTATCTTGAACGTGCTTTAAGTTTAACATATCCTTCTCAGGCAGGTGGAGAAAATATCGGATTTGTTTCCTTTATCGCGGTTGAAGTTTGTCTCTGGTGAATTTCTCACGGATTTTAAAAATCACGAAATAGCCCTTTCCTGTACAGTTATTGTTACAGAATTGACAGGTTAAGGCCACTGGTCTATATTGAATCAGCTTTCATCAAAGTGCTAGGCTTCTTTGTTTTATACCGTTGATGCTTTCGTTGCTTGTACAGTGGAACCGGCCTGTTAATATGGTTACCAATGGGTCAAAATAATTTGGCCCTTTTGCTGGGGCAGAGTAAAATTTCTTGATTTAGGGCTTGTTTACCTGAAGGTGGGGTACCCCTGGTACGCGAGGTAACCCACTTTGGTGGGGGTAACCCACAGTGTTCTCCCATTTTAAAAGATTTGATCGCAAAAATTTTACTCTTTCTGCAATGTTCTCTTTCCAAAATGACTGTGCCCCATAAAAAAGCTATATACTTTGGTGCTTTTCCATATATTCATTTGTTTCCTTCAAGCAGTTGCAGGTATTACGAAGTGTTGCTTCACGCGGTAAATTTTACCATTTCTCACCTGATAAGGAGAACACTGAACTCGCCTGTCCATATAATCTCTCATTTTAGTTTGATCACATTTACATGATAGGTGGGGTTACCCACCACATGTTACCTCACCTATCTGGGGTCCCCTGCCTCCTTGTAAACAGGCCCTTACAGCTGGACTTAAGGACTCGCGTGACTGTAATGACAAATACATTATACGTTGCATTCGTACTTCTTGAACAATTATTGTTCTCTTTTGTAGACAACTGTAATGTGCATATTGCGTACAGTAATGGTAAAAACTACCTTAAACTTTCCTTCAGGACATAAAGCACTTTAAAAAATTGGCTGTTAAACCGCAACAAATGCAATCTAGGTGTACTGCCTACTAGTTCAATGAAATTGACATGTCAGGCATTTTCAGTTTCTAAATTTTGAACAAGTGGCCCTTGTTCATGGTCTGAAATTATAAGAGATTGTTCTGTTTGGGATTTTAAAATGTGGCCGTTCACCATATTAATGGGTGACTGCACTAACAAGGTTTTTTATAACAAAAATGTATCGCCTTTTTGCCAGGCCGTAATGACGAGGTAACAGTATTACTGAGGTGCCCGTAAGATGGAGTTCCACTGTAATATCAAATGACCTGTGTAAAAGCTCTAGTTGCCAGCTTAAGAAGTGATTTGGGCCTCATCATCTGCCTTTCAAGGACCCCCATTCTCATCTGACTTGCTTTGCTTGCTGCTAAGATAACTTCTGTCTAAATAATGTGGTCTATTCCTACCATAGTTATGTGCTGGGAGCAGGCAGTTTAGCCCTTTGCTGTCCCTTGCACAGTAGGCCCAATTGGGACTGCGAAAAGGTGTTCCACTATCCACTCCCACCTCCCCCTTCACTTCCTTGCAACCTTACCACAAGGCAGCCATGTTTGTTGAAAAATCAGTACAATTTTTCTGTGCACCACTTGCATAAGAAAGAGTTTAGTTTGCATCGAAGAGAAACCCTTTTGTTCTTGTCAACCAGTGTGGCCACTGTCACATCACCTGCAAACCAGCAATTCAAGAAAACATTAAAATTCTTCATGGTATCACCATCCCATGTTTGCTAATGTTAAAACTTCCAAAAACTTTTTCCTTTGTTTCCACAGGCGTGAGGCCCATTTGTGTATCTTGGCTAACAACTGTGACGAAACCCAGTATGTTAAACTTGTGGAAGCTCTTTGTGCTGAACACAACATCCACCTTCTTAAGGTAAGATAACTGCGGCATTTTTTATAGTGCAATGACTTACCCCGGCTATTTAACATAACTGGCTTATCTCAGGTCATGTTGACATCTAACTTGGTAGTTCATTGGCAAACAGGAACGTTTCTTGAAATTTCAAAGTGTTAAGTTCACTGCACTGTAATTATGCTCAAGAAACACTGTCATAAGAATTCTGTGCCATTGTTAACATGTTCAAAATTTTTATTTGCAATCAATAGCAGTCCCATTGAATATATTTGAGTGAAATTTTCAGCAAAATTCTCAGTGATATGTCCATGATTTCTGAGCAAGCTTTTTATCAGCAAAGCTGTTTATTCATCACTGGCCTTTGCCACAAACATTCTTACCCTTGTCATATTTTATTTTTTGTAGGTTGATGATAACAAGAAACTTGGTGAATGGGCTGGTCTCTGCAAGATAGATAAAGAAGGAAAGGCCAGGAAGGTTGTCAGCTGCAGCTGTGTTGCTGTCAAGGTGAGAAAACACTCACGTCCCTCTATTTCAAGGGAACAATTGGGAAGTTTAATTAACTAAAAATGCACGGTGAAAGCAGCAACATAGAAATAAAAACAGCAGCATTCATGACCAACAGCTCTGCGCATACACATCACACTTTTTTTGCGTATTTCTTTCCTGTCTTGCGTACAATAATACTGTGCACAATAGTAATTGTTGCAGTAAAATTTCCCATTGCAATGTTTTATGAAGGTGGTATACATAACATAAATAAATTTTTGTTTCCCTTTGAACTTGGTTGCAGTTCCTAACAAATTATTTAACTTTCACCCATTACTTCCCTTCTTTTGTCAAAGAATTTAGTAGGAACGACTGCAGTGAAGTTCAAAGGAAAGCATCTTCATTTTATAAGAGTTACTTGGACTGCCTATCACAATTCCTAGCTCTAATTAGCACTAGTCAGTTCTCATAGCCAATAGAAGCAGGTTGTAATCTTTGCTTGAATTTTTTAACACTCAGTTGACGTGTTAACTTCACATTGCAAAGATAAGCTTGCTGGTGTTGTTCTTTTTTTTTTTTTCAAACCAAAAAAGACTATTAGTTTTTTTGTCAACAATGTGCCGTCCTATGATGAAAAAAGGACTCCCTCTTCTGAGTTACTCTGAGGAAATGTCCAAAACCGGAATCGATATAAAGAATCTGAGGGGGCACAGAAAATAGCAATGTTTTGGCTTATTCATTCCTGGCAATGGCTAAGCAAAGTAAAATAATGTGGCTATATAGTGTAGCAACAGCACTCATAAGAACGGCTTTCAAGCCTTCATTTTAAAGTGTCTGGTCAAGATGTCCTCCACTGAGTTAGCTTCAAGAAATGCCCTGTACAACATTCTTGCCAAAGTTTATAATGGTTTGAAAAAGGCATTCTCAAAAACAGTTTACTTCTAAAGTTACCTACCTTCCCAACAACCAGGTTAGAGGTCTGGGATGCAGTATAGTTGAGTGGTCATTGCATCAGTGTTATAAAGAGAAGAGAGTTTTTACATGTAGCTTTTGAATTTGCCAGTCTGACAGGGTTTTAAATCCCATTCAGTTTGTTCTAATTATTTCTTTGATATTTTGAGTGGATTATCTACAGACTAGCTGGAGCAGCTAAGATAGTGTGCTTCCACTTCAGACTAAGCATTGTAATTTCTTGGCAGGAATAAACTAAGTCAAGTGGTTGTTAAGTTCTGATGATACATTTTCACTTTTTTCCTTTCATAAAGGATTATGGACGAGAGGGCCAAGCACATGATGTCCTAATGCAGTACTTCAAGACAAACAAGCGTAGCTAAATAAGGCACTGTCATTTTGCTTGGCAAATGAACAATAAAAAAATCATTACAAGAGTTCCTTATTTTTTCTCAGTGTTAACTGTTAAGGCGGTCAGTGTAATACGCAGACTGCGGACTATTGTTTTCACCATGCAAATGAGTATGTGACAGCAACAGTTCCATTGTTTTCTAACCCTAGAAAAAAATATTCCACAGTCAGTCCGCAGTCTGTGTTTTATACTGCCCTGTTATTAAGGCCTGCCCTTGTTTGATGTACAGAGTTGAAACTACATTCAAAACCCTCTTTACAGACACTAGCCTCCCATGCAGATGTTCTTAGGGGTTCATCACACATTCCTGCCCTACTGTATGGGAGGCCGGCCATACAGACACTGGCTTAATACAGACACATGGCTGTCATTAAGAGGCGGGGGCCGGGGATTTCCCCCAGCTACTATGAACCTCTTCCCCGGCTACTTTCAAAGGAAAATGAAAGAAAAATAGAACCGAAAGAAATTCCTAGCTGTTTGATTCCCTACCTACTGTTATATTTAACCGGCAACTTGAAATCTTTGTGACAACCCTGCTGACACCTCATTATTAGTATGGACAGTTTGCTTTTGTCCCTGGGGAAAGAAAGTCCTTAATTAAATTTTCTCTAAATTCAACTTCCGTAATACGGACCCCACTGACAGTTAATGCGGACAATTTCTCTGCGTCCATCCGTATCCAGACCTGGCTTTTGGAAGTTATGATTGGTTTGTGAATCCACCACCTTGTACTTTATAAAGTCAAGATATTGTTGACGCATTTTTATCATTACTTAGTAGTATTTGACACTAAACATAGTTTCAGGTTAAAATGTGTCAATACACTCCTGTGGTTCCCTGGGAAAAAACTATACCCTATTTCTGACCTGATTCAAAGGGTATCTGTTCGATTGACCTAGAATTTGATGGATGTTGCTTTATGTGTAAGCGACAAAAACGTGGCGGGAAATGTTTTGTTGCCTAAAACTTCTTGTTGAGAGGCTTTTTTGTGTCCAGGGGTTTTTTGTTTTATTTCCAGGTGTTCTGTAACATCTCGTCGAAATGAAAATAACAAAACCCCAACACGTCAGTTTTAAGCACTTTGAGTTTAGAATCAAATTAGCGAACAACAAAAATCGCTTCGAGTTTTAGCCTAAAAACTCATTTCGGACGCTCGTGTATGCAGTTTGAGAGCAGAACGGGCTACATCCCTTGCTTGTGAGGTACCCCTGTAAGTATCCGGTAACCTTAACTTGTGGGATCACCCCATCCTTCCGTTTAGGTCACCATTTTCTTTCCCTTCAATTTTATTATTATTATATTAAGGTAAGAATATACGTGATGAAAAGTGAGGATCAACCAAGAATGCACGAAAACACAATAAAACAGAGCTTTTACAAGCGCATTTCAGGCTCTGGAAGGGGTCTGGGCACCATTTTCACGAGTCACGAGACAGTCGTGAGTCGTGCAGTGGAAGGAAGTGCTAGAAAAGATTTTTACCGAGACGGAGCGAGAAACTGAAAGTTGAATCATGGAAGGCGAAGGAAAACCTCCACCGTATAATTATGGAGCAATTTCTACAGATGCTAATTACCATCAGCCACCACCACCTTACCCCGCTGGAGGTAAGTACGTAAGTTGATAATAGTACTTTTTCAGATTGTGAATATGAACGGTATGGGCACGTATATTAGCTTCATCGATCGAGCTCAGAGCTGAAGTTCTTTTCTAATGTACGAGAGCTGTGCAAAAGGCAATATTTAAGACGGTTAACCTTTTACAGTAGATACGGTAATTCAGTGATTAGTACCTTTACTCATTCGATTCGTCTTTAGCTTTTACCTATTTATGGAGGCTTACGTTACCAGTTTCAGTTTTAGTCGTCGATTGTACTCGTACCAACGAGTGGAAAAGTAAAGATTATTCGCTACGAACGTGCAGCAAACGTCTCGTTTTGGTTTAAATTATCCCTTTTATCGGAGTTTCTACTGTCGTCTTTACTTTAGTCTCCTTCAATTTGGAAAGCGTGGAGCTCGAGGGCTGGAACATTGCTCATTTGTTTTGGTTAAGAAAATCGGAGTGGGACAGTTTGCATTTTAATTAATAGTCGAAACCCTCAGAGTCAGCAGAATTTTTTTACTGAAGCCCCTGTGCAGAATTTAATAGCCCAGTTGTCCTAGAGTTGTCAAGGGTTACTTTGGTCATTGATTTGAATTTGAACGCTTTGGCTACATGGCCGGTAACCGGTCAAGGTTTTCAAAACACTAAATGACCGGCAGTCCTATATTTTAAGTAAATTTCACAAATCGAAAATATCCAGCTAAACCAAACCATCATATCAGGGGCACCCAACAAGAATATTATGTTCAAAACCACTTAAACATAGCATTGTTAAACGTATTTTAGTATTTAAACGGTAGATTTGGTATATTTTTATCCCCTAAAACTTTTTCATCTGTTCGGATCACAGGCAACCCAGGCTCATTGTTTGTGTTACGTACGGGTTTCATAACTTGAGTAAATATAGAGAACATATGGGGCGAAGTTTAGGTCTGGAAATTTGCTAGAAAATGGAAATAAAAATCGATGAAACTTACCATGTGGCAAGGTGTTGTTGTCCTTAATATGCACACAAAGTTTCAAGAAAAATAGTCTGCTTAATCTTTCCTACATAGTATAGTGGTAAGGTAGGAGGCTGACTGTTGCTTCGCAGCTCCGATCAACCCCAAACCAGCACTATTTTTTTGGCGAACTTCAAATCCAGTCGCTGAATAAACACACCAGGCTCGTGGAACATGAATTTCTCTAAACCCTGAAACCACTGAAGCATCTTCAGCCATCAACGCAAAGCCAGCGGAACTCTTAAGTTAACTTACTAAAATGGCAGCCTGAAGCTGTCAGGATCGCAACTGGTCCAATGGAGCTTGGGGCGCCTGGTGACGAGTATATTAAGTCCCCGTGGAGGGAAGGGAGTCCCAGAGTACTCAAAAAAATGTATTCGTCGTCTGATTACACACTTCCCTCCACAGGGACTTATATATTATACTCGTCACCTGGTGCCCCAAGCTCAGTGCCATTTTTGAATTGGACTAGTTGGGATCTAGCAAATTTCCAGACCTAAACTTCGTCCCATATGTTCTCTTTATTTATTCATGTTATGAAACCTGTCCGTGACACAAACAGTGAGCCTGGGTTGCCTGTGTTCGGATTTCCTAGCTGAAAGTCTAGTAATCCGAAAATAATCGGGATCAAAACTTACCTTTTCGAAAATTACAGCGCGAAAAAAGGCTCCTGAAAATTGTAGGTGACCTTTTTTAAGGTAAAAATCAGTTAAAAATGGGGAATTATACCTTTTTTTAGATGTTTGAAAATCCTAGGAGAGGTAGGGAAGCAAGAAATTTTACAAAAAATGTTCCAAAAATTCTAGATCTCAAATTGTCTTCCGAACAGATATTTTCCCAAAATTGACGTTGGGTGCCCCTGTCATACCTCGTGATCCTGATCAAACCAGCGGGTTTTTGGGATTTCTTTATCATGTTTTTGTTGGTTGCGAGTATCTTGATGTTTGTGACTATTTTCTGTCCAAAGCATGGCGTAACAATTGACGTTTAACGTCATATCAGCTTGACCTTTCATACGGCCACGGCGGAAAACCGGTGGGAAAAATCTCCATGCGTTAGTGTCACAAAACATGGTTTCATTTTCTGAACCCAGGGAATCAAATGCTAAACATGAATTCTATAAAGCATTTCAGGATCGCTTGAATTTTCTTAATCGACATATGATAGTTTGGCTTGGCTGGGATCCTTGGATAAGTCAAATTTATTGAAAATGCCGGACTGCCAATTATTTAGTGTTTTGAAAACCTTGACCAGCAGTCGACCTGAAAAAGTATCAAAGGAAAAAAAACAGCAAGGGGTGACGGGCCGCACATCTTCACCAGCGCGAGTCCTTTGGAAACTTTTTACTTATTGCTTGATTTTTTTCTTAATCGCTTTTAAAATCAACATATGATAGTTTGGATTGTTTGGGATTCTTCGATAAGTTGAATTTTTGGAAAATACTGGACTGCCAGTCATTTAGTGTTTTGAAAACTTTGACAGGCATGTCGACCTGAAAAATGTTCTAAGTATCACAAAACATGGCTTCGTTTTCTGAGCCTAGCATAAACCAAATGCTAAACTTGAGATCTATAAAGCGTTTCAGAATCGCTTGACTTTTCTTGATGGGCATATGATGGTTTAGATTAGCTGTTTTTTTTTATTTGTGAAATTTACAGCTGCTGCTGGTCATTTAGTGTTTTGAAAACCTTGACCGGTTACCGGCCATATAGCCACAGCAAATTTGAAACTTAGGCTGGCCTGCATTAATAAGCTTGTAGAAAAAAAACAAAAAATATAAAAAAAGAGTTTAAAAAATGGTGTCAGAGCTATTTTATCTCAAGGTATGGCTCTAATATTGATGTATTCAACAAATAGATTTCATATTCATTACAGAAAGTCTGATGATGTCAAAATGTTGTAATAACAAAAAGTGGTCAACAAACCGCAGCAAAAGTTGGTCTCTATTGTCCTTAACACATTTTGATGCCTTCCATAATCTGCTTAACTATCAGATGTGATGTTCAGTTTTGATGTCAAAATGTGTGAAGGACCAAACATTGGTGCACAAGGTGTAGATAAGGGTGCCACCAATGTAAATCACAATAATGACCATCAAAGACAAATGTTTTTAGTATATTCGGTATGAAAATACTGTAAAAGTCTTGTATTTTTGTAAATAACAAATAGACCACAAGTTTTGTATAGTTTATGCTGTTTTATGTATAGATCACATTGAAACGATATTCTACATCTTGATGGGATTTCTATGATCGATAATTGTGTGGACAAAATTGATAAGTTTTGTCTTTTTACAATAACATTTATTTTTGAATGGCAAAAACAAGGAAAACCATATTGCAATATCATTGCACTGTTTATACTCTCATAGACATGAGCACATTGTATTTTTTCGGTTAAAAGGCACACTCATTATAAGACACATCCTAAACTTTTCAACATGATTTTCTAAGTTATAAGGCAAAGCAGTGGATTTTGGCAATGGTCACCTTAACTACAGTAACACACTATATGCAATTCACCTCTGTGAACAAAAGAGGAAAAGGTTACATATTTCGATCAAAAGCAAAAAAATCACACCTATCAACACAAAATCCACTGTTTTCTAAAACTGAGAATACTTGGGGAATCTGTTTTTGTTCCATAAACAAATTAGCTGTCTTGGTTGTGGCATAGTGACATAATTGGTACATGCATTGGTAGAATCAAGATAAAATTGATCAAGTAATACATGCTGAGCCTGAATATTTTGTAAATTAACTACCAAATCTGGTAAAATTAAGCCCTTGTTCATGAAAATGACGATGATAAAAGAGCTCTCACAGTTCTATCAACAGATTTGGGAGCTTTCTTCGGAAAATAAAGGTCTGAAACAAGAGCAAGATCGCAGTATAGAAATAACTGTAAACAAACTGCCATCTTGGGTCAAGCACATCCTCAAAAATTTGCTCGGTTACCAAGGATCAACATTCAGTTCAAAATGATCAATGCCAGATGATTAGTTTTGAATGTACTGATTCATTTTTCGTTTAATACCAGCTTTAATAGAAGATGTAAAAGTCATTGAAAACCAATAACAAAAAAGAGGATGAGCAGCTAGAGCTTTTAGAGTCAAAAAGTTGACTCAATTTTGTTTTGATGCCTGAAGATACTTGGTTATAAGACGCATCCCAAAATTACAACAAACTTAAAGCCATAAAACAAAATTTTGTTGAAAAGTCCTGTGCCTTAAAAGCGAAAAAATACAGTATTATCCACTGCTATTCACCTCAGCTTCTATTAATGATTTCATATTCTAATTCTAATGATATCCTGTGTCCTGTAGGAACTTATCAAGGGGGCATGGGAAAACCTGGACAATACCCTCCTCATCCACAACCTTACCCCCAGCCCTACCAACCTTCCCCACCAGTTGGACAGCCTACCACCACTACAACCATCATTACCCCTCCAGGTCCTGTGTATGTCAACATGGTCTTTGGAGAGTCGCCTGTCAGCATGGTTTGTCCTCATTGCCAGACACATATCATAACTTGTACAACATATCAAGATGGGACCTTGACTTGGCTTGCTTCTGGAGCTCTTTGTCTGTTAGGGTAAGATACTCCTCTCTCAATGAGCTCCTGTATAAGATGTCTGCCTAAAATGGACACCTAGAATAATGTTGGTCCCTGGCAAATAAAATAAACACAGACAAAAATCTAGACGGCTTAGTAAATTACTTTCCCACGATTTTAAGATCAGCATCGGGGAAAAAAAAGAAAAAATTACCCATAATTTTCTGACAATGTTATCCCCCTAAAATGATGAAGTTTCCATCAACAAGTGTCTGCCCTACTTAACACAGAGCCACAGAAACTAACTGTAAAATGGTTGGGTAGGGGCCCATATGAGAGATTTACTGGCCAAAGGCAATGTTCAAGCTACTTTTGAAAAATGAGAATTGTAGAAAAGTCAAGACTCCGGGTCCAAAATTAACATTTTGGTACAAGTGCCATCTGGCAAATTAGCAAAAATTTTCGGTCTCCAGATGGCATAATGTGGTTGCTGGCATTTTTAAGTAAGGGTATTGGCCATACTGCTTTTTGTACTCTTTTCATTGTAAGATATTACCGTTACTCCTCTCACTGCTTTTCCATGCGTTAGTTTGTTTATATGGTGGCAGTCTCAGGACCCAAAATTGTGATCAGCTGGTCGCTAATGTGCCTAGAAATAAATATTGAGAGCTGGCGACCACAATTTCAATGCTAGTCGCCAGCAGGCAACTGAATAAGTTTTGAAAAGCAGTTCGAGAATCAGGTGATATTGCTTTGTTAAAGTTTAAGTTATGTGTACAGTAGGTCCACATTGGCCTATAGCTGCCTTTTTCTTAACCTACTCAAATAAAGTGAATTTTTTAAAAATATTTTTTCCTTTTTTTCCCAAAAGCTGCTGGCTGGGTTGCTGTTTGATCCCTTTCTGTTTGGATGGCTGCAAAGATGTCATCCACTCTTGTCCAAACTGTCATGCAAGGCTTGGAAGCTACCGCCGAATGTAGAAAGCTTTGTCTTCTCTCTTCTCATTGTAACTTATCTTTGGTTTAGTACTCCGTGTCCGTTAATTACAATGGTAATGACAGGAAGATGGTGATATAATTCCCAAAGAAAAGAACTTTTCCTCACAGGCAACCTTCAGTACAATATCATTTTCATTAATTTTTTAATTAGTCTCAGATTTCCAGAATTGTCAGTCTTGTATCCCAAATTTGATTATTAGCCAAGTTTATGTTATGTTATTGGCCCAGTTAAAGTAAGGCTGTGCTGTAGCTGTGTCCCTGGTGCCTTACTTTTGCCCTTGAGTGATAAAGAAATATTAGTTTTAATAAAACTCAATGTTTCGTGCTCAGGATTTCACAGGTTTATAGCAATGGGCTTTCCACAATTTATTCTACAGCACAGCCTTGCTTTGGGAAAGTGCTCAGTATTATTTCATGCACACATAAAGGGTGCTGTTTTTTGAGGTACCAATATTTTTCCTTGCATGTCACAAGAGCTGTTGGGAGACAACTGATTATTTGAATTTTTGGATGTTTTATTTATGCACAGATAAATGTCCTTTGCAGCATGACTATTCAGAAGCAGTACCCAGATATGGGAAATGACACGTCATCAGTATTGAATTTTCTGCACTTGCGTCTCAGATGTCATTTCCCTGGGAAAAAAGTGGATCAAGACTGAGGTTGAATTCTTATGGGACCAGCATGCAAAGAAAGTCGTGTCTGATAGCCCAGTGCTAGTGGATTTTACTTTTGGGCTAGTGAATTTTCTGTTCTTAACTTGCCTGATGGGCAAGTGAATTTTTTGGGGAAATTCAAATTACAGAAGGATTGTAATCAATCCTGCTAATCAAAAAGGCTTTTTGGGCTAGTTGAAATGACTTGTGGGCTAGTACATGCTAGCTACAGCTTGCCCCGAATGGTAGGCTGTAAAACTGACTTTCTTTGCACACTGGGGACTTAGAATATGAGATAGTATATTGTTGAATAGAGTAATGGTTCTTTAGGAACGATCCATTGTCAAGAACATAAATCACATTTATATTTTAGTATACCCTAGGCAGAGTTTCTATAGAGAGTGTAGGTATATAAACGATGCAATGACTCTTTAACTCGGGACAATGTAATCAGTAAAAGCATTGTTAGTAGAGGAGACTGTCCCCTCTACTAACTATGGTAAAAGAAAGTCTTGGAGTGTTTGAGCGGTTTTTTCTCCCTTTTTTCCCCCTTCAGAGTAACAAAGTTTGCGCCTTTTCATCTTTTGTCGTAGGGAAAGGAATTTACTTGAGCTCAGCTTGCATAAAAATTGCTTTTCATTAGAAGGAGCAAGACATGAAAACTGACCGAATTCCCTGCCCTTGTGTGCGATGTTGCATACTTACAGGTGTAAGGATTTTCTACATCTGTTTACCCTTTTTATCCCAAAAGTGACCAACATCATTTTTCTCCTAACAACATTATTTTATATAACATATTATGAGAAGGTTATGAGAATTAATAAAATGATCTTCAAAGGGAAAAGTGCATTCGTGAAGATTGGTCTGAAGAATTTGTGTACAAGTATTTGGGCTTAAGGGAGTTAAAAAATAGAGTGGTTGCTTGGTAGCCTGCGGGTAAGATCTCCTGGGGTGCTCCTTCCTCTTTTCCCTCCTCCACCCCTGTACCTCCGGGAACCCCAGGAGAGCTTGCTCGCAGGCTAGTTGCTCGGGGGCAGTGGAAACAAGCTGGAAGCTTTCTTGAGATAGGTCTGGAAAGCAGTGTTACCTTGCTCTTCCTTGTTCTCTATAATAATTACCCATGGACAAGGCATATATGGCATGAACTGGTAGCCTTGCCATTATTTTTTATAGGGCGGATGTGCATGCCATATACAGACAGGATGAATAAACATAGGCCGTGTGCGCGATCTGCAAACCCAAGGTGCTAGACTTATAGCAGTCTCTAATTTAACCTGCGATCAGGCAGTCCTTGTTCCCGTTTTGTTTTCCCAAAAAAACAACGCTTGTCCGCAGGTTATCTCTATTTTTTATTCATATTAGCTTGGTAGAGGGAATAGTACATCAGTGCACTGAAGAGATAATGTCAAGAAACAAGGCAATACAATACAATACAATAAAAATTTTATTGTCAACTCCCCATGGGGGCTTTTCAGAGACATATATTAATAGTACAGGTAATAAAAAAAAACACTCAAGAATTGTCAATAAACAATTATTAAGAAACTATTTGCATATAGAATTTATGACATCACAAATTGATTATCAATAAACTATTAAGAAACTATTTACATATAAATTAATGACATTAAAAATTGATTTAAAAGGAAGGCTTTCATTTTACGTTTGAAAATGATAAGAGATTCACTTAATTTAAAATGGGGTTTTAACGCATTCCCCAATGTTACAGTTCTGTAATAAAAAGATCTCTGTCCCGACTTGGTTTTAAAGAGCAGTATATTAAACTGGGAAGATGATCTGGTCGTCCGACCACTGATATTCCAAGCCATGCCACCATGCTACAAAAACCTTGTTTCTCATTGGGTCTCGTGTTTTTTGTGCCGTAGTAACTTTAAAAGAAAATAAGAAACTGTTTAAAGTCCAGACTAGGATCTTGGAGAGAATAAAATAGAACAGCAAGACCCCCATCCCCCTCCCCCAAATCAAGACAAGCAAGGATGAAGCCGCGCGGAAGCCAAAACGCGCCATTTTCCCATCCATGATTTTGTAGGCGGGGGGTATAAATTTTCCATCTATTTAATTTTTAATGTAATTTAGTTTATATATAATTTGTATTATACACGTATATTTTTGTAACAATTCAAGCCTTTTTTTAGGCTCACTGATGTCAAGTGTTTAAATAAAGATTATCTTATCTTAGATCATCTTTCTGGCTTCCTCCTCAATTCGCGAAACTTCACACAAGGGACATACGTAACCCCCCTATAAGAGGGCCTCGTCTCTGCCCAGCCCCCACACTTTTTTGCCCAACTCCGCTTTCCTCATTATCTTGGAGCCTAGAACAGGCTTGTTGTATAAACCTGCGATCAGGCGTTCTTTCTTCTTGTCTCCCAAACAAAAAGGGAAGAAGGATCGCTTGATCTCAGTTTAGCTAGTTGGGAATTGGCTGTTTGAATTCGTGAACAATTTACCGCTGTAAAACATGCATGCTATCAATTAATTCTGCTTAACCATAGTTATTAGAGGAGACTGGTTATGAAAAGCGGCAAACATCAATGATAAAAACAACAGTGCTGCAGTTTATGTTGGAAGCACCCTGAAAGTGCACAATCCTTTGTTTTCTATTGGCAAATTGTTACGGAATAAATTAATGCAACGTTTTTATTGGTCAATACAATCGAAATGATAGGAATTCTTTTGAACGTTGTGCACTTTCAGGTCCACAAAAACATATAACAAAGGAGTCTGACGGGTTTCATAACCATTCCACTCAATTAACTATGGTTTAACAAAGTGTACCCGGTGAATCAGGAAATTTCACGGTCTTGAATCCCATGTATTTCCATTCGTACCAAAGCAAATTTTCCATAGAGTGGATTCTGCTTTTTTACTGTTCTTAATATCTATTTATTAAAGGGTTGTGATTGGTTGAGTCAATGATTTTTTAATGGAAAGTGCTTTATCAGCCACTTCAACTGTCGCCATCTTTAAGGAGCGAGTTCCTGCGAATGGTGAGAACCCAAATCCATTAGTTTGAACGATTTTTGATTTTGTTATTTTGTTTGTAGCGCGCGTTTCTGTTTGCATAAAATAAGACTTTTTTAATAATAATAATAATTTATTCATTTATAATGCGCTTTTTAACATTCTAGGTGATCAAAAGCGCATTACAACAATAACAAAAGGCAACCTAAAAACTATACAAATATTAGAAATATACAAATATATTTAATATCTAAGAGATATTAAAAGCTAATTCAAAAAGATAAGTTTTAAGATTAGACTATAGTTAATTGAGTGGAATTGTTATGAAACCCGTCAGACTCCTTTGTTATATGTTTTTGTGGACCTGAAAGTGCACAACGTTCAAAAGAATTCCTATCATTTTGATTGTATTGACCAATAAAAACGTTGCATTAATTTATTCCGTAACAATTTGCCAACAGAAAACAAAGGATTGTGCACTTTCAGGGTGCTTCACTTTCAGAGCGTTCCATAAAGTGGGCGCAGCCACACTGAAGGATCTGTCACCACCAAATGACTTTTTCATTTTCCCTGACGGATGCTTTAATAAAACACCTTCATTAGAGGGCTGAATAGCGCGTATTTTGCCAAAATTCAGTATGTTAGGCTGTGTGCCTAACAAAGTGAAATATCAATTATGAGAAAAATTATACACTTTATTTTCGGTTATTTTCCGAAATACTTACAAACAAACAGTAATAATTCCATACTGCTGAAAAGGTTTCAACCACGGTTTTTTGTCCCTGCAATTATTAAAGAGCTACTTTGTCCACTTTTTAACTGAATTTTAATAATTCGGTTGAAGCTTGTTCATCCTGCCAACCCGGTTTCCCTCTTTAGCCGAAAGTTCTCTTATGACAAGTCGCTTCAAGTCTCGGCTGTGTTGACAGGCGACCGAGTTGTCAGTCGTATCTTAAGACTTCCTTTACGCTAACCTCCCACGCGGACGTTCTAAAGGGAAGCTAGGAACGCGTGACGAACCCCTAAGAACGTCTGACTTGGAGCCGGCTACTTTTATGAAAACAAAACCACCACGGCAAAGGGCTGATTTATTATAAGCCTGTATTTAGCCTTCCTCAGGGCCAGAGCTATACCGAGAGAAAATATCTTTTGACGGCTTCTAAAATTTGAATTTAAAATTCGCACAAGTGGTTAATAATTAACTAAAAAATAGAAATAGAAACAGTTCAATGCTCATTCTTTCGGTTCAGACCACAGGGAACCCACACAATCTGTTTGTCTAGCCGATTGTTATTTTATAGTAAATGTACTGGATTTACCGTTTGTTTCACCTATAGCGATATATCGCTAACTATGTATATAAATCAATGATAAATAAACGTTGAATTACCTTGCCTGTGGTGTTTAGTCGTCCTTTTGCCTCAAAAGCGTTTTTTTGAGCGATTTTGAATGAATTTGAGTTCGCCGTTGAGGACGACTATACACTACAGGCAAGGTAATTCAACGTTTATTCATCATTGATTTATATACATAGTTAGCGATATATCGCTATAGGTAAAGCAAACGGTAAATCCAGTACATTTACTATAAAATAACAATCGGCTACACAAACAGATTGTGTGAGTCCCCTGTGTTCAGACAGTCTGGTGACAGGGTTTTTCCTCTATCTATGAGGTACGCTTCTCTTGCAACAGCCCATTCTGCAATCCACCGAACGCTTAAGGGGACGTCTGCCTAGAGATTCAGCAAGAGGAACCAGTCAGTTATACGTGTTGCGTGGACCTCTGCATTCAAACAGTTTTTCCTACATTTACGCTATCCTTTTCACCAGGGAGGGCGGGGACTGCCTATGGCCTTTAAGGAAATGTGCTGCTGGACAGGGTATGGTTTTCGTCCTCTCTGTCCTAAACAGGGTATATTTCGTACGAGTCTGTCCTAAATAGGGTATACAATTTCGCGCAAGTCTATCCTAAACAGTCTAAACAGTGTGCATGATTTGTGCCCGAGCGTGTTCTAATTATAAACAGGGTGTTACATGCACGATTAGGCTGCGTAGCAAGCGTTTCCAATCGAGTTTTTGCGCGAAAGTTAGAGCGGGAGTAAAAAAAGGTCATTCCTTTCTTTTTGCTCTCGTCCCTGCAACTTTCTCGACGAACTCGCGAGGAAACGCTTGCTATGCAGACTAATGCACGATCGATTTCGTCTTAGTCCTAAACGGGGTAATAAAATTGAGGGTGTCGCCCTAAACAGAATAAAATAAAATTGAGGGAGTTGTCCTAAACAGGGTATGAAAATTGCGGGTGTTGTCCTCAACAGGGTATGTATTTTAGGAATTCTTTGTCCTAAACAGGGACAGGGTTTCGAACCCTAAGCGGCTCACCTATACCCAAACTGGTCGGTCGAGTACCCACCTCCCGCTTCGGGTCTTTTCACTCCTGTCACTCTGGCCTGTGTGGTTGCTGTGTTTCTAGATACACTCTTTTTATATATACAAGATTGTATTTCTGCCGATTTTAGCCTGAAAATATTCTTGTATTATGCTTGAAATATAATTTAAAAAGAATAAATTTATCATATCCTTTTTGCAGTTTATTCATTTAATTGTTATTTATTTATTTTTTCCTTTATACTATAGATATGTACTTCATGTACCGTTCTTCGAACTGTCATTAGACTGAACATCTGGCCATGACCAGTGCAGGTTTCTTCGTTTTGTTGTTTGCCTTGGGAGGAAGTAATAACTTGATACGGTCAAGTTAAAAACATATTTTTTTAGATTTTCATCACCCATAATAATCATCCTAGTCATGCCTAGTCTCAGCCTCGGATTTATTTTTAAAATATTCTTAAAATTTTGCAAATTTCAGCCTCGATATTCTTATAAAATATATTCTTATAGAAAAAAAGAGTGTAACAGACTCCCATTTTACGCGGCGATACATCGTGTTCTTGAATGTTTTATGTAGATATTGAGTCTTTCAGATGTCTCTTGATTAATATATAATGTTGGCTGTAAAAATGTGGTAAACCAAGAAAATGAGCCCTTTTTATATATATGTATATATATATATTTCTCAGTAGAGATAAATCGTTTAAGAGGCTGAGACTAATATTTAAACATTTTCCACCCATTTGATTTCGTAATTAAAAGAGTAAAGAATTTTCCCGACTTTTAGAAAATTTCGGCTGGTTCCTTTTTTTTGCATTTTTGCAATTCTCTTGTAATGACGTATTGAACTTTCAAATTTAGAAAGTGACAAAATTTGGCCTCAATTGTAGCCTGCGTAGCTGGCGGTATTGTGTGGGTGCGAGATTAAAGTTTTGGCGGCGGAGCCGTGTTCCATAAAAAGGGAGTAGGGACGAGGCGGTATTTCTCGCGGCTTGGCCGCTCGTGACGGCTCTGCCGTCAAATCTCACTCGACTATATTACAACGAATCCGCCGCCAAATCTCACTCGACTACAACACAATACCGCAAGCTACGCAGGCTACCTCAATTGCTGAGCGGTAGATGGCTACGTTTCGTGCAGGTTTCCTAATTAAACACAAATCATCATAAAATTCCAGTTAGATATTTATTGTAAACATGGCAACCTTCCGATAATGGATAAAACTATTTTAAGGAAACATTAATTTAAATAGTTTTGGTCGTTGAAAGAGATTTTCATAAAAAAGGGAAAAAAAATAAAAGAAAACAAGCTTGAGTGTGGTAAGTATTGGCGGACCGGCAATACATGGCATCCGGCGGTCACTAAAATTGACCTGTCAGACTTGGCTATTTTTGAGTTTCTGTACAATTTTTTAAGGTCACATGATGAAAGAAAAGTACGTTAAGTAACAAAACTGTCAAAATAGCGTGAAAGGATTGTGACTGAACAACCTTTAGATTCTTTGACTTTTTGAAAGACCGTTACTTTGAAACGAAAATAAAATATTGGTTGAAGGCGTCGCTCTCGTCATTTGCCCATATTTTGCATTTTTCACTGTACTATTTTAATGGTGTGAGCTCACACCCACTTCCTTTTCACACAAAAGTAATGACATCACTTCATGACAAAGAGATAACTTGTTGTTGTGGCGGGAAATGCAACAAGCGGCATATCATCCAATTGAAACATCCGTGACACTGAACCTATATCACGGCTAGAAAATCTGATTGGTTCGCGTGCGTGCTTTAAGATATATCACGTGACGTAATTATTGTTCACGAATAGCCGATGCGACTCGTGAAAGTTTTAGTCCGTTTACTTGTTCGTGTTGATTTCGAAACTATTTTTGTTTGATAGCCGAAGGAGTTGATCGTCTGCGAATGGCTGGGGCTACAGGAGAAAATACGGATAGCTCGGCGGCTTCTCCGAGGCAGCAAGCGAGCAGAAAGCCACCGAAAAATCGTCTTTCGTGTCAGGTCACTCTTCTCGATGGAACCGTCTTGAATACAGATCATTTACAAGTGAGTGTGCTCAACGAATTTTTTGCACATATTAAGTTTGGTTTGAGCTATTTCTTTAACATGTATTCACTTAAAGGTTTATCATGTTTTAATGGCTGTTGTAATAGAAGTTTCAACGCTAATCATACTGTCACAAATTCTGTTCTGACCATGAAGTTGAGTTCTTGTTCTGTCGACGACTCCACCGCTTAATATTGGGAGTTTGATTCAGGCGACGTACAGAAGTACTCCAGATCTGATTTTTCCTAATACCCTACTACTATTCGAGTTGTTCTCTATCGGCAGAAGAGCGTGTTCCTTTAAGTGACTGGAATGAAGAACATGCTATATAAGGAAATGGCAGTCTTCCAACCCTCAAGCTTGAATTGAAACCGAACAAATTTAGATTTTGATGTGGAGCAGTTTTCCGCAAACGCTCATGCTGAATAGGACATTCCTTTTATCGAACTGATTCATTTTCTTAAAAGATATATTTAAAAATTACTTGCTTTATCCTGAGATGTGATGTTGTAGGGCCGAAAGAGAAACAAGATGTTTTGTTCTGTTTGATTGAATTCGAATATACAATTTCTAACAGTATGATTCAAGGGCAGTTAAATTCTTCCCTTGTCATGCTGTTATAACCTCTTTGTCAGTCAGAATTGCTGATTCCTCCGGTGTGATTGTTTGATGTTTTTTTTTATCTAGTCTACTGAGGTTGTCGTGGTGTTAAAAGGCACTTCGATCCGAATGTTTACTTGAGACGCACACTTCTCCTTTCTGCTCGTCACATATTAGACCATATTATGATGATTTTAGAAGCTTTAATTTATCGTCGGTGAATTAATGTTGGCCTGGAATTAAACCAAAACCGAATTTATCTATTAAGGGCAGTTATCCTACGTTAATTCTCTCTTTTGTAAAAAAATAAATGAATCAGCCTCTTGCATGTTAGCTTACCTGTGCTTAACTTTCTCTCCTAAGAAAACTGCCAAAGGTATGGACTTGATGCTCTGGGTTACAACACAGCTGAATATTTCAGAAAAAGAGTATTTTGGATTACTGTGGCAAGACGGTAAAGGAGAAAAGGTACAAAGCATTTGCTTGTTTATGTTTCGGCCTAAAGTTAGTTTTAGCTTACATGCACTTTAACTTTTTAATACAATGTATCCTTATACTAGTCTACTGAAGGTAATACGTCCACCTGGTCGTTAATCTCACAATTGTTTTCCTCGATTGATGTTTAGTCTAGATGTTTATCATCCAACTTTGGCCCAGAGAGCATTATAAAAAATCGTTGCTCACACAAAACAAGGAATTTTCTAGTTTGTTTTGTGTTTTGGTAGCAAATATTTCACAGTTCTCGTTGCGTGACTTCACAATGTTTTTTTGCTAATAGCGAAGAGAGAATAAAAGCCTTTCATGTGTGTACTCAATAACTTCATTTAATATTCCGTTTATTCTTACTCCTCAGTACTGGTTGGATCCTCAGAAGAAAATAACAGCTCAGCTTAATGGTATGATGTATTAAAATATGAATCGAAATTAATTATTTCCAATTCCTATAATTTTTTCCCACGTCTAAAACTCCTCCCTAACTAAAGAACTTTTGTCATGCTAATTTTCATTTCACTACCCAGACAATTTGATTCCAAGAATATTGTTAATAAACTTGTAAAAAACCTCGAACGATCTCTTACTCTCTGTGGTAAATTTTGTTGTTGGTTTTGTTTTTGATAGCGTGTTCTACTTTGTTTATATTTGTAAACCTGTGAGGTCTTTATTTTTCATAAATTGTCAAGTTCTTCAACTGCAAATACTGAATGCAAGATTATTAAGAGTGACAAGACAAAATTATTTGCCTCCGATTTCTGACCTGATCAAGTTTCAACAGCTATTGTTAACCTAAACAGATCATAGTTTAACCTTTTAAGAGCTTTTGTATTTTTTAAGGGAAGCTGTTGACAATGCTTCCTTGCGTGGGTTAGCCTGTTTTGAATACAGCAATCTGAAATGTGAGATGCTTTGACCAAACTAATCACCCATGACCAGTATTATTCAACATATAGTGTAGGTGGTTTATAAGGTGGTTGTGTATTTTGGTGTGAAAAAAAAACTTTGCGTAAATAAATACATGGAGAATTCCCACTCTGCTTGCTTGTAGATAAACAGTAAACAAGTTAGTATCGTGTGTGTCAACAGCTTCCTGTAACACACTGCGGCTTCTTGTGTGGTACAGTCCACCTTTTTGCGGTGTATCCTAACTGTTGAATTTTGCATCAATATAGCTTGTCAGATCTGTAATGATGATAGATTGTGGGAAATTGTTTTTTGCCATACATTCTTAATCAAATGAAAATTAGAGATAACTGATTCTTTACTCTTTAATTGCAAGGTCACGATTTGTTTTTTTATATTTTGTTCCCTTTTAATTATAGGAGTTTATGATACTGTTAAAATTTTAAACTTTCTCCTTGGAGTAGCTGTATAAGAATGATCTCACAATTTGTTTGTGTTTGAGAAATGTTTTTTCCGGCGTGTATATTGTTCTTTATTTTCATCTTTGACGTCAGCCTATGAGAAAATTCTTGTTTTGATTAAGAAGCATTACAGATTTGTAGCATATTGCTCAATTTGTTATGAATTAATAATTTTAGTAAATCTGTGTGGAAAATGTTTGTTCAATTTTATGAATTTTGTTATAAAGGGACATTTTTTGTGAGGTTGCAAATAATGCTGGAATATTGTATTTTTACTTTGATCCTTTGCCCATGATGTCAAGTAAATGAGTGCGGAAAACAAAACTGGATCAACAAAAACCCTAAACACTTCCTTCAAATCCTTTATGCATTACATGTGTTGTAGTTCAAAGTTTTCTTTGGTTTAAAAATTTGCCAGCTAATATTACTTTAAGTTTAATTGTTTGCCCTTGTCTCAAGTCATGTTTCAATAAACTAAATGGTGCTGAGACAAAGGAAATAAAATCTAAACTGGTTTGAAATAAAGAAAATGTTTTTAATACCAAATATCCATACAAGTATATAAATGATAAAGATAACAGATGTGGACATCAAAAACTTTTGAAATTTTCTGCACTGTTTCGCTTTAAGATTGAAGGTCTTTAGGTTTAATATTTAACTCCTTAGTTCTGTTCATTAATGGCAATTGTTTTCTAATTAGCTCGAAGTATAATATTAGACTTGCAGACTGAATGATACAATATTATTTTTTGGTTTTGAAGGTGCTCAGCCCAACTTTGCCTTTGTGGTTAAGTTTTATGAACCAGTCCCATCTCACATCAAAACAGACTACACCAGGTAACTCAGTCCCCTTCCCCAGGGATTGGGGGAGGGATGTATGAAAATAATGCTAATCATTTTCTGCTTAGAATGGCTAACTTGCTTATTTTTATTCATAAGGGTGGAATTTAAAAGATACTACACAGCCCCATTATTCTTGCTACGAAAGTCTCCCAAAAGGGTACAAAGAGTGTGTACAGCCACCCCCTCCCCTCAGACAAAATCGCCCCTTGGCAGCCCAGTTAAAATCACCTTTTGGTGATTCTTGTTTTCTTTTAATCTGTTTATTATCAGCCGTTGCAGCTATGACTTTCAGGGGACATCATACATGTAACTGGTGACCAAACTTGTTTGGTCAAGAAAGATAAGGAAATATTGGCAGTGCTCTTTTTTTGTGTATTTTTATGAATGGGGTCAAAGTCAAGGTTGATAAAAACCTAAAATAAGAATAGGGCCAATATCTATCTTCACTGAACAGCCCAAACAAGCTGTGGTCAAACAAGACAATGAGTGTTAATGAAAACTGTAGTGGGGGAAGCAAGAACATACATGATTATCATAAGTGAACTTTTGACTAAAAAACTGCATTCACCACTGGAGCCCTTTTTGCCTAAAATCTTTTCTGAAATCTCTTGTTGCATGGGCAAGAAACCTGAGAATACTGGGTATAAGATATTGATATTGTGCATAGCCCTGTAGTTAAGGACAGTAAAAAAGTTGGTACTCTTCCAAGGTTCCCTTATCAAGCAAAATCGTCTGCCCCTGGTGGCTTGTATTACCTCCCAGGTTGTTGTTCTTAGTTTTTATTAAGGATTTAAGTTGCGGTTATTTTAGTTAAAATATATCCCTAAGAAACAGTATAATTCACTCTTGAAAAACCTAAGGAAAAAGGTTTTTTAGGCAGTAACATATGTACATTGTATTTCTCTTTGATTAAAAAAATTTTTAATTTTCTGTTTTGTACCAGTCTTGAAATTTTTGGCTTTGTTTCAGGTTCATGATCATGAAAACTGTATGAAAGATGGCAACAGATTAATGTCATGTCGCTTTCTTGAAGAGCTGTAAACCTTTGCACATTGTACAATGCAAATTAATGTTGCTACACAGAACAATTACCAGACAAATTATCATATTATTTATAAGGATTTCAATAGTATCTTCCTTTTAATTTATGCTAAAACCTATGTTGTGTAATACACACAAACCCAAATAAATGAAGGTGTGTGTGGAAAATGGCCCAGTTGACTTGTGATAACCTGGTAGTTTCTCCTGACAAATTACCTTGTACGTTGTACACCTTGTTGACTGATTCCTTGTAAAGTACATTGTATGGATCTCAAGTTTCTAAAGGTGTTTTGTTTTTCTTTTGCAACTGTTTCCAAGGTATTTGATGTGCATGCAGTTACGTGATGACATTAACTCTGGAAGGTGAGTTCTGGGTGACTTACATGACTTAGTATCCTGTATTGCATCTTTTGCTTACTTTATAATGATGAAGGTTCTGAGAGATGGTTTAGATAGGCTCTGAGTTGGTTGAGTGACAGATCCTGTTTTCTCTCTATCTTAGTGATCACATATCTTTAAATAAATTATATTGATATGATATTTTTCAGGTTACCATGTTCATTTTACAATCAAGCACTTCTTGGATCTTATGTAGTGCAAGGTGAGGTGAAAATGGGGATTGAATATTGATTAATCATCTGTGCCATAGCTAAAATGCATTAAAGAAAGAAGGAAGATTACCATTATACAGAGGACTTGTCATGGAAACTCTGAAAACAGAAGAACATTCAGTATTAATTTTTTTTTTATTTACTTTGCCTGTTGGTACAAGAAAATAGTTACAAGTATACATTAATGGATAGCTAGTGAGACTATGCTATTCTGTAGTTGGAACAAAATACCGTACAATCTGTACACCATATAACCCAGCCTCATCTAAATTACTGTAAATTGCTTGCTCAATAAGTAACAAGGAAATGGATATCAGAACTTTGAGATTTGTGCATTAGGTATTTTCTTGTATGCTGTAATTGCTTTTGTCTGATTTTTATGACTGACGTGTGTTTGTGCGCAGGTGATGTTGGAGATTATGAGGCACGTGATCATGGTGATGATTACTTGGATGGAATGGTCTTTGCACCCAATCAGGTAACACAAAGTAGCACTTAACCCTAAAGCATTACAGAAAAACTGGTTAATAATATACATGTACATAATATCTGTGTTAGTTTTGTACATTAAAAATAGAAGACAATAAAAGTCTAAAAAACACACAAAAAAAATTAAAGAACGCTAAAGAATTTGTTGCAGTTTTTCACTATTTACCGGTACTTTGTTAAATTTTGTACATACAAAATTGTGACAGTAAAAAGTTCAAAACACTGTCACAGAAAGTAGTTCTTGCAAGATTTCACAAACTCAAAATGTGTAGGGTGTCTTTTAGTACTGTTATTACCAGGTTGTTCAACAAGAAAGTTTTACTACTACAAATTGCTAGTTGCTAGTTTTCATCTGAATTGTACTTCCTTATTCTACATATTATGCCATAGAAAAGTATCATTATTGATTCTGTTATCACAATTTTGTTTAGACACCTGAATTATTGGAAAAAATCAGGGAACTTCACAGGGAAAATAGGTGAGTAATTGTACTTTACATTAGAACTAAGTTACTATTCCACAACTTGTGTATATCTTTGGTCATACAGCTGTTATTTCAAATCCATGTTAAATAAGGAATTTAGCTCAGAGAGACTCCAAATTAGTTTGAATTTTATTTTTCACTTTTCTGTTAGATTCCTTTTAAACCAAAGCAAGGGTTAATTTGCATACAGTACAGTCAACACTTTCTGTCAGGCCCCAGTTCACTTGTTCAAGGGTAATAACACTATCCACTGGATAGATTTTTTTCATTTGGATAAGGCAATTGTTCCCCTAATTCTTATCCACTGGAGAGTGACTTATCCGGTGGATAAAAGCACTGTACAACACTTGAATGACCATGCCAGGTGTGCATCTGTCTCTCTTCCAGACCTGGCAGTGTCGAACATAAGAGATGCTCAGTGGTTAACTGTGGATTGGTTATTTTGTTTGTAGGGGTCTTAGCCCTGAAGAGGCTGACTCGCAGTACTTGAAGATTGCAGCTTCCAAACTTGTTATGTTTGGCGTTGATGCTCATCCTGCCAGGGTATGGGTAACCTTTTTTATGTCCAGTATTCCTACTACATTGTATACCATGTTATGTTAACTCCACTTACAAATTAGTACACTTGAGGAAAAACATTGATGGTGTGCTTCAATAATGTTGTGTATGACACTTGGCGGCCAAGACTAAGACTTGACAGACCTAATCCTACTTTTGTTTCTTGTTGGGTGTCCTGTGAATGTACTGGGGATAAAAATCAACAACATTTGGTGGACGTTCTCTGTCACGCAAATCTACCCCAGGCCTTCATTTTCCTGCAGGAAAATATCATACACTTCCCCTATTACCTTCAAAAATCCTTGATATCACACAAATTCTCTGCGTTTAAATGAAAGTGATATATCAACACACTCAGTAATAATTGGTGTCTCAAAACCAGGTGACATGACTTATGAATTGGAATCTAAAATGCACTTTATTAATCTGTGATGACTACTTTAAGTCATAAAAATACATAGGCAAAAGACAATTCCAAGCAAGAATGAAGAGAATTAACTAGCACCTTTAGTAATAGTCATACCTAGTATTTACCACTTACATGTACATAAATGTACATGTATTATAATAGTAAAGGAAAGGGATCAAAACCCACCAACCATGAGCAAGGTTTGTGATACACCAATCACTAACAACCATGGTGGTACAAATAGTTTGACTCAGTAAATTGACACTATCCCCTGATGAAGACCTGCAGTGTGCAGTCGAAACGTTGTGATCAATATCAAAGTGACAGTACTGAGATAAATGATGAAACTAAACCCTTTAAAAGAAAACTGAATCAATGCAACTTTCTTGTTCTAACTTCTTTTCCAAACAGTGTTATTTTTGTGTTCTTGTGAATAGTATGGGAGAAAGAGGAAGGAAAAAATACTTTGTGAACTACTTCTTGTTTAGTTTAAACCTTAGGTTTTTATAATAAATTAGCAATTTTTTTCACTTTTGTTATCTACATTTGTTTAGGATGGACAAGGCAATGAGATATTGATTGGTGTTTCACATGAAGGAGTGGCCACCTACAAGGATCGACTAGTGGTGAACAGTGTCCCTTGGTAAGAACAGATTATCTTGACATTACAGGGCATGGTGCCTTATTGAGGAGGGGGGCAAGGGTGCATGATGTTCATTGAATTTAACACTTTGCAATGGTGTTTCTGAAATCCATTAGGAATCCCATTAAGATGGAATCCATTATACACCAAAGTTCTCCTGAGTATATCCCAGACATCCAAAGACTTGATTTTCTTTACATATACAACAGGCACTGTTTCAGTAGGTGATGCCGTGTCCTAGACTTAGACCCTTGGAACTTTTTATCACTCCTTATACTAAAACTAACTGATCAGAAATGTGCCCTTTATAGCAATACAAAACTGGTCTTTCTTGCTTTATGAATACATCTATCAGGAAACTAATGGCAATGTTCAAACCTGTCAAAGGTTTGTTAAGGCTTGTCAATTGTTTTTTATTGTTATGGATGGTGGAAATTGTAAAGTATTGAGAGATGTCTTTTAAAGCTGCAATTAATTTTGAATTTAGGAAGTTATAACTTAAGATGAATTTCATTAATTTTAAAGGCTCATTAGAGCTTTTATTCTCCAAATTGGGATAAAATTTGCGTCTGATGATGAGTCATGAATGTTTACAATACAATGCCAGAGAGTGAAATAAACTTCCTTAGTGTAAATAAAAACATTCTTTGAGCTGCTGTTAGCCCTCTGTAGCCTCCCACATGGATAGTTATTTTTCGACTTCCTCCCGCCATTAAAGTCTGCTGAACATTCAAAGGTTTTAGCAAGTACAGAAAGTCTTCCACTTTCTGATAAACAGGACTTTGACAAAAAATATTTTGTTGTTACCAGCAGTGGTTTAAAAATAAAAATAAACTGAATGCTACGTGTATTCTTCAAAACGTTTTGAACAGTATCTTTTGAAAGGTTTGCACAGCCATGTTTCAAAACCTCCAAATAGTGCACAGTCAGTACTTGCATTTAAAATGTATGTTACATACAAAAAGCCACACCATGAATATAAGGTAAACATCCATGCCAGCCTACGCTTCCTTTCGGGCTAAGTATTATTCTGGAATTACGCTTAAACTCTGTAGGTGTCAATTGCAATTGTTATAATATCAATGCAGCTCACTATGAGAACCTAAGCATCTGCCTGGGGGGCTATTTTTCTCCAGATTTGGATTAATTTTGCACCCCAGGATAAGTCACAAAGGGTAACATTCCAGTGTTATTTTGATGACAGAAGTGAGATGAACTTAGTGTAGACACTCTAATTAAGGTGCTATTAACCCCCAAGGTCATCAACGCTTTAGCACTTCCTTACTCTCATGTTGGACCAAGAAATATAGGAAGTCTGATCTAAATTTAAGTTTTCTGTTTCGGAACATGTTTTAGTGATTTCTGATTAAATCTATTTGTTATTAATTTTATGTGCTTTTTAACTTGTGTAGGACAAAGATTGTTTATGTCAAGTACAGAAAGAGAAACTTTATTGTTAAAAGCCATCCAGGGGAGGTAATGGCAGATTTTTGGTTTTACCCTTTTTTGCATCTAGTGGTTTAATTTTATTATTATTATTATTACCTCGTACTTATTATTTTTAGATAATATTACTATTGTAATATTAAATAAACCAACATTCAGGATTTGCCCCTTCTGCAGAGCTGATATCAATGTGGCTTCTAATAAATTATTTACAAATTAAAATACTGATAAAGAATACAACAAAATATGACTACTTTGAGCCCTGCTCACAAGAAATCGTCCAATTAATGATCCTTAGCATCTAATTGTTAAGGTAACAATTTTTCTTTTGTAAGAAAAAAGGGACAGACTGTGTCTTGAAAACAAATCTGCAGCTGTAAGGGTGTGTTGCTAAGGAATTCTTGGATTCAAAAGTATACTTCTTCATTAATCAAAAAACCTAAAAATGGCCTTTTACCAACTTTTTCACCTGATTTGACATGAAATAGACAGATTTGGTTGTTTTATCCTGAAAAGTGGATTTTTTTTCAAAAAGTTTGGTACTTTGCTTAACCCATTCGCTCCTGGAGGTTTTGCCGAAAAACACGTTTTGAAGCTAGTCGAGTGGTTTTCTGGTCACTGTCATGCTATAAAGAGCTAAAACTTACCACAAACCGGTTTACAGGTCGTACACTTCACGGCCTTCTGATCCAGATGCAAAATATCAGCTTGCGAAGTTCGGGCATGCCCAGAAAGCAAAATTTCGAGATTGGGTTTAAAAGTGACACAGCAGTCTTGACTTTTACTTTTAGCTCTCTCCTCCCCTCTTTTTTCGCTTTTCTTGCCTCATTTTTTTTTCTCTTGCTTGGCATTTAGTAGGCTTCATTTTGGGGGTAATAGTTTTTAGGAAAGCTTTTAGGATCTTAGGATTAGGTGAAAGGAAAGGTAGGTGGGCAATGGAACAAGATTTTCATGGAGATTTTCAGGTCAATGTTACATGGTTGTTTGCCTCTTTCTCCGGTGTCCTTGACTGAATTGTGCTCATTCTGGTATGGTTTGAAAGATCTCTTCACTCTGCACAAGTTAGCAGAGGAAGTTGTCCTTGACCGTTAAAACTGATGACGTCACAAAGGGTAGAAAGGAGGTGGATCAGCACGGGCAGTTACGGGCGGTTCAGGGGCGAATGGGTTAATCCCAAAGTGGATTTTGAAAGCAAAGAATACTCTGAATGGAATCATTACATTATTATTTTCCATGGTTTTAGGATTTTTTTTTTCTTTTGTTGAAACAAGTTCATTGCTACAAGTTCATAGAATCTGAGATGATGAATCTAATATTGGCTTCTCCCAAAGTAATTTTCCCTTAAGAAACAAGGTGTTTATTACTTGAAATAAATATGTCAGATCTTTTAAGGTTCATGTAAAGTAAGTAGTTTTATGCCATATAGATCACAAAATTAATATAAACCACAAACCAGAGCATTATGAGTACTTTCCTTGTGCTAGTGTATCATTTTGATTAGCTTTTGGCCATTGTTCTTTATTTTTTTGTTTTATTATTATTATTATTATTATCTTTTGATCCAATTATTGTATATCTAATTTTTATAGAAATTTTGTTCAGTCAGGTTAAATACATGTGGGTTGTGGTTTTGATGGCTTAACACTGTCAATAGCCTCCTTTTGGCTTAAGCAAGTAACTAGGCCTCAGGGGGTCAACTAACATCTTTTTTTCTTTTACTCAGCTGGAGACATTAACCACTACTGCAATTTATAAATTGCCGAGTGAGAAAGCATCAAAACGCTTGTACAAATCATGTGTTGAACACCATACATTTTTCAGGTAGTGAGTTGCATACCTTACTGTAGAATTACAGTGTATTTGTGAGCACATTACTGTTTTTGATGGCTAGACCATAATCTTGCAAGAAATTATATCTTTGCACATTTTAGCACTAAGGTTCATTCCTAGATAGAATACTTTTATGTCGCTCTGATTATTAACTTTTACAATACCCCCATGAAAAGTGCTCTGCAAAATAATAGGGTTAGCTTAACAGAGGACATGCTATTTGTTTGTAAACAATTTTGTGTTGTGGGCATTGTAAAGTGGTGTAAGTCCCCCTGCCCCCCATCGCTTTTTTTCTAGCATTATTATGCACGTTTATTAAAAAGACTTTATATGGGTAACATCATTACTGGTATCACAGTAGTTTGCATTGTAGAGGACAGAAACTAATAACGATATGAACATATAAACATGTAACAATCCTAACTGGTAGCCAGATGCAAACTAGTTGGCTACTTACAACCCTGTTGGAGGAGTTGAACATGGGACTACTATTTAAATAACAAATAATCTAATTAGCACTCAGGGCGTGACAGACTCAGAGCTGCATTCAGGGTCTCCATATTGCAAGTTTTGATCTCTTACCACATAGCTGCGCTTCCTCCCTTTACCAAATTCTTTTACTATTACAAAACAAAGAACCATTGTGATTCAGAAGAAATTTTCCTTCTATGGGTACACACTAGGGCCCAGACCACATCTCAAACTTTCAAAAGGTTGAGACAAACCTTCTCATTGAAGACTTGTGCTTGTTTCATATTGACAGACTAACATTTTCTGACCCACCACCGTCTCGAAGTACCTCACTCTTAAAGATGGGCTCAAAGTTCCGTTACAGTGAGCGTACTCTGTACCAGCTGCATAAGGAAGGACACCCAGTCAAAGAACAGCCAAAATTTAATCGTGTTTCAAGCCTGAACTGGTCTCGTCGTTATCAAATGCCTTCTCTGTCAGAAACTAGGATTTATGTGGATGAAAAAGATGATGATCCCAGAAAGAGACCTCTCTCTGAAGGAGATTTGCCATTAAGGGCACCTTGGTTGTCAAAAGGAGGAAAGGTGAGTCTGTTGGAATATTGAGACTCTTGATAAGTATTTTCGATGAAATTGATGTTTTGACAGGTAATATTGATGAAATGGCGATCTTAACTTGAAGATTAAAGTGACAATCGCATTGCCATTCCGATCAAGTTTGACATCATTAGTCGTCTAATAAACAAAAAGAAATCATTAAATTTGTCGCTTTTCTTATTATCTTGTTTCCTTTGTCCTGGTCGTGGCTGCGCGAGCTCCCTAGTTATGTTACCATGACTTGATTGAAAACGCTCAATGAAAATAACATCTGCAGGGAACCAAAGCGAGGGTCAATATTGTTGCACAGTAGAATTACAGCCACGCTCTGTTATACATGGCTAGTATTCGTGAAAATGTCATTTTATGTGAATTGTTGTACGTCTGAACAACCGTATTTATTCGAATAAGCGTCCAACCTCGAATAAGTGCTCACCCCCCTTCCCCCTCCCACCCAAAGAAAATTAAGTGCACGAGAGTAGTATTGATTATTATTTATTCACTGGCTTACAATCTCTAGATTCATTGTCTTGGAGAATGTTGGAATTTTCCTTAAAGTTTCAACTCAAATGTCTATGTGGGCGTAAAGTTCTTTCAGCCGCAATATATCTCACTCAAAACTCGTGGCAATAGCTCTGCTCGGCATTCGTGCTTTGAATGATCCTGGGACAACGAGTCCATTCTCAAGCCTTCTTGATCCTGTAACTTTTACAGAAACCTCATTATCATCGTAAGCTCTCAGAAATGTGTAGATAAGAGAAGACAGTTCCATTGGTACATGCCCTACAAGCTCATTATTAGCGAAACAACAAAATGAAACAACCAAAACGAAAACGAACTGTTGATGTCTCTTGATAGACCTGCCAAAGGCGCAGGTCAGTGGTACACCTAACCGCGCCCGGTTGGTTTATGATCTCCCCCTCTTCCCCGCCCTCCGTTATCCGTAGCACCTCTCAACAAAGAGCAGTAAAGTTTTTTTTTAAGTTTGCTATTTGCCACTTCTGTGATTACTTGCAGGCTCCACATGTGATAGAGGAGTCAACAGACACCATGACACCAGAGGAGCGGGAACAGTATCAAAGAGAGATAGCAGATAGATTACGCAGACAACAGGCAGAAGGAGGCCAAGATGTGATCAGGGCCACTGGGGTTGGTGAGGGTCTTGGTTATGCATATGGAACTGCTGAGAGGCGAGACCCACAAGCTACAGTCACTGCACTGGAAGAGGAAGCTAGAAGACGGGAGAAGGAGAGAAGGGAAGAGGAAGAAAGGGAGAGAGAAAGGCAAGAATGGAAGAGGCGTGAGGAAGAACGCCTTGAACGAGAAAAGGAAGCTGAGAGAGAGAGAAGGCTGCAAGAATGGATTGAAAGTGAAAAGAAAAGGTGATAGTTGCTTTATTTATTCTACATTGTTCTTTATCTCTTTTAGTGTGCTCAGGTTCAAATAGGCTTCCTGTTTTTGTCTTTTTAGAGTACAAGAACCACCTGAGGTGGCAGGCATGGCTTACACAGCGCCTGGTGGACCTGCTGAGAGGTATGTGCACAGATTTCAGTTTTGGACATTTTCGCCGTGAATAAGATCTTAAGCTTGAGAAAACAGCCAACATTTTGCAATGCCGCCGTGGTTTCCGCACGATATGATGTCTGAGTAACGCCACAGAAATTCCATACTGGTGACGTGTCACTAGTCAGTTCTGGGTAGTGCTTCTGATTGGTTGAAGCAAATTTCCCTCACAGCACGACCAGTCAAAAGCACTAGCCAGGTCTGGGTAGTGGCATGTCATCAGTACGGAATTTATGCAGTTGTCCCTCAGATGTCTTTTCTTACTCTATAGTGCATCGACTATTAAAGATGGACATGTACAGGTTCTTAACTAGCCTCACGTCTGTCTGAGTCTTGAATAAGGAATAAGGTATCCAAAAAAAAAGAGAGAAAGGAAAAATAAATAAATAAAATATTCAAATTATAGAGCAACATATACGATGAAGGAACTGAAGAAAGAGGAGCCTGAGATGGTGAGCGTGGGTATGGCTACCCCCAAGAGTGGTGTGGACACCATTAAGAGAGCTGAAACGAGGGTTGCTGACACGGATACATACAAGGGACGTGTCCTTAAGTTGCCAGAATCTGAAATGGTAAGATGTTGTGGATTACCCTTTGATTTTAGAGTTGAGGGCCCAGTTCCATGAAAGATGATGAAGTTTAACCCAGGATCAAGCCAAATTTTAAGCAAGGTTTTCTTGGCTAAGAACATGCAACTCAAAATATTGTTGAATCTTTACTCCCAGATACAGTAATGATAACAAATCATGTTACTATCAGCAATACAATGAAAGGTAACATGCAAAAACGGAACAAAATTTTAATTCTGTATTAGCGCTAATTGGCCTTTCAGCAATGTTCTTAGCAGACCGCGGCAATGCGGCATTGACGCACTTTTTGGGGAAATGCCGCAGTGTAATTAGCCCAAGGGGGCCAAAAGGCGCAAAGACCCGCTTTTCTCCCTCATGACCCCCTTTTTGCTTCTCTATGGCTCCTGTGGACCCCAGTGTAGAAAGCCCTGGCGAGAACATTGTTCAGGAATCACAGTTCGTTTTGGCTTCCTCAGTACTTACATGGTGTGATTCAGGGACCCGTTTCTCAAAAGTATGGATCCCTGAATACACGATTCTGAGAAACTTATACTGGTTTACAGTTATGATCCACTGACCACAACTGTTTGTTTGGCAGGGCCCTGAATTTTCCAGGACTAATACTTGGGGTGGTGGAAAAAGAGGAGAAGATAATGTCACTTACACCCGCACCTACACCAGTGCAACCTTACCCAGCCGTGGAGCGAGGAAGGGTTATGACAGTAGCAGTCAGCCTGAGGAGGAGAGGAGACGTAGTGCAGAGGATCTGCTGGATTCTGATGGGAGTCGTTCTCGAGGCAAGGTTCCTCTTGTGACAAAGGATGAGCTAGTGAGGAGTTACACATCTGGATCAACTAGCAGCGACACGCTTAGGTTAGAGCCTCCACAGCACGAGATCAGGCGATCCCTTAAAGAAGATCTTAACTTAGAGCATGAGCAAGGTGAGGGTGGCTTTGTACGAGAGAGCATCAGAAGAAATGAGGGCTTTATCCAGCGGCAATCAGTGCGCAATGATCTTGAGAGTGCTCCACCAGAGGTGACTACGCGAACCATGGTAATAAACAGTGAAAGAGAACCAACAGTGTATCGGCAAAACCAACCTCCTGAGGTACAGACCCAAGTCTTGTCATTCGGAGGATCTCAAAACGGAGATCCAGGAACTTACCAAGGTACTCGCTATCGTTATAACGCCTCTTCACCGGCTAGCTCACCTGAGCCATATGCACCACATACAAGACACTACAATGTGCCCAGCGTTACCACACAGAGAGTGGTGTATGACCAAAATGGACCACCAGTTAGCCCGCCTTCCAGGGGTTAGTGGAAATTGTTTTGATCCAACATTTTTCTAACACACTAACTGTGCACTGCACTGTAACACCTTGAGAAATGTTGGCTTTCAAACTGTTTGGTTTAACCTGGTCCATTCGTGGTTCATAACATGCTTTGATTGCTAATCAAAGTAATCACATTTAACCATTAACCATTCTCTGCATGGGCAAGAAAGTCAGAGCGTTCGATAACAATGCATTTCCTCAAGAACATAGAGATATTTTTTACGATGAAATGTTCTCGTTAGTTTCTTTTCAAGAATGGCCGATTTATGTTATTCCAGACTAAATCTGTGTCAGGTACTTTTAAAATGAACTTGCCTTTAAGGCTTTTGAAGCTTGAAACTTGAAGCACACAAATGAGAGAAATTTGTACCCAACATCACAGGGATTCTTTGCCTGATGCAACTTACACGTAATACCCTTTTAAATGTACTTTTGATAACTTGAATTAACGTTTATTAGTTCTTTGGTTATTATTACAAGGTATTTTTTTAACGTTTTGGCAATAACCAAGCTTACCATTAACCTGACCACGTTTACCATTAATTTGATCAAAACATGTACATTTGAGTGAAATTGAAGTCATTATATATGAAAATAAGAAATGACCCTATCAAATGCGACATAATCTGGAAACAATACATGCACTATCCTGTATTTCTGGACATAAATGAAAGTGTGTGTAGATGCAAAGAATTTAACCTAGGGGTTGGTAAGTGTCTCGTAATAGACATTATGTAGGTTGCAAGTAGAGACAAGTTCTTTTCGCTTGTTCTTATAACAAGATAAACAACAACCTGTATGTACATCCACATTTGAAGGCTAAAATATGTACATACTGCAAATGTCAATCACTTTAAGGATTGTTGATGTTCATTGAGACCATTGAACAGCAATAATCTTGGTATGGGGTAAGGACCTTTGAGTCTCGGAAAGATGCAGTCAGCCAAGAATGACACTTCTACGCTAAAACGTAATCAAGCAAAGTTGCTTTAATTTAGACTATTTTTTGGCTCGGAAAGAAATGGAGAATAATTAAAAAACATGATACCTAGCCTTCAAAACAAAATGTCATTTACTTGTAAAAAGAGCACCAGTTAATGTAGGGCTACCGACTGGGTACTGATTAGCCTGCAAGCAAGCGAGCCAAGTGCGCGAGCCGCGAGAGGACGCGCAAGCGAGTGACTCGCGTCTCCTTTCGCGTGACTTCTCGCGACTCTCCCAAATCCCTCGCATGCTAGGTACTGTACTGATTGTTTACGCGTAGAGCAAACTCAAAGGAAATATCTGGATATGTTGTGATCTGCAGGAACGCAGGACGGTGGCACGGTTATCACTCGTACTTTCATGATGGGAGGTGCTGAACCCAAAAGGACAGAAACCATCCGTCAAACCACCATGCCGACTGAAATTATCCAGAAGACCATTACTATTGAGGGAGATGGGGATCAATTGACAGCAGAAGAGTTGAGAGATATCATCTCTAAACATGCAGGAGATCTTGAGAGCAGTGAAGTGGTTACCACGGTAAGTTTTCATTAACCATTATTCTACCAGAAGTAAAAAAAAATCAGAATAATTGCAAATGTCTTTTTTGTAAAACCCGAAGAAATAGATAGCACGATGCCAAGTTCTTCCCAAGAGGTTTCATGTGAATGGTAACACCATGGGATTTGGTCCACAAATAGAAACGTTGTGATGGCAAATAAATCACCTCACCTTAACTCATTTGGACTATTCGTAGTCCCTGTTTTCCTAAGATTGTCAGGATGGAGCGCTTACCGGCCATCCTGCTCTCGGTAAATTTGAAACCAAAATGGCCGCCCATGAGGGGTGGTACTTAATCCCGACCATCTTACGGAAAGAATAAGGGACTTTGAACAGTAATTAACTCATTGGAATCCTGACAAATGTTGTCTGAAACCATTTTCAGTGCACTGAACAGGGCTATGGCACACCATTTACTATCTTTTTAAAAAGCTAAAATGAGTCTTCGTATTAATTGAATTCCAAAATAATAGTCCAGTGTTATTGTTTAAGACTATTTAGGGCATCGAAACTGTTCTCTCTTTTCAAGTTTTAATGCTATGCGTCTAACAATCATTAAAAAACTAGGGTTAATGCTCCCTGATAAATTGTGTTTGATATCCTCAGAAATCCACAGGAGCATTTTGCGTATGGGTTAAAGCACTACATGTAGCTAATGACTTTAGCGCGGAGTTGACCCAAGACAGCATTGTATTCGTGGTATAACCCTTTTGATTGTTAAATGTATGGTCATATGAAATTCCATTAAGAACATGAAGTTATTTTTATTCCTTTCTTAGACTTACACAACTAGAGTTCAAGAAGTAAAGCAAACCAAGACAGTGACGGAGACACTGAGAGTTGTGGATGACGATGGAAACATTATAAAAACCGGTGACCCTGACACTGATGCTGTAAGTGGGATTTTTAAGACTGTTTACGAAAACACCGTTTTACTGAATCGTTACCAGGTGGAAGAAGCCTTTGAAGTTGTAAACGCCTAAGTGTTGTGTGTTAACCCAGATTCACATGCTGTTTTTTAGGCTATTTTGGAAGCCATCCAACGAGCCAGAGAGGAAAATCCTAACGCAAAAATCACCGAGGTTGTAATAACAAGAACAGAAGATGAAAGTTCTGCGTGAATGTGAAAACGGTAAGAAGCTATTTATGTAATGATTATTAAATGAACCCGAAAACATGGTAATCGAATTATATATGGCATATGAGCACCGTTATTATAGGCGTTCTGTGAAAAGTAAGGGAATTTTTTAGAAATTCAGGGAAAATCTTTGATATTGTCAAAGTCAGTGAAAAGTCTGGGAATTCTGTTTTCCGGTTTATAGTTCATAAGTTTTCTTCAAGATTTAGAAATGCATTTTCTTTCGGAAAAGACGAAAAGTGCGCTGCAAAGCAAGCAAAACGATCAATTTGACACTAATTTGACACTCCACGTTTGACACATGTAGTAGTTGTGGTCAGTAGTCTTCGTTGTGAATGCTTTCTTTCAAACACCTTCTTCCTCTTTCCGAGAAAAGCGGGAAAAGGTTGAAATTGAAGAGAAAACTATCGCGATGGCCTGCAAAAAAAGCTAAAGTGAATGTAAACATGGATTGTTTCTCATTAATAAAAGGTCAGTGAAAAGTCAGGGAAAAGTCAGGAAATTTTTAACTTTCTGACGAGTGGCAACCTAGCCTGCGTTGTAGCCGGCCTACGCACTCGTCAAAACCATTTGTATAGTCCTATACAGAAGGTTTAGAGCGTTTACGACGCAGGCGAGTGGCAACCTTGATATTCATCAATCACTGTGTCGAAACAACAATTGTACTCAGTTTCTTTTCATCTCTATTTTCTATTAGAAAGTTTTAAATGTATACAACGGGGACAGCAACGCGAACGTAAAAAAGCAAATAGGATTTGATAAGTACAACAATAATTTTGCATGTGCTGAACACATTTTGGGGCACTTCCTTTACGTCACTGAACGATTACGACGTTAAGCTTTCCGATGCGACTTTTTATGGAGGATGTACACACGACGTCCAATTTTTCTATTACTTTGTGAATTAGGACACAGTGTTAATTCAATTTTTGGAGGATTCGGCTATACAGTTGACAAATTGGGTGAAATGGAGTACTGGTTAAGTTTTTAAAAAATAACGCAAAAACACTTTATAAGTAACGCTTCTGTACCGTCGCCTTTCTAGCATGGCGGCTTGTTTCGTCGCCGTGTACCTAAACCCTATTAAGTGATGGTTTTTTTTATTATTATTTTCATCGACAGAAGTAGAAGCTGACCGACACTTGTGTATTGTTATTGGCCAAGCCAGAGGGGATAGTAAAAACGTCGCGTCATTAAAGAAATCATGGCCTCGCCCTGTCAAGATAGTTGTTTCAAGTTTGCTGTTTTGCTGGAAAGCGGACATTCTTAACATAAGCCCCGAATAGTTAGATACCGTGTTTGCATTAATCATCATTCTTATATTAATAGTAACTGTTAAAGAACTCCATTTTCCAAGCACTTTCTTAGTGTTAGCTTTATCTTAACAGGAAGAAAATATTAAGCAATTTTTGTTTACTTCGACCACTAACGCGAAGGGTAGCTTAATTGAATACAATAGTAGTCATAATGATATGAAGGTGTTACCGAAGTTCTTGTCTTTTGTTATTAGTTAGAATAAATTATTAGAAGTTAAA